GAATAGATATTGGAAAAGAATAGGACAGGACAGGACAAATATTGGAAAATAGAAGAGAAGAGAAGAGAAGAGAAGAGAAGAGAAGAGAAGAGAAGAGATAGGACAGGACAGAGTAGAATAAATATTGGAATATAGAATAGAATAGAATAGAATAGAATTGAATTGAATTGAATTGAATTGAATTGAATTGAATTCTTTATTGGCCAAGTGTGATTGGACACACAAGGAATTTGTCTTTGGTGCATACGCTCTCAGTGCACATAAAAGAAAAGATGCATTCGTCAAGAATCATAAGCTACAACACTTAATGATAGTCATAGGCAGTGGTGAAATCCAAATTTTTTTACCACTGGTTCTGTGGGCGTAGCTTGGTGGGCATGGCATGGCTTGGTGGGCGTGACAGGGGAAGGATACTGTAAAATCCCCATTCCCTCCCAGTCCTGGGGGAAGGATATTGCAAAATCTCCATTCCCACCCCATTCTGGGGCCAGCCAGAGGTGGTATTTGCCAGTTCTCTGAACTACTCAAAATTTCCACTACCGGTTCTTCCGAACCTGTCAGAGAACCTGCTGGATTTCACCCCTGGTCATAGGGTACAAGTAAGCAATCAAATCATATTAGAAAACAATCAATAGAAATCATAAGGATACCAGCAACAAGGTTACAGTCATACGGTCGTAAATGGGAGGAGGATTGTTATTTAATTGTTATTGTTGTTTTTTTAAATTGTTATTTAAATTGGATTGTTATTTACAATGCTTTTATAAACAGGCTGCCAAATTAATGCAGGCACTTGATTGCCTTCTCTCTTGTCTCCCTCCTGTTTCACGCGGGCCCAGGTTGGTGCTGTCCTCTGTCTCGGATTATTTTGCAGCCATGTTTACCAACGATGTCCGAGAGGCCAGACAAGAAGAAATCAAAATGGAAGGTGTGGAACCCAATGCGTTATGGGCGTTGGTGCAGTACGCGTATACAGGTAAAAGCAATTTTTTTAAAAAAATTTGATTTATATGCCGCCCTTCTCCGGAGACTCAGGGCAGTTTACAGTGCGTTAAGCAATAGCCTTCCCACTTTTGTATATTTTTACAAAGTCAGCTTATTGCCCCCACAAACTGGGTCCTCAATTTACCTACCTTAGAAAGGATGGAAGGCTGAGTCAACCTTGAGCCTTGGCGAGATTCGAACCAGCAGTAATTGCAGGCAGCTGGTCATAATAACCAGCTTAATAACAGGGTGCCTTAGACCACTGTACTACCAAGGCTCTTAACATTAACATTAACTTTTTAAAACTCTTTAAAATTAACTTTTAAAGACGAGCAAATGCTAAACTCTACGCTTCGTGTACCAAGCTGAAGGTTCCCCACTTTGTATACAGTGTGTGAATTATAATAATAGCCATAAATACTGATCTAGAGATAGCAAGGCCTCCTGTGTGTGTGTGTGTGGTTTTTTTTTTTAAAGCTAATTTCAGAGGGATAAAAGGGTGCTTTGACTCAAACTGCGTGAAAATGTTTTTCCAAAGAAATGTGAATATTTAAATGCACTAATTATGTTCTTTTATTCATTTCCCTTAAATCATCTCCCAACATTGGGACGTTCGAATCTTATTTTATGTTTTTCTAAAGCAGAGCAAGCAGTTCTTAAAAGTCTCAAGACAGAATAGAAGAACAGAGTTGAAAGGGACCTTGGAGATCTTCTAGTCCAACCCTTCCCGGCTCAGGCAGGAGACCCTGTACCAGGGGTGGGCAACGGTGGCCCTTTTACAACCTGTGGACTTCAACTCCCAGAATTCCTGAGCCAGCTTGGCTGTCCCAGGAATTCTGGGAGTTGAAGTCCACAGGTTGTAAAAGGACCACAGTTGCTCACCCCTGCCCTATATCATTCCAGACAAATGGTTGTCCAATCTCTTCTTAAAAACCTCAGGTGCTGGAGCACCCACGATTTCTGAAGGCAAGGCCTTCCACTCTGTAATTGTTCTCAATGTTAGGAAATTTCTCCTTAATTCTAGCTGGTTCTCTCCTTGATTAGTTTCCATCCATTGCTCCTTGTCCTGCCTTCTGGTGCTTTGGAGAAGAGGTGGATCCCCCTCCCCCCACTCTTCTTTGTGGCAGCCCCTCAAATATTGGAACCCTGCTATCATGTCTCCCCTAGTCCGTCTTTTCATCAAACGAGACACACCCAATTCCAACATCTTTTGTTTCAGAAGGCATTGTCCTTTTACGAGAGAAGAAAATAGAAGCCAGTGCCTGAATTCACCCATTGTGCTGAATCATGGTTTGCCTGACTATGGTTTCCCACAGTGGACTGGGATCACATGCCACGATGAGTGAACAAACCATGTTAACGATTGAGAGCACATTGCCTGCCGTCTTTTTTCACGTCTAGAGATCGGTGGATCTGTGTCTGTCTCTTCCAGCTTGACTGGGACCCAAATGATTTGCCGGGCAGGACCTTTTGTTCCACGAAGCCTTGCTTCACAACCTCAGCAATTTTTAAAATGTGGCTCCCTGGGGAATCTTAGCAGTCACATCTGAAAGTTGCTGAGGCTGAGAAACAATGGAATAGAGCCCCTAGGACAGGGGTTAGCAACCTGCGGCTCTGGAGCCGCATGTGGCTCTTTCACCCCTCTGCTGCGGCTCCTTGTCACTCAAAATATGCATCGCAACTGCTGGCACGCGATCTGTTGAGCTTTTCAACCCCCCAGTAGGCCAACCATGGATAAATCCAAGAAAAGAAAAGTTTCCGAAGAAAACAGAACGTTTAATTCAGCTACATAGGCTAGTTTTGTGGTTGCTCAAGAAATAGTCAGGCACGGGAAGGGTTTTGTGGCTCCCGGTGTTTTCTTTTCTGTGGGAAACTGTTCCAAATGTCTCTTTGAGTGTTTAAGGTTGCAGACCCCTGCCCTAGGACAAATACCACTGCCATTGCATTCATCACTCAGATGCTAACATGCTCCTCCTCGAGGTTTTTGTCTGATTTCTGCATGTCAACTGCCTGCCCATTGAAAATCCCACAGCAGGGCTCTCCAAACTTGGCAACTTTTTTTTTTTTTTAAATTTGATTTATATGCCGCCCTTCTCCGGAGACTCAGGGCAGCTTACAATGTGTTAAGCAATAGCCTTCATCCTTTTTTGTATATTTATACAAAGTCAGCTTATTGCCCCCACAAACTGGGTCCTCAATTTACCTACCTTAGAAAGGATGGAAGGCTGAGTCAACCTTGAGCCTGGCGAGATTCGAACTAGCAGTAATTGCAGGCAGCTGAATGAACTTTAAGACTTTTGGACTTCAACTCCCAGAATTCCCCAACCAGCATGGCTGACTGAATTCTGGGAGTTGAAGTCCGCAACTCTTCAGGCTGTATCAAAGAAATAACATTCTGGGGAAAGAAATATGAAGAAGTAGGTTGGGTTGAAATATATACAACACTTAATATGAAATACTGTTTATGCTCCTGAAGTAGTTTATTGTTGTCTGAATTATATTAGATTTGCTCAGGAAAGCATACTTGCTACGTACCATAGAATAATGTCACTCGTGATTTTTTTAAAAAATTGACTTTTCTTTGGATGTTTTTAGCTTTTGGTACAAAATTGCTAAAGGCTGCTGAAATTTCTGAAATATAACACTTCCCTAGGGGAAAAAAATAACACTTTTTTGGGGAAAAGACAAGGCAAGGTAGTACTTAAACCTGAAAAAAAAAAATCAGAATTATACTAGAACATAGGTGAAAAAATTGCTGGAATCAAGTTTCACTCATCTGCCCTTTTTTCCAGAAGTTTACTTTTACTTTACTTTTATTTAATTTGTATAAATTTAATTTCTATAATTTCTTGGTCTTTCCTGTCTGTCTTACATCTGTGACATTTCTTGGCGATCCCTATCCAAATCCTAATTTCAGTTCCATCAGCTTTTTGTTACAACTGTCTCAAGAACCAACTTTATAGCATTATAAACTATAGTTAAGGCCCTCATTCCCGTATCGTGGGGTTTCCATTAAAAACCTCTGATGGCAGATTTCCAAAATACGGAAATAAGTTGAAGGGTCTGTGGGTTTTTCTTATTTTTATTCTTGTCGAAACCATAACTAGTTGTTCGATTGGGTACCAATGGCTTTTCATCATGCATAGTAACTCTGTTTTAAACCATCCTAGGTCGTCTCGAATTAAAAGAAGATAACATCGAATGCCTGCTGTCCACAGCTTGTATTCTTCAGCTGTCTCAGGTTGTAGAAGCTTGCTGCAAGTTTTTAATGAAGCAGCTTCACCCTTCAAATTGCCTTGGAATCCGCTCTTTCGCCGATGCACAGGGTTGCACGGATTTGCACAAAGTGGCCCACAATTACACCATGGTATGCAGTTCTTAAAACATTCGTTTTATTTATGGAGAAAGCATTCCACAATATCATTCTCGTCGTCATCATTATGGGGCCAGCCTGAGGGACAGAAGGGGAGAGGAGAGGCCAAGCGTAGCTACTCATTAATTTTCAAACTCCTAAGTGTCGATTTATCAAGCCCGAACACATGATGACATATTCAATAGTATTTGGGACAAGATCTCTATTATAACTTTGAACAGTCACTAAAGGAATGATTTTATTTATTTATTTTTTATTTTATTTTATTTTTATTTTTTTTAAATTTGATTTATATGCCGCCCTTCTCCGGAGACTCAGGGCGGCTTACAATGCGTTAAGCAATAGCCTTCATTCTTTTGTATATTTTATACAAAGTCAGCTTATTGCCCCCACAAACTGGGTCCTCAATTTACCTACCTTAGAAAGGATGGAAGGCTGAGTCAACCTTGAGCCTTGGAGAGATTCGAACCAGCAGAAATTGCAGGCAGCTGTGTTAATAACAGGGTGCATTAAACCACTGTACTATCAAGGCTCTTTTATTTCTATACCGCCCTTCTCCTGCGGGACTCAGGGCGGTGTACAGCCGAGATAAAACATTGCATATAAAATTTAAAAACAGTTTAAAAAAACAATTAAATAATTTTGGCCCAAGATTTAAAACAACCCAATTAAAACCGAATTCAATTAAAACTGAGAGGATGGGATCAAGCCAGCCCGGCTAGATGGAATAATTGTGTTTTCAGGGCCCGACGAAAAGTCCGGAGGTCTGATATCGTGCGTATCTCAGGGAGTAGGTCATTCCAGAGGGCAGGTGCTGCCACAGAGAAGGCTCTCCCCCTGGGGGTTGCCAGCCGGCACTGTCTGGCCGACGGCACCCTGAGGAGGCCCTCTCTGTGGGAGCGCACGGGTCGGTGGGAGGCTATTGGCGGCAGAAGGCTGTCTCACAGATACCCCGGCCCTAAGCCATGGAGCGCTTTAAAAGTGGTCACCAACACCTTGAAGCGCACCCGGAAGACCACAGGAAGCCAGTGCAGCTCGCACTGATTTTAAATCAAGGACTACTTGTATATTACTAAAAAAAAAAAAAAATACACCTTAAGAATTTTGACACCTGAACTACTTCTGCCCGCTGATTTCTGTTACATTATTTTGCTATTCTTTTGTATCACTGATACTTTTCTTTCTCCTTTATTAATTTATTGAGATGTTTTATAGCATTTTCCCTAAGGCTAAAGCCATGGAAATAGCCTCTTTCAAAGGCTATTGGCATTGAAAGAAAAATAAACACAAAAACACTCTTCTAGCCTTTAACAGTTTTGAGTTGAATATAATTTAAATTAAGATGGTTTTTAAAAAGTTATTTTCCAGAGTAATTAGTTGTGCTACGTCAATTCTTCCCAGGGCCTTTTGGAAGGAAAAAAAATAATGGTTTAATTCCAACGGAGACATGAAATTGAATTTTAGTAATAAGGAGCACCGTAGAAGCACTTCCTTTGGCTGGAAAGATACGTTGCCATGGAAACAGTACAGAAATGTGTAGGCCAATTGAATCTTCAATTAGAGTAACTCTCTACTAATTTCATTTGCTTAAAAGCTCCTTGAGATCAAAAAAAAAAAATGTAAAAGAGCAGCCATTTTGCCCTCGTTTTCGCAATGTGGGTACCGACACTACAGGGAGTCCTCCCCTTACGACCACAACTGAGCTCAAGGTTTCTGTTGTTAAGTGAGACCTTTGTTAAATGAGTTTTGCTCCTTTTTTATGATCTTTCTTGCCTCGGTTATTAAGTGAATCATGGCAGCTGATAAATTAGTAACCTGGTTGTTAAGGGAACCCGGCTTCCCCCTTAACTTTGCTTGTCAGAGGGTCGCAAAAGGGGATAACATGACCTTGGGACACAGCAACGGTCATAAATATGAACCAATTGCCAAGCAGCTGAATTTTGACCTATGTGATCATAGGGATGCTCAAAGGTGGTGACTATGAAAAGCAGTCATAAGCAGAGTTGGGCTGCTGCCGGTTCAGGCCAGTTCAGGTGAACCGGTAGTTCTGACCAGCAGTTGGCCACGCCCACCCGCTCTGGCGCTATCCCGTCCTATATAATCGCTGTATTTTTGATGCCATGTGCATGTGCGGCCGCGCGGATGGTTATGGGCGCAACTCGTGCCCACGTGACACCCCTCCTGCGCGAGCTGCACTGGCTCCCAGTGGTCTTCCGGGTGCGATTTAAGGTGTTGGTTACCACCTTTAAAGCGCTCCATGGCATTGGACCTGGATACCTTCGAGACCGTCTTCTGCCACCAGTAGCCTCCCACCAGCCAGTTCGCTCCCACAGAGAGGGTCTCCTCAGGGTGCCATCAGCCAAGTTATGTCGGCTGGCGACACCCAGGGGGAGGGCCTTCTCTGTGGGAGCCCCTGCCCTTTGGAATGAACTGCCCCCGGAAATACGTAAAATCTCGGATCTCCGTGTGTTTTGCTGTGCCCTCAAAACCATGTTGTTCCGCCAGGCTGGGCTATCAATGTAAAGATTTTAATTGGTTTTAAATGGCATTTTAAATTTGGAGTTTTATAAATTGGGCCTATTATTTAATAATTTTAATTATTTTTAAATTTTGTCTGTCTTTTTGTTTTTAATTAGACTGTACACCGCCCTGAGTCCTTCGGGAGAAGGGCGGTATAGAAATAAAATAAATAAAAAATAAATAAATGTGCTGAAGGCTTGGAGTAAGGTGGGAGTAAGGATTGGAGATGATTGGCCCCTCCCGTAAGACATAAAGGAAGAGCAAAGGCACGTGGACAGTGGTGAAATATAAAATTTGTTACTACAGTTCTGTGGGCGTGACTTGGTGGGGGTAATGTGACTGGGTGGGCGTGGCCAACTTTTTTTTTTAACTTTTAAAAGCGTTTTTTCTACTACCTCTTAAAATTGTAGACCTTAAGAGGTTGTAGAAAAAACGCTTTTAAAAGCCTCTGACGATCCCCTCTGATGAGCGCGCGGCTCAGCTGGGCGGGGGGGGCAGGGATTTTTGCTACCGGTTCTCCGAATCACCCGCCGCCATCGCTACCGGATCGGGCGATCCAGTCCGAACCGGGAGCATTTCACCCATGCACGTGGGCCTTTGCAGGAAGCAACATTGTGGATGGTGTCAGTTTGTACTTTGAAGCTCCGTTTTTGACTCTGTGTTTCCGTGTGGCCTGGCCAAGATAATTGCCAGTCAGGTCTTTGGCATCGTGTCAAAGAAGATAAAGGTGGGTGTTTGCCAGCCTTTTCCAAAGGACTGTGGCAGACTTCTGTTGGACTATTTATAAACTCTTGGTGATTCAGCACAAGCTGTCAATGAAAGGAATTCACAGCTGTTAAAATGAAAAAAAGGGGGGGGGTTGGGACTAATTGTGCTTTTTACACTAACTAGTGCTTTTTACTATATCAGAAAGCCGAGATCAGAACACGTGATTTTACTTAGACGTCTTATCATTTTTAGGAGCACTTCATGGAAGTCATTAGAAACCAAGAATTCCTCCTGTTACCGTCCACTGAAATTGCAAAGCTGTTAGCTAGTGATGATATGAACATTCCCAGCGAAGAGACTATTCTTAATGCGTTGCTCACTTGGGTGCAACACGATTCGGAACAACGGAAGAAAGATCTCAGTAACCTCTTAGCGTACATCAGACTCCCTTTACTGGCACCACAGGTGAGTAAATGACATTCCCTGCAGCCCGTCATCTGCCTTCAGATCTCTCGATAACTTAAGATATCGCCACTTAATGGTCTCTTACCTGGAGAGTTTTCCTTTTTTTATATATTATTCTAAGACCTTCTAACCATGCATGTCTTTTCTGAATTGAGAAAAATGGTTTTTGAATGATCAGCCGAGAGAAGGCCAGTTCACACAAAGGGTGTGATGAAATTATTGCCGTCATTTCAGGCATTGAAAATTAGAGGAGAGATTTCGGGATAAAACAGAGACGAATCCAAAAAATGTAAAAGCTGCTATCCCATTGAAAGGGAGAGGTTTTGACCTAGGCTTCCCCAGCAGCACGAAGCCGAGTCCTCGTCCCGATAAACCTCTTTTATTTTAATTTACAGTGAATTCCTCTCTAGCAAAGTCTTTCCTCTCCCACAGCCTTTCAAGATAGTTCACAATTCCTGACCTTTATCAGGCTTGGAGAGTGGCCAGGCCGATATCTTTCAGACGCCCGCAATACTTGGCAAGAATGCAGGAATGAACTAATTGTCTCCTGCAAACTCCACTCCCCTTTCGCTCCTCTTTTATTCCCTCTGGGAGGGGCCCTTCATCATCCACTTGTGGCCTTACTCCCAAGTCGACCCTTGTTCCTTAGCTGTTCCCTTCATCTGGCAGCTTTGCGCATGCGCGCATCGGGAATAGGCTCCAGCTGTTCGTCTGCCCCACTGATATCCGAATCCAAAGGTAGTTGATAACTGTCTGACGGCCCTGGCTCTCTCTCTGCCTCTGACGCAGAGCCCTCATCCGAGCCTTCCCCAGATTCCAGGATTGGCCCATGTTCTTCCCCAATCTCCTCACTGTCTGAGTCTGCCACCAGCGTCCGCTGGCGGGCCACAACAGGAGACAGCTTTGCTGATCCATTCAAAAAATTCTTATCAGGGCAAGATTATAATATAAAACCAGTTAAATGTTTATTGGGAATTCCACCAGCGATGCGAATTCCTCAGGCAGAATTTGTCCTTTGTTCAGTGAGAACGTAAATTCATGATGCCTTAATTAAATACTTTACAAACGTATCTCAGTGCAGGGTGGTATATCCTTGGTTAAGGAAAGCTTCAAAGCACTAAAACATCAGGAGATATGGAAATGAGCCTTTTGTAGTCTATTCCAATTATGTATAAATATGGCTGTGTTTTAAGTCACCTGGGGAGATGAGAGCTGAATTTGTTTCAAGTAAGCCATCATCATGTAGATTTGTTCTGTGGCCCGGTAGATTGAAACAGACTTCCAAAGAGCCGGTTACTGATATTTATAATTTTACATAAAATTGTTCCAGGTTGTAGAATCTTAAAATGCCAAACTATGCCAGTGACTGTGATTAATGGGAAATGGTAGTTTTAAATTTCTGGGCATTTATATCTCGGAAGGACCTCTCATGGACTATGAATATTAATATGCTTGTGAAGAAGGCACAGAAGAGGCTGTACTTCCTGAGAATGCTCAGGAAGATAAATCTATCTCAGGATCTACTTCTGTCCTACTATCGCAGCACCATTGAGAGTGTCCTGACATACGGCATTCTTGCATGGTATGGGAGCAGCTCTGCAGCGGACAAAAAAGCTCTACAGAGAATCATTAAAACTGCCCAGAATATCATCAGGCTCCAGCTATTAGCCCTGGATGACATCTTCGAATCTTGCTGTTTGAGGAAGTTGCATAACATTCTCAGAGACTCTTCCCATCCTGTTTACAATCTTTTTGGACTGTTGCCTTCTGGCAGAAGATACAGAACAATTAAAACTCAGACCACACGTTTTATGAATAGTTCTTATCTCAGAGCTATAATTGCACTCAACAATGAACTAAAGGGCCACCATCAGTGAACTGTTGGACAGCATTACTTGGTCTGTTGTGTGGATGTTTGGGTGGTTTAGGGGTGGGAAATTGTGGTGGGTGGGAGTGTGTTTGGGGATTGTTATGCGTGTTGGACCTGGTCTTTGGGGGTTAAGTGAATTTCGTTGTATGGGTATACTGTGTATACACGTACAGTGACAATAAAGTTGTTGTTGGTGTTATTATCATCATCATCATCATCATCATCATCATCATCATCATCATCATCATCTAGATTTGTTCTGTGGCCCGGTAGATTGAAACAGACTTCCAAAGAGCCAGTTACTGATAGTTATAATTTTACATAAATTGTTCCAGGCTGTAGAATCTTAAAATGCCAAACTATGCCAGTGACTGTGATTAATGGGAAATATTATCGAACCCTACTGGCATGAAAGTTTTGTATATACTATCAGAGAAGGGCAGGCAGAACCTAGGGCAGAGTCAAGAGAGGAACCAGCCTGAGAATGATTCTTAAGTCCCTCTTAAATTCCGTTGACTCTTATCTAAAACCAATTTAATTCTGACCGTTAGTTGATTCCTATGTATAGGCGGTCAGGCCTGGAAGCCATCTTTTTTATTGGATCTTCAGGCCTGCCACATTTACTAGTACTGTGGGAAACTGGGAGGGAGGATTATGTGGAGCCAGATGTCAGCACTCCAAACTACATTCGTTCCAGTGCTGACATAAGGAGGAGAAGAGAGGGCAGCTGGCAAGAGGACGCTTGACTTTTCTACTTATTTTCCCTGAAGATAATATCCCCTAGGAGATGCGATGGGAGGGGGGACATTCCTGGGAGCTGAAGTAGTAGATATGGGGAGAGTGATTTGGAAGATGGCCAATGAGACGCAGAGAATTGGGGAACGGAAAGGGAAGGTTTGGGGTCAGGAAGTCAGTGTTGGCTACGCCACAATCGGGGACAGGTTGTTGTGCTTAATAAATGAAAGATTTCATCAAAGACTATTTGTTTGGAAATGCAATTTATTTGAGACGACACCGAAACCTGACACCAGGGTGATATATAGTCATATTAAAATTCCTTTCTCAGAAAGTCAAGGACATCCTGCCCTGCACCTGGACGGCTGGAACTGGGAGGCATCTCCAGTTGGGACGGTGCTTTGATTGGACCATGTGATGGACATCTTGGTGTGGGGCAGGGACTTGAACATTCCTTTGAGTGGGGAAAACCTGGAAGCTTTCAGGTTCGGTTTTCCCAGATGTGCCTGTTGTGGTTCACCAGCAGCCTGCCGGAGCTGGCAGCAGAGTCAGACAGTGAGGAGGCTGGGGAGGAACATGGGCCAGTCCTGGAGTCTAGGGAAGGCTCGCACAAGGGCTCTGCATCGGAGGCAGAGATGGGGCCAGGACCATCTGGGAGTGATGCGCGGACTTCGGAGCCTCTAGAGTCGGACATCAGAGAAGTAGAGGAACAGGAGGAGCCTGTTCCTAGTATGCGCATGCACAGAGCTGCCAGAAGGCAAGAACAGTTAAAACAAAAGGGACGACTCAGGAGTAAGGCCTGGAGATGATTGGCCCCTTCCATAAGGCTTAAAAGAGGAGCAAAGGCACGTGGGCCCTTTGCAGGAAAGCAATGTTGTAAATTCTGTTCCCAGTCGGCATCTCTGTTTGATTCTGGACTCTGTGTGGCTTTGCCAAGTAGGTCTTTGACAGGGTGTCAAAGGAGATAAAGGTTGGTGATTATCCCGAAGGACTTTTTGCAACTAATTGGGACTCAACTGTGAATGAATGTAATTCACAGCTGTTGCAATAAAAGAGGTTTTTGGGGCTATTCGTGTGTTTTAACGACTCAGGAAGCCTAGGTCACAACAGTGCCAATATGACATCTCTAATGAAATGGAACTTTGAGGAAACTCAAGCCTCGGAGTTTTCTTTCGTTGGGGGTGTTACTTGGAACCCTGACATTAACCCGAATCTGAAAGCTTCCAGGATTCAGCCATGGATCATCCTAACTGGAAGTTAATGTGCGGCCCCAATTCTTAGCGCCTGACATAGTCCCACACTCAAAAGTCTACACCATTGTTTGTTTCACTGTCATGTATATTCACTTTGGAGGGAAAAAAATGGTCACAATCCTGAGCGTCTGTCCACCCTAGAGCGTGATAGTCCAAATAACTAAAACGAATGGCTCCCTTTTCTAGGTCAGCCTTAAAATTAATGATAAACCAGCTGCCGTCTTGCGTGCATCGCGATCAGTTGTAAAACAGTGGTTTAACATGGCACGCTCAGAAAAGTGCAAAAGTTCTATGGATTCGTTATTAATCTGTCAGATCTGGTTCACTGAATTCATTTTCGTCTTGCTCTGTGTGAACCAAATGTAATGCTCATGCTTTTGAGCTTAAATCAAAAATTGAATTTTAAAACTTGGAGAGGCTGTGCATGGGGATGCAGTTAGAATCTGAATTAGAAAGGAAAAACTCCAAATCTGCTATTATTTATTTATTTATTTGTTTAAATTTCTATACCGCCCTTCTCCAATATAGGACTCAGGGCGGTGAACAGCCAAAGTAAAAACAAGACATACAAAATCTAAAAACTGTTTAAAATAATTAAATATTTTGGCCGTAATTAAAAATCCCAATTTAAAATCAATTTAAAATTTAACTCAAGCCAGCCCAGCTAGCTGAAATAAATGGGTTTTCAGGGCCCGACGAAAAATCCGGAGGTCTGTTATTGTACGTATCTCTGGGGGGAGGTTGTTCCAGAGGGTGGGCGCCGCCACAGAGAAGGCTCTCCCCCTGGGGGTGGCCAGCCGACATTGTCTGGCGGACGGCACCCTGAGGAGGCCCACTCTGTGCGAGCGTACTGGCCGGTGGGAGGCTATTGGTGGCAGAAGGCGGTCTCGTAAATACCCCGGCCCTGAGCCATGGAGCGCTTTAAAGGTGGTCACCAACACCTTGAAGCGCACCCGGAAGACCACCGGGAGCATGTGCAGCTCGCGCAGGAGAGGTTATGACCCTTACTGGTTGATATTGGTCTGTTTTTGTTTCTTATCTAACAGAACAATTATGATTATATAGTATACCGTGTTTCCCCGAAAATAAGACCCTGTCTTATATTTTTTTGAACCCCGAAATAAGTGCTTGGCCTTATTTTCAGGGAGGTATTATTTTTGGGGCGCGTGGAGCAAGACAGGACTCCTGTTGCATCTTACCTGATTTCCAGCTTTGTCTCCCTAACTCTAACCAGAGGAAATGGCAGTGATCCGCTGCGCATGTGATTAAATATTTTCAGGGAGGGCTTATTTTCAGAGAAGGCTTATTAGTTTAGCCTCTCTGGTGCAATCCATAACAGAAAGTATGCTTTATTGCTTTATTGAATCCATAGAATCTATGGATTCTAAATTTGCAGCAGTTACAAGCACATAAAGCGCAGAACTGGATAGCAGTAATGTGTAATTTCTAAATTCTACATGTTTATTGCAGTGTTAGTTAACCTGGCTGCAGCACAAATATTTTGCGTTAAAGTTTCATCTAACAGAGCAATTGCCACTTCGGGTAAATGGATTTTTATCCTAGAGAAAATAGTTAAAGCCTGCTTTGATGTACGAAAGCTGAAATTTTTAATACTAGTGCTTGTCCTTTTTATGCCCTGATTATTGCAAATCATTTATTAAGCATACATATTGATGATAGGTTAGAAGAGATGATATCCACAGTGCCAAATTGCCATATTTTTCGGAGTATAAGTCATACCGGAGTTTAAGACGCACCTTAGTTTTGGGGGAGGAAAATAAGAAAAAAGCTGATTGGCAGGTGGATCGGCCTCCTCCCGGAATACCCCCAATCAGCTGTTCCCAGAGATGAATTTTAGCAACAGGTTCCTTGGTTGTGAGTTCTGTGCCTTGCTTTTTTTTCTGCCTCTGAAACTTTCAGAAAAAACTTTCTTTTCTGCCTCCGAAAGCCTCCAAAACAGAGTTTCAGAAAAAAAGCCTCTGAAGCTCTGTTTGGGGGCTTCTTTTCTGAAGCTTCTTTTCTGATGCTTTTTTCAGCCTCTGAAACCTCCCTTTGAGAAGCTGGGTGGGGCTACATTCGGAGTACAAGACGCACCCAGATTTTCACCCTCTTTTTTGGGGGGAAAAGGTGCGTCTTATACTCTGAAAAATACAGTAATTTGCATTTCATGCTGGCTTATTCCTGATCCACTATTACGGTTTAGCAATTCAGCACGTTTTATTTTTCCTTTTGTCTAGTTTCTAGCCGACATGGAAAACAATGTACTCTTCAGAGATGACATTGAATGTCAAAAACTCATCATGGAAGCGATGAAGTACCATTTGTTGCCAGAGAGAAGGCCCATGTTGCAAAGCCCTCGCACAAAGCCTAGAAAATCTACTGTGGGCGTCCTGTTTGCGGTGGGAGGCATGGATGCTACTAAAGGTATATTGGTTTATAATAAAAATTTAAAAACTAATCCATCGTACGGGGAGTCCTCAACTTAACAACAGTTCATTTGGTGACCGTTCAAAGTTACGGCACTTGCGACCATTTTTCACGCTGAACGACCATTGCAGCATCCTCAGGGCTGTGTGATCAAAATTCGGATGCTTGGCAGCTGGCTCGTATTTATGGCGGTTGCAGCGTCCCCGGGGTCATGAAGTCGGGCACTTTTGCGACCGTCCGACGAGCAAAGTCAATGTGTAAATCAGATTCACTTAACAACCGTGTCACTAACGCAGGGGTGTCAAACTCCAGGCTCGGGCGCCAGGACTTGCCCGCAGGGTGCTTAGATCTGGCCCAGGGGGCCACTCGGGAAATAGCAAAGAATCAGCCTGCGGTGCCTCTGCCAACGAAAATGGAGTGTGTGGCCCTCCCGAGCTCCGTTTTCGCTGGCAGAGAGTTGCAGGAGGCCATCGCTGTCGAAAATGGAGCTGGGGAGCCCGTTTTTGCTGGCAGAGCGCTCAGTCCATCACAGGCACCCCCAACATGAATGACCTCGAGCTGGTCACACCCACCCCGGCCAGTGGTGAAATCCAAATTTTTTTGCTACTGGTTCTGTGGGTGTGGCTTGGTAGGCGTGGCAGGGGAAGGATAATGCAAAATCTCCATTCCCACCCCACTTTGGGACCAGCTAGAGGTGATATTTGCCGGTTCTCAGAACTACTCAAAATTTCCGCTACCGGTTCTCCAGAACCTGTCAGAACCTGCTGGATTTCACCCCTGACCCCGCCCCCCCGAGGTCAAACATAATCCTGATGCGGCCCTCAATGAAGTTGAGTTCGACACCCCTCCACTAACGTAACAACTCAAGGATTCATGTAAGAAATGTGGCAAGAAAGGTTGTGAAAAAACTCACTTAACAAATGTCTCACTTGAGAACACGAATTTTGGGCTCAGTTATGGCTACCTGTACTAATTGGTATAATCACCTGTACAGTTCAAGTATAAATAGAAGTCTCGATTTGGGTCAGGCCTATTTAATTAGTAAGACTACCCCTAACCTCCTGCATGGAGTCCTACCTGTTTCATTTGCGTAGAACTGCTATTATTGTTCCAAGAACTCCTTTTTAAAAAAAACATATTATACTATTATTAAGGAGCGACCAGCATTGAGAAATACGATCTCCGAACCAATATGTGGACTCCTGTTGCAAATATGAACGGGAGAAGGTTACAATTTGGAGTCGCCGTGTTAGACGATAAATTGTACGTCGTCGGAGGTAGAGACGGACTAAAAACACTGAATACTGTGGAGTGTTATAACCCCAAGACGAAAACATGGAGCGTGATGCCACCCATGTCAACTCACAGGCATGGGCTTGGTATGTATAAATATTTGCATTTCTTGTTTTTTTAAAAAAAAGTGTTATGAGTTGAGCTCTTACCAGATTAACTCAAGTAAGCGATTCCAATGTTTTATTTGTGGGTTCGTTGTTGCAGGGAGGGGAGATTAACTTTAAAACTGTTAAATAATGTTAGTTATATTGGTGGGTCTCAATTTAGAGCCCATACATTCATACATAGGGACGTGGTGGCTCAGTGGCTAAGACGCTGAGCTTGTCGATCGAAAGGTCGGCAGTTCAGCGGTTCGAATCCCTAGTGCCGCATAACGGGGTGAGCTCCCGTGACTTGTCCCAGCTTCTGCCAACCTAGCAGTTCGAAAGCAGGTGAAAAATGCAAGTAGAAAAATAGGGACCACCTTTGGTGGGAAGGTAAGAGTGTTCCGTGCACCTTTGGTGTTGAGTCATGCCAGCCACATGACCACGGAGACGTCTTCAGACAGCGCTGGCTCTTCGGCTTTGAAACGGAGGTGAGCACCGCCCCCTAGAGTCAGGAATGACTAGCACATATGTGCGAGGGGAACCTTTACCTTTAAATTCATAGTAGTAGGAGCAAACTTTCCCACTTACAGCAAGAATCTGCTCCCATTCAACTATCTGTGGCTAAATTCCTTTTCTTTCAAATATCTTACATTATTAACTTTTAACGGGAGCCCTGGTGGCGCAGAATGCAGTATTGCAGGCTAACTTTGCCCACAGACTAGAGTTTGAGTCCGACGGAGCTCAAAGGTTGACTCAGCCTTTCATCCTTCCCAGGTCAGTAAAATGAGGACCCGAATTGTTGGGGGCAACATGCTAACTCTATAAACCAATCAGAGAGTGCTATATAGCATTATGAAGCATTATGAGTGGTGCGGTGGCCTAGAGGTGGAACTCTTGCCTCACAATCAGGAGGCTGTGAGTTTGATACTAGGTAGAGGCAGATATTTCTCTCTCTCTGGGCAATGAGTACCTGGATAGCTCAGCAGACTAATGCATTGTAATTTAACTCCAGCTGTCTGCAATTAGTAAGTTCAAATCTCGCCAGGCTCAAGGTTGACTCAGCCTTCCATCCTTTCTAAGGTAGGTAAATTGAGGACCCAGTTTGTGGGGGCAATAAGCTGACTTTGTAAAAATATACAAAAGGATGAAGGCTATTGCTTAATGCATTGTAAGCCGCCTTGAGTCTCCGGAGAAGGGTGGCATATAAATCAAATTAAAAAAAAAAAAGAGAGAATATATCTGCTGAACAAAACTCCGCATTGGTGACAGGAAGGGCATCCGGCCAGTAAACACTCAGCTCCATTCAATTGCCCAGATTCCACCCCGCAAGGGATTATGGAATCATTAAAAGAAGATGATATATGTCTTAAGTGCTATTGCTATGAAGCGTTTTGAGTAATAACCCAACATTATGAATGTTAAACTTACTTGATGTCTCATGTTATTTATATCCTACTTGAGAACTAAGTTGTGGAGACAATATTCCTTGCAGGCATGTGCATCTCCCTGGAGAGATTTTTATGTTCTCTGAAAACTTCTATGAAAATATAGAGATCTGGTTTTCGCTTCAAGAGTGGTCCAGAAACGAGCAATTTGTGATGTTTGCTTTCTTTGAAGGAGTAGCAGTATTGGAAGGTCCGATGTACGCTGTGGGAGGACACGATGGTTGGAGCTACCTGAACACAGTCGAAAGGTGGGATCCACAGGCCCGTCAGTGGAACTTCGTGGCCAGTATGTCAACTCCAAGGAGTACAGTGGGTGTAGCAGTACTAAGTGGAAAGTAAGTACAGACAAACCAAAAGTTAAGGCTTTCTCGTATAGGTAATCCTCAATTTACGACCAGAATTGAACCCAAAATTTCTGTTGCTAAGTGAGACAGCTGTTAGGTAAATTTTGCCCCATTTTGCAACCTTTCTTGCCACAGTTGTTAAGTGAATCACTGCAGATGTTAAATTGGTAACACGTTTTTTTTTTTAAATGACCTCCCCTTTGATTTTGCTTGTCAGAAGGTCACAAAAGGGGAATCACGTGACACCTCCCCCCCGCCCCGCCCCGGGCACACTGCGACCGTCATAAATATGAACAGGGTTGCCAAACATCCAAATTTTGATCACATGACCACGGGGCTGCTGCAACAGTCTTAAGTGTGAAAAAAACGTCGTAAGTTACTTTTTTCAGTGTTGTAACTTTGAACGGTCACTAAATGAATGGTTGTAAATTGAGGACTACCTGCATTCTTATTGCTCTTGTCAGAACTTCTTACGGAAACACTAAGTATGCTCTGTTTCCCTGAAAATAAGACCCAAACAGAAAATAAGCCCTAGCATGATTTTTCAGGTTGCTCGTAATATAAACCTTACCCGCAAAATAAGCCCTGGTTAAGATTGTCAGCCAGACGGCTGCATTTAGTACCGTATTTTCCCAAAAATAAGATCTAACTGGAAAATAAACACCTAATGCGTCTTTGGGAGCAAAAATTAGTATAAAACCTGGTCTTATTTTTGGGGAAACACGGGTATTGATTACTGCTACGTTAAGCACTAATCATAACTATAATTTATGATAAATGTTTTAATACCGCTTCATGTACAGTGGAAACCCACAAGTTCGGGAATATCGTATGGAATCAGAGAAAAATTGGTGGAGGGAAAGAAAAAAGCCCAATCCCTTTGTATTTAGTTGCCAAATGAACAGATTCTACTCCATGAATAGTTTCCACTTCTGAATTATCTGTGGAGCGATGCCTGAAAAATGTTTGCTTTCCGATCCAAAATTTCCCTTTGTTCAGTCCTGTATTGTAGATCTCGGGAGTCTCACAACACTCGGCTAAATTTTTTGTAGATGATTGAAAGCAAGTTATGGGAAACCACGCATGATAAACTGCTCCAATTTCAAGTTTATACTCCAGCTTCGTTGATAATGATCTCACTCGCGCATTTTCCTTGATGAGACGTTAAAGGCTGATCTTAATCAACAGAATAAAGAATTATTAGAAAACAGGAAAGGTTGCTCCATCCTGATGAACGTGACCTGCGAAACATTTGCAATGTTGTTTTTCAGACTTTTCAAACTTTCACTTTATTATTATTATTATTATTATTATTATTATTATTATTATTATTATTATTATTATTTTTCCTGCAACAGTTAGAAGTAATTCAGCATTGGTTTGAGCTTTTTCTCATTCTGTTGTGCCTGGAAACGGATAGCTAATGTTACTTCTCTTAACATTTCTATGTATGTTCACAGGCTCTACGCGATAGGCGGCCGAGATGGAAGTTCTTGCTTGAAGTCCGTAGAATGCTTTGACCCGCACACGAACAAGTGGACACCCTGCGCTCAAATGTCTAAACGAAGGGGGGGCGTGGGAGTAACAACCTGGAATGGCTTCCTGTATGCTATCGGGGGTCACGATGCACCAGCTTCTAACTTGACATCAAGGCTGTCCGATTGTGTAGAAAGGTACGATCCAGGGGTGAATTTATTTATTATTTATTTAGCGTATGGCTGGTCACACACAATATTAAAACACTTCATTTTTACAGGTTAAAACCAGTGGTGGGTTCCTCCCGGTTCAGTCCGGTTCGGCCGAGCCGGTAGCAGTGACAATATGATGTCACCCCCCCGCCCTCCCACCCCCCCACCGCCCCACGTTATTCTTACCTTTTATTTGGTCCCACCCCCAATCTTTTACTGCCTCCTGAGTCCCAGCTGATGGCTAGAGGGAAAAAAATTGTTTAAACTCTTGCTGCGGGGTTTCAAAGGGCCGCCCTACAGCTGATCAGTGTTAAAAGCAAACAAATGAGTCGGGTCGTAAATGCACTGGTCGTAAGTGCGAGGACCTTCCAGAAATGACTCTTCAGCCCTCTGAGTAGTCCCTATACACATAGCCATGGCCACCCGGTCACATGACCAGCTAGCCACGCCCGCCTAGTCACATGACCTCCAAGCCACACCCACAAAATAAGGCACGCCCACAGAACCGGTAGTAAAAAAATTTCGAACCCACCCCTGGTTAAAACAATTAAAACAATTAGGAAAAAAGCAGTAAGAAAACCTAAGAGGAAAACAGAAATAACATTTCAGAGTTTAATGTCGAGTTTGGAGATCCAGTCAGTAGCTGTCGTTGTTACGCAGAAGAAGTCCCTAAAATCTCCTGGATACCTTCTGTTAGAGCATTCCCTCACTATATGTTGGATACTCTGCCGGGGGTCCCCACAGTGGCATTGTGCTGGAGGTGTCCTTCCCCATTTATACAAGGAGTCGGCACACACCCCATGAGTCATTCTAATTCTATTCTATGTCACCCATATGTGTTGGGGCAGATTAAATCCTGGAGGTATACTATTGTATAGTATACTATACTATATATACTATACTATACTATGGTCAGAAATATCTTGGGGGGAATAGCTACTCCACGCTTCCATCCACTTTTCACCAGGGGTGAAATCCAGCAGGTTCTGACAGGTTCCGGAGAACCAGTAGCGGAAATTTTGAGTAGTTCGGAGAACCGGCAAATGCCACCTCTTGCTGGCCCCAGAGTGGGGTGGGAATGGGGATTTTGCAGTATCCTTCCCCCAGGAGTGGGGAGGGAATGGGGATTTTGCAGTATCCTTCCCCTGCCATGCCCACTAAGCCACGCCCGCCACGCCACGCCCACAGAACCGGTAGTAAAAAAAATTTGAATTTCACCCCTGGTACGATCCCAATAAATTGTTAACTTCGCTTAAGCTCGAAAGTTTGACAACAGTCGTGGTGTGGGTAAACTTAACAGTTGTTGTTTCAACCATTGAGTTGTGTCACTCAAAGGTTATTTGTCCGCTTGTATAGACAGTCTTCTACTTAACAACAGTTCAAAGTTTACCATTCAAAGTTACAGCATTGCTGAAAAAAATGACTTATGATCGTTTTCCACACTTACGACCGTTGCAAGCATCCTCTTGGTCACGTGATTGAAATTTGGATGCTTGGTTCATCTTTAGGATGGTTGCGGTGTCCCAAGATCAGGGAATCCCCTTTTTACGACCTTCTAACGAGCAAAGTTGACGGCAAAGCCAGATTCCCTTAACAACAACTGCAGGGATTCCCTTAACTGTGGAAGCGAGGTTGTAAAACGGAGCAACATTCACTTAGCAAGTGTGTCACGTAGCAACAGAAATTTTGCCCTCAGTGGTGGTCATAAGTCGAGGATTCCCTGTATGATAAAATCATGTTTTTGACACAGCGCGCATATGCGCAAGGCACACACGAGCGAAGGGAGCGTGTGCACCTGCGCACTCAAAATTTTTTATTCTGGGCGAACCAGTTGTTAACTTATGTGAAACCCATCTCTGCATATGAGGGTGGATAAAAATCAATGATTTTTTTAAAAAAAATCAAAAAAATCAGATTTTTTTGATTTAAATCGGATTTTTTTTTTTTTATCAAATTCATTTTAATAAAATGCTTTTGGAGTAAAAAATCTATCTAAAGATAGTTTCTATTTAAGATACATTCATAATTTAGTTTATTCAGCATGAAATGGAGCTTAGTTATGTAGCATGAGGCTGTATATTCTGCAACACTGGGACTCTCGGTGAGTTAACAGTGGGTCAAAGGAGTAGCAGAGATGACAGTTGCTCTTTAAAAATTATGATTTAAATCGAGTTGATTTAAATCAAGCCTTTTTACTAGGGATTTAAATCATGATTTAAATCGTGATTTAAATCAACTTGATTTAAATCAGATCCACCCTGCTGCATATTTCTCTTAGCAACCTAAATTTTGAACTCAATTGAGGTCGTTAGTTGAGGACTACTTGTAACTACTTGATTTTAACAAGGACATTTTAAATTGATTGTTTTAGTAGGTTTTTTTATTGTATTTTATTTAGTAGTTTGTTTTTATTTTTAGTAGTTTATTTTTTATTGTTCTTTAATTCTGTGAGCCGCCCCGAGTCCTTTGGGAGAAGGGCGGCATATAAGTATAATAAAATAAATAAATAAATAAATAAAATAAACCCCTTCCCGTGGGAACCAGAGGGGGTTTCCAAGACTTTACCTTTCGTTGGATCATTATTTCACAAAAATCAAAACGGGTTTCAAGGGAGCAATATACAAAATACACGCAGAGATTTTGGTGGCAGTTCTTCAATGACATAAAATGGAAACTTGCTTTTTTTTTTTTTTAAATCAGATACGATCCCAAAACAGATGTGTGGACTGCTGTGGCATCCATGAGCATCAGCAGGGACGCGGTGGGAGTCTGCCTTCTTGGAGATAAACTCTATGCTGTGGGAGGATATGACGGACAAGCCTACCTTAATACAGTCGAATCGTACGATCCTCAGATAAATGAGTGGACACAGGTAATGTGGAGGTTAAGAGAGCTGACCAGCACCTCTGAGATTGTGGGGGTCTTTGGTTGTATCTGAGCTTCGTTGTTTCATTACCAAACTATGTAACACCATCAGTGCTGGGAGGGAGTGGGCAGAGTTTGAACTTGGCATTTTGTTTCTTTTAATTTAAGTATTTTTTAAAAAAATATTTTTGCTTCTTTTTTCCATTTTGTATTATTACCGGTTGTCCTTCACTGACGGCCACAACTGAGCCCAAAATTTATGTCGCTAAGTGAGACATTTGTTAAGTGAGTTTTGCCCCATTTTTACGATGTCTCTTGCCATCGCGGCAGTTGTTAAATTAGTCATTCGGTTGTTCGGTGAATCCGGCTTCAACCTTGCTTGTCAGAAGGTCGCAAAAGGTGACCGCCTGGGACACTGCAGCCGTCATAAATACGAGTCAGTTGCCAAGCATCCAACATTTGGCACGTGATGGCACAGTGGGCCCGGTAGGCTCATTTTTCGCCCTCCCCAGGCTCCAGAGGCTTTCTTGGAACCTGGGGAGGGCGAAAACTGCCTCCCCCCCCGAGGCCCTCCGGAGGCCGGAAATGGCCTGTTTCCTGACTTCCGGTGGCCCCAGAAGGCCCGAAAATCAGCTGAGCTAGGGCAACGCTTGCGTGTCCACAGATATGGCTCCGCATGCCACCTGTGACACGTGTGCCATGTTTTTTGCCATCTGGGTCTAGATTCTTCTTAAAAACCTCCAGCGATGGAGCATCCACGATTTTTGAAGGCTCTCTACATGGGGCTCCCCTTGAGGAGCACCCGGAGGCTCCAACTGGCGCAGAGTGCGGCCGCGTGGGTGGTTATGGGAGCGACGTGAAGCTCCCATGTAACACCTCTCCTGCGCGAGCTGCACTGGCTCCCGGTGGTCTTCCGAGTGCGCTTCAAGGTTCTGGTTATAACCTTTAGAGCGCTCCATGGCTTAGGCCTGGTTATCTACGGGACCGCCTGCTACCACCAATAGCCTCCCACCGGCCAGTGCGCTCCCATAGAGAGGAGCTCCTCCAGGTGCCGTCGGCCAAACAATGTCGACTGGCGGCCCCCAGGGGGAGAGCCTTCTCTGTGGGGGCACCTACTTTCTGGAACGAGCTCCCCCCGGAGATACAGAGGATCCCGGATCTGTGCACCTTCCGTCGCGCGCTTAAGACTTTTTTATTTCATCAAGCTGGCCTGACCTAAATCCTCTCCCCTTTTTAATTGTAAATTTTAATTTGTGTTAAATTATGGGGTATTTTAAATTCAGCCAAATTATTTGATTCGTTTTTATTTGATTTTAAATTTTTGTATTTATGTGTTTTTATCTTGTGGCTGTTCACCGCCCTGAGTCCTTCGGGAGAAGGGCGGTATAGAAATTTAAATAATAAATAAATAGATAGATAGATAGATAGATAGATAGATAGATAGATAGATAAATCTGTTCCACCGAAAAGCTTTTTTCCAAAATATTTGCGAATCGTATTGATCATTTTGTCCTTGATTCTTTTTTTTTTTTAATTCCTATTTATTTTATTTTTATTTTTATTTTATTTATATTTATTTTATTTCCCTATTTCAGGTTGCACCATTGTGCCTCGGAAGAGCTGGAGCTTGTGTCGTGACTGTCAAACTTTAGTCGCGAAACCATTTGCCTCTCCCGTAGACTCTTTGGTGATTTCACATCAAATTCTTAAAAGCGTAAACGCGTCAGGTACTGTGTATCTCCGCAAGGCAAAGAGACTGACCTTAAATCTATTTGTATAAAGGATTTTTTTTTAAAACGACCAATATTGTGCACTTTTAAAAGAAAACAACTCACGAGTAATGCAGTTTATGTACACATCTGTATGTCTTGGTAATGGAAATACATTACGGATAAGATAGCATGTTTGAAGTACAGAAACCAGGAGGGGGAAAAAAAAGACACTCCTTTTGATTGTTCTGGAGGCAGGAAAGGAAATTTTATTTATAATTGTTTGGCCTCTAGCCACAGCTTTGCAATTTCCTTTATGTCCTTTTGCAAGATGCTTACAGTAGTGGCCAAAATTGTGCAAACCTTTTGGGAAAATGAGTGAGAATGAGCCGAGGTGGTGCAGTGGTTAGAGTGCAGTACTGCAGCTACTTCAGCTGACTGCTAGTTCAGCAGATCAACGGATCAAATCTCACCGGCTCAAGATTGACTCAAGCCTTCCATCCTTCCGAGGTGGGTAAAATGAGGATCCAGATTGTTAGGGGGCAATATGCTATTTAGCATACTGTCTTTGGTGTAAGCCACCCAGAGTCCTCGGAGAGTGGGCGGCATAGAAATACGAATAATAAATAAAAATAAAAGTGTATTTTCTAAAACTAGCTAATAACACCACTTTTTTTGGAGTAGTATCAGTGGTGGGATTCAATTTTTTTTACTACCGGTTCGGTGGGCGTGGCTTGGTGGGCGTGGCGTGGTTTGGTGGGTGTGGCAGGAGAAAGGATACTGCAAAATCCCCCATTTCCACTCCACTCCAGGGGAAGGATATGGCAAAATCTCCATTCCCACCCCACTCCAGGGGAAGGATACTGCAAAATCTCCATTCCTACCCCACTCCAGGGGAAGGAAACTGCAAAATCTCCATTCCCACCCCACTCCAGGGGAAGGATACTGCAAAATCTCCATTCCCACCCCACTCCAGCGGAAGGATACTGCAAAATCTCCATTCCCACCCCACTCTAGGGGAAGGATACTGCAAAATCTCCATTCCCACCCCACTCTAGGGGAAGGATACTGCAAAATCTCCATTCCCATCCCACTCCAGGAGGAAGGATACTGCAAAATCTCCATTCCCACCCCACTCCAGGGGAAGGATACTGCAAAATCTCCATTTCCGTTCCCACTTCAGGGGAAGGATACTGTAAAAACTCCATTCCTTCCCCGCCCCACTAATCTGCTTTCCAGTTCTGTTCTCCTGTGCAGGGCAACAAAAGAAGACCCAGCCAATCAGCTGAGACTCGATCAGCTGGGACTCAGGAGGCAGCCAATAGATCGGGGGTGGGGCCAGTCAGAGGTGGTATTTGCCGGTTTTCCGAACTACTCAAAATTTCCACTACCAATTCGCCAGAACCGGTGAAAATTGGCTGAATACTACCATAAAATTATATATCAATGGAAAGATAATTTAATCAGGAATATAATGCAATAACTTTTATGAAGGATTTGCTATTAGAATACCAGTTACAGTATAAAGAAGAAAAGTGAAACACGTAGAAAAAACGAGATATAGTAAAATGATCCTCATGTCAGTTAATACTTAGTTGGGGTAAACTTTAGCATGAATTGCGGCCTTGCAGCGTCTTCCCATGGAGTGAACCAAGTCTTTGAGTTCTGCAGCTTTTATAATATGAAACCAAGATTGAAGGATCTTCTATTAACTGGGTTTTATTGCTGGGTCGCTTCTGACTAACAAGTTTCTCTAGTCGGCTCCATAGATTTTCAATTGGGTGAAGGTCTGGGCTATTCCCAGGCCATTCCAGCAGTGGAATAGGATTCTCTTGAAACTCCCCCCAAAAAAGTGGTGTTATTAGCCATCAAACCTCAAAAATACACTTTTCCCAAAAGGTTTTGACAAGTTTGGCCACTACTGTATAGTCTTGGTTTGTTCCAAATGCTTTTTTTATTGTTTGCTTCTTCTTCTTCTTCTTCTTTTGAACATGGCACAACAAACCAAATGTGAAGGAAATACCAAGTGTACTTCTGATTTGAGAAATGCTGTACCTCTGATGCCTATGTTGGTAGTTCCTGGCTTACGACCATCATTGAGCCCAAGACCTCTGTTGCTAAGCGAGACGTTTGTTCAGTGAGTTACGCCCCATTTGACGACTCTTCTTGCCGCAGTTGTGAAGTGGGTAACACGGTCTTTAAGGCAATTGACCTTCCTTGAACCAGTTGCCCAGCGTCTAAATTTTGATCACATGACCGTGGGGAATGCCGCAATCGTCATAAGTGTGAAAAATGGCCATAGGTCCATTTTTCAGCGCCGTTTGTAACTTTCAACGGTCATTAAATGAACTGTTTTAAGTCAATGACAACCTGTAATTTTTTTCAGAGATATTTTGTACTCTTTTTCTCTTTAAACCGAAGCCTTATTTTAATTCTTGTCTTACACTCGGAAATAGGTTAGCGGAGTATCTTTTTCAAGAGCTTTCCATCACTGAGTGAGTGTCTTGTTAGGAAGTTTTACGTAGGCTAGAAATAATCCTGCAAATCTTTCCGAACTGGGATTGTATTGTCACTTTATGGATCATTTCTTCAAAGAAGTTGCAGTAAAAGAACAGTTAATGAGGTTGATTAAAAGTGACTCAGATTATTATTATTATTCCAAAACATTCCATGATTGTGGCTAACTTTCCCCAGGTTTTATATAGGCATCGACAGAGTGTTATTCTAACAAAAAAAATAATAATCGCCTTTGGCACATTTTCGGATCTTCAGTTGCATTCCAAATCAAAGATTGATCGATTTCCCTAAGATCAAATTTCTGTAGCTCAGTTATTTCATAGTGTAGCGATTCCTCTGTGGAATTTTCTTAAGGTTTATATGTTACATGATTAGGAAATATTTGGATGTTCCAACCTGCTCTTCGCTTTTTATATTTTCTTTTGTGCCTTGTTTAAAATGCTACAAGGTCCTCGACTTAACGACCACAGTTGAGCCTGTTGCTAAGCAAGATTGTTAAATGACTTCTGGTCCATTTTACCACATTTTTTGCCACAGTCATTATGCACTCCCATGCATAAGTGAATCTGTCTTCCCCATTTACTTTTCTTCCTCCGTTTGACCCTGGGACGTGTAAAATGCATTCCAGTTGCCAGGCCCTCAAATTTTGGGGATGTTGCAACTGCCATAAATGTGAAAACTGAACATGAGTTACTTTTTTTTCCCCGAATTTAAATTTTTTATTGGTTTTACCACAACAACACAACACAACACAACATACAAAACACAAACACATGATACATGTTTCTTTTTTCATATCAGTTTCGTTCCTCTTACTTTCTACTATATACATTCCCCATTTTTCCATCCTTTATTATCATTATTTTTATCGTCCCTTTATTTTTAATTTTCTTCATTTACAATATTTTGCACATTTGTCACCTTCTTCTCTCCATCGTTTATTCACATTTACTTTCCCTGATCTCGAGCCAATCATACCATTTAGTCCATACTTGATAATATTCTGTATCTTCCTTTTCTTTTATTTCTTTCGTTAATTTATCCATCTCCGCACAGTCCAGGATTTTCTTAATTATTTCTTCCTCTGTTGGGATCTTTTCACTTTTCCAGGACTGTGCGTAGACTATCCTTGCCGCTGTAATTATATGCAGAATCAAATATCCAATTTCTTTACTGTAAGTTCTGTTCAATATCCCCAGTAAAAACGGTTTTTTTGAACATGAGTTATTTTTTTCCAGTGCCGTCGTAAGTTCGAAGAGGCAGGCTGGGCTACACTGAAGCAGTTTCTGCACATGGCTCAGTTACTCAGAAGTCGTTCCGTTGCTCTCTTTGGTTGACAAGGCCACCATTACTGCATTCTGCAAAAAGACAAGAAGCAACGGAGGTCAAATGAAGCCAACACTCATCCTCAAGGCAAAGACGAGTCCAGTCCAGTAGGCCAAAGCAAGTTCCCAAGGCAAAGGCAAATTCATAGGCAAAGCTGAAGAGACATGATCCAAAGTTCAAGGCAAGGACCCACAGCAAGACGACAAACACGGCGTTCCCAGCATCGCCTCCATCTCTCTGCTGTGCTAAATAGCCAACTTCTGGTGCAGACCATGAAGGAGGGCGAGGCTGCCTCCTGGCAAGTGATCTGGCTGACCTTCGCTGCTCCTGCCTTTTCTCCGCCCAGTGTGTTCTTGGATCAGGTACAGAAGGCAGTTCCCCCTCCTCATCGCTGACTGGCTGCAGTTGTATGCTTTCCCCACCTGAAGCCCCAGAGCTGTTGTGCTGCAGCTACGCTTCAGCCGAATCCCTCTCAGAGGGCTGCTGGGTGCCATTGAGCGATTCCCCTCCTGACGTGTCTGGAACTGGTTCATCTTCCTCCGAGCTAACATCTGGAGAGGGATCTGGGGAGTCATTACACATGGTCCTCCTGGCACAATTGGCCTACCTGGCACAACTGCATGCTAGTTTATACTGTCTGGGTCCTATTGTGACTCAGTGCCAGCCAGACACCACTGTCATAAAGGAGGACCCCAGAGGGGCTTCAGATCACAGGAGGGGGCTTTAGTTCAGGAAAGTTTCCTTCTGTTGCAACAGGTGCTCTTCTCTCCCTTCAAACGGGGTGGTGGGAGCATTTCCCAGGCTTCCCTTCTCTGAGCCATAAAGGCAGCTGCTGGACGAGGAAGTTTCTCTAGTTTATTTGAGTTAGAAACATTACAAATGTCACTGTTCCAAGCAACACGTCCAATGAAAGAAAACTCCGAGACTTGAGTTTCCTCAAAGTTCCATTTTATTAGAGATGTCATATTGGCACATCTGGGAAAACCTGAATCGGAAAGCTTCCAGGTTTTCCCCACCCAAAAGAAAGCTCGAGTCCCTGCCCAGCACCCACATGTCCATTTCACGGTCCAATCAGGCACCTGTTCTGTCCCTGTACCACACACGCACCCCCACAGACAGCCCGGAGTTAATAAGCCACACGACAAAACTCTTTGAAGATAAAGCTGACAGCAACCCAGTGGCTAGCTGCCAATTCAGACTTTACTCACACAAAACAAAGATTAGACTGCAAGCATTCTGATAAAACAGGCAGAGTGTCAACAATACAAGGATTAATCTAAATGCAGTCCGATAAAGCAGGCAAAGTCCAGTAACGCAGAGATCATGGATTATTTCCAGTTTTTGCTCGTCACAAACTGAACCGGCCACCACACCCACATTTATACCCTGTGGGGTGTGGTCCAGTGACTCAGCTAATCTCTGGCACGGCATGCCTTCCCCTCTGCTGCGCACGCTTCTCCCTGCGCCTCTGTCTAGGGTCCAGCCAGCACTTATCTTCTTCATCGCTGTCCACCTGTGGCTGCGGGGACGTGCTTGGCTCTGAGCCTATCGTTTGGCCTTCGGTGTCCTCCAGAGGCATTGCCAGAGAGGAGGGTCCTGGAGAGGGAGGCCTTGCCAACTCCTCTCCCTCACTCTCAGAGTCTGCATCTGTCGATAGCCCAGGCTCAGGCAACGGAGCCACAACAGCACCCTCCAAAACGGGAGATGCCTCCCAGTCACCTCATTGCAGCTGCAGGGCCAGATGACCTTGACTTTCTGAGAAAAGAATGTTATTTTGACTATATATCTCTCCCACACTCTCTCTAACTCCCCCCTCCCATATTCCCCCAGTAGAAAAAGTGGCAGGCCTGAAGTCCCAAAGACAAAAGATGGCACATGGGTGACAAGGGCTAAACTGAAGCAAGACATTTATCCCATATCGAATGCAGCTCCATGAAATTTCCCGAGCAGCAGAAACTCACGCAGAAAAGGAATACAGATAGTCCAGGACTTAACAACCATTTGTTCTGTCACCGTTCGACGTTACGGCGACGCTGAAAAAAGTAACCGTTGACCGTTTTTCGTACTTACAACCAACCGTTCAGTGATGGGATTAAAAACTTTTTTTTTACTACTGGTTCTGTGGGCGTGGCTTGGTGGGCGTGGCAGGGGAAGGATACGGCAAAATCTCCATTCCTACCCTACTCCAGGGGAAGGATACTGCAAAATCTCCATTCCCACCCCACTCCAGGGGAAGGATACTCCCCACCCCACTAACCTGCTTTCCAGCTCCTTTCTCCTGTGCAGGCCAACAAAAGAAGAGCCAGCCGATCAGCTGGGACTCGATCAGCTGGGACTCGGGAGGCAGCGAACAGATCGGGGTGCGGGGCCAGCCAGAGGTGGTATTTGCCGGTTCTCCGAACTACTCAAAATTTCCGCTACCGGTTCTCCAGAACCGTCTGAATACCATCTCTGCAACCATTGCAGCATTCCCCATGGCCACGTGATCAGAATCCGGCTGCTTGGCCACTGCTTCATATTTATGACAGTTGCAGCATCCTGGGGTTCATGTGGAAAGTCAATGGGGAAACCAGATTCACTTGACAACGGGGTTACTAATTTAACAACTGCAACGATCCACTTAACAACTGTGGCAAGGAAAGTGGTAAAACAGGAACTGCAAAATTCATTTAAGAGCTGTCCTGATTAGCAACGGAGATTTGGGGCTCAATTGTGATGGCAAGTCGAGGGCTACCTGTATTGCCATTTTGTCGCAGCACTTCCTTATTACCTGAACTGCTTTTCTAGCCGTCTTCCCATCTCATTTATGATCCAAGGGCCTTATGGTTCCAAACGTCTTAGAGAAGGCAATCAAACTCCCACAAAAGTTGCCAACACGTTCTAATTTCTACTATGTCAGATGGAAAACCGATCCAATAGATGGAAAGGAATTAATTTTATTGTATTGAATTAAAAAATATATAATACGAAGGAAATGAAATCAAACTTCTCTCCTGGTTATATTTGGAAAACGCTCTGTAGAGCGTGCATTTCCAATCTGTTCAATTGTGATGTTTATTTGAAAAGTGCGTCTTCAAACATCTGTTTCTCGTGGATCTACCTTCTTTGGTGGTGTACAACAAAAACATCGTCATATTTGCATTTCCCCCCCAACTACTACCAGTTCTGTCAGCGTAGCTTGGTGGGCGTGGCAGGGGAAGGATACTGCAAAATCTCCACTCCCTCCCCACTCCATGGGAACGATACTGCAAAATCTCCACTCCCTCCCCACTCCTGGGGGAACGATACTGCAAAATCTCCATTCCCTCACCACTCCTGGGGGAAGGATACTGCAAAATCTCCACTCCCTCCCCACTCCATGGGAACGATACTGCAAAATCTCCATTCTCACTCCACTCCTGAGGGAAGGATACTGCAAAATCTCCATTCCCATCCCACTCCAGGATACTGCAAAATCTCCATTCCCACCACACTCCAGGGGAAGGATACTGCAACATCCCCATTCCCTCCCCACTCCTGGGGGAAGGAAAATCTCCACTCCCACCCCACTCCGGGGGAAGGATACTGCAAAATCTCCATTCCCACCCATTCTTGGGGAAGGATACTGCAAAATCTCCATTCCCCCCCCACTTCTGGAGAGGGATACTACAATATCCCCATTCCCTCCCCACTCCTGGGGGAAGGCTATTGCAAAATCCCCATTCCCACCCCATTCTGGGACCAGCCAGAGGTAGTATTTGCCGGTTCTCCGAACTACTCAAAATTTCCGCTACCACCGGTTCTCCAGAATCTGCTGAATAGCACCCCTGCTCCAGCCTCGGGGAGGCAGGCATCTCAAGCGGTTTGATAAAACCTCGATTTATTCATCACACAAAGTGTCTCAGGCTAGGACACTTTCTTTTTATCTTTAACTTTGGCCTCAACACGGCTATCATTTTAAATATTGGGACCTCTCAATTAATGTCTCCGTATATAGCTGGTAAGTGAAGCTAATAAACCATTAATAAATGTTCATTATACGGAACAGTCAAAGACTCCTCTCTCCTTTCTTGGCTCTAGGGACTCGGCGGGGACCTTAAGCATTGGGAGGGCGGGGCTGCTGAGACCTCGCTCCAATCGGAGCCCGGAGAGTTGAGGGGTGTGGTGAGGGGGCGGGGCGGGGGTGGGGCTGATGGAGATTACTCCCCAATAGGGATCATTTAATTCTTTTGTTTTATTCTAATAATAATAATAATAATAATAATAATAATAATAATAATAATAATAATAATAATAATAATATTTCTATACCACCCTTCTCCCGAAGGACTCTGATGGTTCCTCAGAGGAATAAATTCAAAGTTTTCTATCAATGGGGTTCAGTTCAATCCTATGGCTATGATTTATTTCTGGAATGGCCTGAATGTGATTTATTGCTGGGATAGTATAATTTAAGTATAAGTATAATTTTATTTCTCTAGGATAGGTTTTTCTTCCCGTTTTGAACGCTGGTGGGGAAACAATTGAGACCCGTTGCAGATTTATTTATTTTTTTTTAAATGATTTCTCTATGGATTTAAGCCTTGATGGTACAGTGGTCTAAGCACCCTGTTATTAACACAGCTGCCTGCAATTACTGCTAGTTCGAATCTCTCCAAGGCTCAGGGTTGACTCAGCCTTCCATCCTTTCTAAGGTAGGTGAAATGAGGACCCAGTTTGTGGGGCAATAAGCTGACTTTGTATAAATATACAAAAGTAGAAAGGCTATTGCTTAACGCATTATAAGCCGCCCTGAGTCTCCGGAGAAGGGCGGCATATAAATCAAATTTAAAAAAAAAAAAAGGGATCGCTTTCCTCCCTGACAATATTTTTAAATAGTTTGCCATTTTTAAAAAAAATAAAATAAAAATAAAAATAGACTTTGATTGTGGGCTATCGAGTCCACCTTGACTTGGATTTTCTCCAGATTTATTTATTTGTCAAATGTCATTTGACATTTATTTGTCAACCTTTATTATTTTTTTATAAATAACTCGAGGCGTAGCTTTTCTCTATGACAATCTTTCCATGACTTGGTCTCTCAGCAGTGATCCATGGCTGGTGCTACTGAGCCCATTCATCTCGCAGCTGGTTGCCTTTTCCTTCCTTCCTTCCTTCCTTCCTTCCTTCCTTCCTTCCTTCCTTCCTTCCACCTTGCGTATAGAATAGGATAGAATATAATTTTTTTATTGGCCAAGTGTGATTGGACACAGAAGGAATTTGTCTTTGATGCATAGGCTCTCAATGTATATTTAAAAAGAAAAGATACATTTGTCAAGAACCATAAGGTACAACACTGAATGATAGTCATAAGGTACAAATAAGCAATCAGGAAACAATATCAATATATAGCACTGCAGATATCTCAAGAAAGCTAGAGCTTTGCATTTTCACTTCATTATTTATTTTATTCATTTATTTTGTCAAGCCATATATAAGATAACAGGTGAAAGTATAAACATAATTTGAATACATGAAAAAAGCAAGTAAAAAGGAATTTTAGGACAGGGACGGTAGGCACGCCGGTGCACTTTTGCACGCCCCTTTATAGCATAAATTTGCTAGATCTTTGCATTTATACTTTTATCTCTGTATGAGAATTCATTGATTTATCCTACGCTAATATGACATTAACATTCTCATAACCCTCGATTGATAACCGCTCCGAAGAACGGTCGCCTCTTCCATTTATCTTTTAGTATCTCTAGGGGCCGCCGTCTCCTGGGTGACGCCGACGCGGATGCCGGACAGGCGCCTCAGTGTGCGCATGCGCCCCTCCTCTCCTCTCCCCCCCTCCCCTTTTTTTAACCGACGCTCGGTTTCTGAGGGGAAAAAGATGCAGGTAAAGGCCGAGGCGGCGGCGGCGGCGGCTTTGGGGCCGGTCGAGGGGCTCCCCACCCCGCCAGCCCGGTTTCCTCTGCCAGGAACGGGCTCAGCGCCTTCCTTTCCCTTCCCTTTCGGGCGCCCGTAACTTTCCCGGTTGGTTAGGACAGGCGGCTGTTCAACCGGTGGGGTGGCGGGGAGCCTGTGGAACGCCTGCCTGCCTGCCTGCTCAGAGGCTGGTAGGGGAGAAGGAGCCTCCGTCGCTGAAAAAGCCTTGGACGGCCGTTTGTCTGGAACGGTGTATCGGGCAAGGGGTGGACTAGATGACCTCCCAGGCCCCCTTCCAGCTCTGTTAATTCTGTCCTTCTGACCATCTCTGCCGTTCCCCTTTCTCCTTCTGGTCTTCCATCTTTCCCAAGACATCGGGGCTCTTCTCCAAGGAGTTCTCTCTTCTCCTTCATTAGGGGGCCCAAGACTTTGGCTGGCTTTTATCTGCCAGTAATTTTTTTTTTTTATCTATCTGTCTGTCTATCTATCTTCTCTCTCTCTCTCTTTCTCTCTCTGTCTATTTATCTTATCTATATTTATCTAATCTATCCATCTATCTTATCTCTCTCTCTAATCTATCTACCTAATCTATATCTATCTATCATTATCATCTCTATCATCTCTCTCTCTAATCTATCTATCATTATACACACATACACACACACACATATATGTATCATCTATTTAATCTATTATCTCTATATCTATCATCTCTCTATCATCTCTATTTATCTTATCTATATCTATCTAATCCATCTATTTTATCTCTCTCTCTAATCTATCTATCTAATCTATATCTATCTATCTATCTATCTATCTATCTATCTATCTATCTATCTATCAGTATCATCTCTGTCATCTCTCTCTAATCTATCTATCTTTATATATATATGTATCATCTATCTAATCTATCATCTCTATATCATCTATCATCTCTCTCTATCTAATCTATCATCTCTCTCATCTCTCTCCACATCTATTTATTTAATCTATCATCTCTCTATATCTAATCTATCACCTCTATCATCTCTCTATCTAATCTCTATCATCTCTGTCTATCATCTCTCTATCTAATCTATCCATCTATATTGATGGATATATCATCAATATATATGATATATATATATATATATCATCTCTATCACTCTTATCTATCTATCATTTCTCTATATCTAATCTATCCATCTATATCTATCATCTCTCTATCATCTCTATTTATCTACTCTATCCATCTATATCTATTATCTCTCTATCATCTCTATTTATCTAATCTATCCATCTAATCTATCCATCTAATCTATCTATATGATCTCTCTCTCTCTCTCTTATCTATATATTATCTATCTCCCCCTCTCTAATCTAATCTATCTATCTATCTATCTATCTATCCATCTATCTATTTTATATATCTCTCTCTCTAATCTATCTATGTAATCTATTTTATCTATTTTATCTTGCCAACAGGATAGACTGCTGTGAACTGGCCTTTTATAAAGAACTATGTTCTACAGATTGAAATAGAAGGCCTTCAAAAAAAAACAATTTACAAATGTTTAATTCTCACTTTCCGTCCACAGCGCGTATTTACCCTTTCAGAGAAGGATGCACCTAGTGCCCCTGTGCAATTTGCTTGGCAAAAAACCTTAGGAAACTACATTGCGGTTACAGGGTAAGATTTTAAAAAAAGAGAGAAATGAATGAAAGATCCTAGGTGTCTGGGTTTGACCTTGCAGAAGTGAAAGGTGTGGAGTGAAAATGTGTTTCTTATCTCTTTGTTTAATCTTCTTCCAAAAATAACGCAAAAATTTCACCACTGATTTTAGATGCATGTGAAAAAGGTTATTGTAATTCTTATAAGCTTTTTTTAATTCATTTAAAGGTACAGTCATACTGTCAAAGTCTTTGATCGCCATGGTCAAAAGAAAAATGAAATTATTTTACCAGGGTAAGTTTTGAATCTCAGTTCATGACTTTAGATGTTCTCTAAATTTAAAATCTCACTTGTGGATGATCTAAAACAGATAATGCAGGTTTTGAAAACAAGGTGTCTTACCCAAATAGATTTTCTCCATCTAGTGTGCCAGTATCTTCAGGTGCAGTTTGGGAACAGGTTATAAAATACACGTAGGGCAGTGATGTTTATTAAAGAGCATTTGGACATTTTTGTCTTTCGATAGGAACTGCATCGCTATGGATTGGGATCAAGATGGAGATACTCTAGCAATTATTGCTGATAAATCCAGTGCTATTTATCTGTGGGATGCCAATACAAATAAAACCATTTTGATGGATACTAGCATGAGGTAATTTATTTATGAAATTAATGTAATGTAATGTAATGTGATATAGTGTAATAGCAATAGCGCTTAGACTTATATACCGCTTCATAGTGCTTTACAGCCTCCACTGAGCGGTTTACAGAGTCAGCCTCTTGCTCCCAAAAATCTGGGTCCTCATTTTACTGACCTCAGAAGGACAGAAGGCTGAGTCAACCTTGAACCTGATGAGATTCAAACTGCCAAATTGCAGTCACTCAGCAGAAGTAGCCTGAAGTACTGCATTACCATGGCTCTAGAATTATATAAATATATCAGGTAAATTATATCTATGTATTTAAATGACATCAACCTGATTAACATCTATAATATCTCAATCACACATTTTGAGGATATTTGTTTTTAAAGGTAATGTAATACAATGCCATGGATTTCAAGGGTGTCCTCATTTGGTGTGTGTGTCCATCTCACACTGCCACCTTGGAAATTTGATTATTCTCCATATGGAGGAGATTACCTGCAAGTTGGCATCTTCTGTGTCCAACTATGTTATGTCATTTTCAGGAGAAATTACAAAAGACTTAACAAAAGACGTCGTCCAACAAAAATGCCTTCGTTGAATCCTAAAGATTTGCTGTTTTGTCCATGTTGCTAATGAAGAAGTGCTCCAAAAGAGTTTCTTCTGCAAATAACACATAACGTAACGTAACGTAACGTAACGTAACGTAACGTAACGTAACGTAACGTAACGTAACATAACATAACATAAATAACATTCATGCAAGTGTACCTGTGTTTTCCTTCCCTTCCTCTTGTACCTCAAGGAGTCAGGTTCAGTCTGTTTTTAAAATACTTTCCCTTCACCCTGGTCTCAAAACAAAACCCTTCCTTTTGTTTTCTTAATGGTTTATGGATAATTTCTTCAAAGTTGTCTCCTTGGATTATTATCTCTTTCCTCCATTTTATTTCACTTCTTCCTTCTCTCTTAGAAGAACAATTAATTTTAAGCAAGGGCAATATCTATATTTTTAAAGAATTTATCCAAATGCAAATGTTAAGTTTGAATTTGGTCGTTTCAAGGTATGAGGTTTGATATGAGAGTCTTTTATTGTTCTATTTTCTTTTCTGTTAATTTTATGAATAATTCACACCAAGAACTGTTGATAAATATTGTGCACATAGTTTATCCTCCATTTTATATTACTTTAATTATAATTGAATCATGCTAGTAACCTGATCTGATCTTGATAAAGGGGCTTTTTTGTTGTCCTGTTTATTCCTCAAAAATAAAGTTGTAATCAGCTAAATATTGTTTAATTCAGCAGAGCTTATTTTTATTTTATTTTTATATTTCAGGGAACCAATGTCTTTCTTGTGTTGGTCAAAAACTGAAGCCTTACTAGTTGCTGGAACAGCTAAAGGAAATGTACTAATATATAATCGCCAGACTTCCCGCAAGATTCCTATCCTTGGTCAGTAGCTTGAAAACTGTAGAGGGGGATTTTCTGAAGAGTGGTATTTAAAATGTAACAGGTTTAAGTCAGGAAAAAGCAAATGTGTTACCGATAGAAGAGAATACTTGTAGCTCAGAATTGAACTGTGGAATTCTTGGTGTTCTCTGAGCTGGGTGGTTTTTTTGCAGATGTTTCATACCAAATGTGGGGTTTGCTACGAAACTAGCACTGATGAGGTTACCTATTTTGGAAATAAAGCATCTGCAAGAAAAAAGCCAAAGTCGGCACAAGTCCCCCACAAAAGCAAATGTGTGCAAGGGAGAAGTAATTTATATCCAATAGATAAACAGCTCAAGAGTGCGGCTGCACACAAAGTTGTGCTTTAAAACTGTTTACAATCATCCGGTTCAGAAACAAAAACAGAAATAATTTATTCCCATGTTCTCTCAGCATTTCTTTCACCGAGAATGTTGTAGAATGTTCAGGCTGACATATAAATTGCATTTTTTCCTCCCAGCATTTGGCTACTGGAATATCTCGATGGAGTAAATAAAAGTGGGGACGTTTCCTTTAGAAAAGCCAAGTTGGGAATTAATTGTTACCATCCTACAACAAATTGGCAGAGGCTAGGATCTCCAGAGCAATATTTAGATAGTTAGCTTTTTCAGGTTATGCCTTTGGCTTAGTGTTTTTTTCATTCATTTTGGAATCTTTCTCTCATTCCTTTGTTTAAGTTTCATTAGTTAATTCTGTTGAAAGCTATTCCAAGCTTTTGGATTAAAAGGACAAATATCTTGATAATCTAATAATTTTTAGGCTAGTTCAGATCTTTGTTTTTGTAATTTGGCAATTATCACAGATCTTTCGCTTTTAAAAGTCAAAAACATACTCAGTTCATATTTTGGAGACAAGACAGGTTTCTCCAGTATTTTCCTTGAGAACAGAATTTTAAGCATGGGGAAAAAAGCAGATTTTTACCCACAAAGTTAGTTACTATTTAAATAATTATATAATTAATTTTCTATTATATTTTATAATATAGAAAAAATTACCTCATCTTCCTGGGCATTATCTGTAATACTTGTTATATAATTTTCTATTATATTTTATAATATAGGGAAAAATTACCTCATCTTCCTGGGTATTATCTAGTTATACTAGTTACATTTTTCTCCTTTCATGAATAAGTACTCTGTTCTCACCTTTACAAATGGCCAGATTTGGCCCTTGAGGTGTTGTGGTATATTTGTCTTCTCTGCATTTCAAACGTGTCTTCTCATTCTATAGTTGTTTGAAAGCTGGCCTCGGGCTGTAATAAAGAGTTGTTAAGAAGCAAAAAGTTGGAGATTTTTCTGCCTGTCTTTTTTTTACCAGGCAAGCATACCAAACGGATCACCTGTGGTTGCTGGAGCAAAGAAAAATTAATTGCATTAGGCGGAGAAGACAAATTAATAACGATTAGCAACCATGAAGGCGACACTATCAGAGTGGTAATAAACTTATATTTTTGTTACCTGCAAGAGATGAAAAAAAATACAGGAAACCTTTGCACTTTTCCTCTATTTATTCAGTGTGTGTTCTTTATAGGAATCCCCAAACAGTTATATCTCAAATCAATGCTTTAATCAGTTTAGGATTTGTTTTGAAATAACAGGTGATTAATGCAAAACATCACCATCAGGTAACTATAATTATGAAATACACCTTAACTGAATTATTAAATATACCTATCTTAGAGCAATACAAAAATCCAATCAGCGTTTAAAATATCCTCCAAATGGTTACTGACAATTTCTCGATAAGCATGTTAGTGCCCTACTTCTCTCATTTTCCGATTAGTATAACTCTTTACAAAGAGATACTATAAATTCAGTTAATCCAGAATTTTATTCTTGCAGACAGCAGTGAGAGAAGACCCCAGCAATATGGAGTTTGTCAAGATGAAGACTGATGAAGAAACAGGAGGAAATGAGACCACAGTAGGTTATTAATGACCATCCTGGAACTATATTACACTGGTCTTGCTTCATCTGGTGAAATGAAAGACCGCTGAAAAAGAAAAATAGGAAAAAAAAGTTAACGCTGAAAAATCCATTTGAAATTAAGTTTGAAATTAGTAAAACCAACCTCTCTTGCCCTGATTCTTAATAAGGCAGCTTGTTTCCGGGGAGTTTAACCTGCAAAGCTTTGCCTGTGAAGTATATTCAATAATTTCCCACTAAACTATAGTTTTTCCCAATTGTATGATAGATAGATAGATAGATAGATAGATAGATAGATAGATAGATAGATAGAATTCTTTATTGGCCAAGTTTGATTGGATACACAAAGAATTTGTCTTTAGTGCATATGCTCTCATTGTATATAAAAAGAAAAAAAATACATTCGTCAAGAATCATAAGGTACAACACTTAATGATAGTCATAGGGTACAAATAAGCAATCAGGAAACAATATCAGTATAAATCGTAAGGATGCAAGCAACAAAGTTACAATCATACAGTCATAAGTGGAAGGAGATGGGTGATGGGAATGATGAGAAGAGTAATAGTAATGCAGATTTAGTGAATAGTTTGACAGTGTTGAGGGAATTATTTGTTTAGCAGAGTGATGGCATTTGGGAAAAAACTGTCCTTGTGTCTAGTTGTTGTGGTGTGCAGTGCTCTATAGCGTCGTTTTGAGGGTAGGAGTTGAAACAGTTTATGTCCAGGATGCGAGGGGTCTGTAGATATTTTCATTGCCCTCTTTTTGACTCGTGCAGTACACAGGTCCTCAATGGAAGTTTGCAATCGTCTTCTTTTCCATGTGACTTTTGCCCCTGATGTCTTGTTCAGATTTCATAGGTGATATGGCAGTATCTTTATACAAAAGATTTTGGACTAGCAAAAAATTAATTCTTTGTATTTGTCGGTCTTTCAAGCTTGGTTCTGTTGTTATTCAGTTCGGCTTTAAAATTAATAAAGTTTAATGATTTATTTTAAGAAAAACCCTCTTTATATTCATTTTTTATTGGTTCTATTGAGAAAGGTAGTTAGAACCAAAGAAGATTCTTGAATGAGAAGTGAAATGTCTTTAAGAAAAAACCAAGGAAGTTGAATTGTCTTTTGGGGATAAGAGAAAGTGTTGTATTGGAAACATTCTTGTTTCAGTAACCTTTCTCCTTTTTTGTCAGGTGTGCATTGTGGTTGGACAAAAAACATTATATTTTTTTAACTTCAAAGATCCAGAAAAACCAATTGAACTAGCATTTCAAAAACGTTATGGAAAGATAGTAGCTTACAAATTGTAAGTAACCCCTAAAGTAATAATGTTTCTCTGGAGTGATTGTATTGGTCAGTTGCAACAACAACAATGAAAAAGAGCACTGTGTAGCAACTTAAAAACAAATAAATTTTGTTTTGTTTTTATGAACTAAAATCCACTCTGTCAAACTATGGCAGTTTAATTCATAATTTTAAAGTGAGTTTTGAGTTTTGGTTGTTTTATTTAGTTAGATTTGGAGGGAGTATATATATATTTTTAATAAAAGAATATTTTATTTTTTGAATACTTTACAGTCTAAAATGTAATATCCCTGAAAAAAGATATGCCAGAGTCTCTCTTAGCACCTTATCTTTTGGTATAAATGTAAGTTAATTTTTGGAAAAATTTTCTGTTTCTCTGATCACGTTCAATTCTACAGTCATTTCACAATTTAAGATGATCTTCTCATTATTTCTATCAGGAGTTATGATGCCTGAGAGGTTTTATTTTTGGTTCTATTTATTGTTTTTGCAGGTATGGTGAAAATTATATCATGATTGGTTTTTCGCTGGGCTATTTTGTGGTGATTTCAACGCAGGTTCAAGAGATTGGCCATGAGATCTTCCAGGCTTCTGATCATAAGGATTCCTTGGCCGGCATTGCGATCACTGAATCATTAAACAAAGCTGCATCATGTGGAGATAACTGGTGAGGCACAATATTTCCATGTAAGGTCATTTAAATAACAAAAGTACTGTTGTTGCAGAATTTTTTTAATTTTATGAGAAGAGTTGTCCTTAATACTTTAGAATTTTACATATGCAGAATACAGAGGAAGGCAACACATAAACCAATGCTGTGTAGGACCCTCACTCTTTTTTAAGAATGGAAAGGGTTCCTGAGATCCAAATTGTTGAGAATTGCTAGCCTAAACAAAGCTAATATCCAAATGAAAGACTGCCTGCACGTCTTTATATTTTCTCACCATTTAAAGGTTTAGCTGTGAACGAGGTTTTTTTTTATTCGATGTTACCAGTTGTCCCAAAGATGCTTTTTTCAAGAGGCACCTGGACTTTCTGGTTTTTCTTTGAAGATGTTTCGCTTCTCATCCAAGAAGCTTCTTCAGCTCTGACTGAATGGGAGGGAGGGAATGGAAGGATTTCACTGCAAGGAGTATAAACCCTTCCATTCCCCACCCTTCAGTCAGAGCTGAAGAAGCTTCTTGGATGAGAAGCGAAACATCTTCAAAGAAAAACCAGAAAGTCCAGATGCCTCTTGAAAAAGGACCCTGAGGACATAGATACAGCTCCAAGTGGCCTCAATGACCCTCTAAAAAGGATGCAAATGATCAGCTGTCTGCAAGGAGTTTAAATCCTTCCATTCCCCACCATCCAGTCAGAGCTGAAGAAGCTTCTTGGATGAGAAGCGAAACGTCTTCAAAGGAAAAACAGGAAAGTCCAGTTGGCCCTTGAAAAAGCACCTTTGGGACAACCATGACCTGATGGATGACTGAGAATCTCCATAGATGTTACCAGTTCAATTTTTGAAAGCACCTCTCAAAAAATTCTGTGTTTACATAACTGATGTTATGCAATTTATTGCGAAAGTGAGACTACTGAAGAAATCAAATTTCTTTTTATTGTAGTGTCAAGATTCATAACTTGTCAGATCTGACGGAAATGTGCGCAATCATAAACTTAGAGGATGAAAATAAAGGTTTGACAGCTGCCCGGTTTGATAGCTTGCCAGTTTCATTGTTTGTGTTGGATTAAGCAAGATTGATCTTTCAATACCTTTGGAGTCTTTGGGGGACTGAGAAGGAACAGTATCAAATGTGACCTCACATGTTTCATCTTGCCATTTGGTTCAGTTTTCAGTTAATAACAAATCTTAGAGGGCCCTTAACATTGGAATAAAGCCCAAAAAAAAAAAAAAGATAGTTTACTGAAGCTATTGCATTTCCCAAGTCAGATTCTTTAGGAAGTTGGGAATTTCAGTTTCTTCACCTCTGTATGTGAAGGGAAGAAGGGAGCGCACAAGTCAAAGTACCTGTGCAAGTTATCCCAACTTTAGAGAATTATTAGATGGGAAGAGCTCAGGAATTCCAGGAATCCTCCTTACCTTTGCACTGTAATTAAGGGTAAGAAGGTCTGTTTCTGCAGAATAAGTAAGAAACCATAGCCAAACACATATCTTAGGCCCAAACTACCTGCAGGATCGCCTCTTTCTGTTCAGTCCAAACTGCAGGATTCCCATTTTTTTGCAAATCCCACCAAGTTAGGATTTTTCTAAGGATGAGATCTTTAGTGTGAAATAAATGGCTGTTGAGGTTGAGATAAATTCCCTCTTCCTGACTTTGGCAGAGGGATTAAACCTTCCTTTCTACCATGTCCTTTTAGAGTGTCAGAGATTTTTCATATTTAAGTATTTACGTTAGTTTTATAAATGTGTTTTTGTAAAACCTGTTGGGGGATATATGCTTACAAATAAGTAAATCAAGGGCACACATGTTCGTTATTCCTTAAGAATCTTTTCCAATCTGCCAGTCACTGGATGAGTTGGAATTACAACATCCAGACAGAAGCAGCTCATTTAGCGGTTTGAAAGTGTACTTTTGTGTAAGAACTTCATTTTTGTTTTGGTTTTTTTGGCTTTCCAAGACAAACGTAACTATTCAATGTGATATCATTAATATTTTAGGTCTAGATCAGTTGTCATGGACGGACGATGGACAATTGTTGGCAGTGTCTACTAAGCGAGGATTCATCCATGTGTTCTTAACCAACCTTCCCATCCTCGGAGCCTCGTATGGCACAAGGATTGCCTACCTCACCTCCCTTCTTGAGGTCACAGTGGCCAACTACATTGAAAGTGTATGATGCTTTATTCCTTTAGAAAGTTCCAGTTGAGATAAATTAGCCTCCTCAGTCCTCAGGACAAGCCATGTGGTCATTTGAGGGGCTGCCCCAGAGAGGAAGGAGTCAAGCTATTCTCCATGGCACCTGAAGACCAGACAAGGAACAATGGATGGAAACTGAACTAAGAGAGATTCAACCTAGAAATAAGGAGGGATTTTCTGTCAGTGAGAACAATCAATCCATGGAACAGAAGTTGCCTTTGGAAGTTGTGGGAGCTTCATCACTGGAAGCTTTCAAGAAGAGACTGGACTGCCATCGGTCAGAAATGATGTAGGGCAGGGCTGTCAAACTTGCGGCACGTGGGCCGAATGTGTCCCGCGCTGGCCACACCCGGTTTAGAGAAGAAGGGAGAGATCGTGATACGTCATGTGATGCCACTATGACCACGCGAGTTTGACACCTCTGGTGTAGGGTCTCCTGCTTGGGCCGGGGGGGGGGTTGGACTAGATGACCTGCAAGGTCCCTTCCAACTCTTAATCTGTTAATCTGTCTGTCCTGGCAGGAACCACCGATAAGAGTTTCTGTTGAAGTTGAGCCCAACTTCGTTGCCGTTGGGCCCTACCACTTAGCTGTGGGCATGAATAACCGGGCATGGTTTTATGTCCTCGGAGAGAGCAGTAAGTATATCACTGGTTCCCTTATTTCTCAGGAGGCTTTCATCGCTCATCTTATCAAATGTCATCTTCATTGTTTTGTGTGTGCTGTTTTTTACCTGGGGGGATGGGAAGGCTCAGCGGTTAAAGGCGCTAAGCTTGTCAGTTGAAGAGCTGGCAACCCGGGTTCGAAATCCGAGTTCCACACAATACGGTAAGCTCCTGTTCCTTGCCCCATCTCCTGCCCATCTAGCAGTTTGAAAGCACGCGAATGCGAGTAGATTAATAGGTACCACCTCAGTGTGAAGATAACAGCGTTCCGGGCGCCTTTGGCGTATATAGTCATGCTTGGCCAAAATGACCACAGAAATTATTTTCGGACAACGTTGGCTCCCTCGGCCAAGAAACGGAGATGAGCACACGACTGACAGGGAAGCCTTTACTTTTACAGGTAGTCCTCAACTTACGACCACGATTGAGCCCAAAATTTCTGTTGCTAAGTGAGACATTCATTAAGTGAGTTTTGCCCCATTTTACAACCTTTGGTGAATCGCTGCAATTGTTAAATTGGTAATTCAGTTGTTAAGCGAATCTGTCGGAAGGTCGCAAAGGGGGAATCACGTGACCCCTGCAACCGTCATAAATAGGGGTCAATTGCTGCGGGTTCAGATTTTGATCACATGACCGTGGGGATGCTACAATGTTTGTGAGTGTGAAAAACGCTCATAAGTCACTTTTTTCAGTTCCGTGGTAACTTTGAACGGTCATTAAATGAACTGTTGTAATCCGAGGACTGCCTGTGCTTTTGTACAAGAATTTGTCACTCTGGAGGCTGTTACATTTCATCCTTGCAGATGTTAAAGACAGTTGTAAGCTTCACAAGTTCAATCTACGCTTATCAAAGGTTCAGAGGTATTTTAAATTGCTTTGATATTTTTTTTTAAAAGTTTTTTTTTAATTTTTTTTTTTTTTGCAGGAGTAAAAAAGCTCAAGGACATGGAATATCTGGGAACAGTAGCCAGTATATGTCTGAATTCTGATTATGCCGCTGCACTTTTTGATGGTAAAATCCAGTTGCATATGGTAAGTATGTTAAGAATTTGGAATCGCCTGTAGTTTACATGAAGTATGGATAAAGAGACCCATTTAAGCTGCAAGTAGAAAGCTGAGCCAGAAACTTCTCTTATATCACAAATGACAGTAAATGTACTTTTACTCCAATTGAGGTGAAAAAGCCAAATTACATTTTCCAGTATAACTTGGAGGAGGAGAGAAAACAAGCTAGATTCACTAGAACGTGTGAGTTGAAATGAGAGAATTGCAGGTCAAAAACCTAGCTCTAATTCCGGGATGGCGAACCTACTGTACGCGTGCCAGAGGTGGCACGTAGAGCCCTCTCTGTGGGCATGCACACCATCAGCAACTGCTCTTCATGTTTCTTGTGCATTTTGCGCATGCCAGAGTGCCGGAAACCAGCTGGCCGGCACGCATGCGCGCGCTGGAAACCCAAGGACCAGGTATATTGCAATATAGCCTATGTCAGTGATGGCGAAACCTTTCAGCACCAAGGGCTGAAACCAGAAGGTGTGTATTCGTGCGGGCGCCAGAGTGCCAGAAACCCGAAAACCAGTTGGTCGGCATGCATGCGTCTGCCAGCCAGCTAGTTTTTGGATTTCCAGCACTCTGGCGCATGCACGCACATACGCATTCCAGTTTTGGTACTTGGTGCCGAAAAGGTTCGCCATCACTGCTCTAATTGGTTTGGTTTGAAAAATCTGAAGGTTTTAGGGCAGCTTGTGATTTCCTTTAAAAAAAAAAAAAGGATAAGATTAAGTTGATTACCAATTGTGAAGAAGGCACAGAAGAGGCTGTACTTCCTGAGAATGCTCAGGAAGATAAATCTATCTCAGCATCTACTTCTGTCCTACTGTCGTAGCACCATTGAGGGTGTCCTGACATATGGTATTCTTGCATGGTATGGGAGCAGCTCTGTAGCGGACAGAAAAGCTCTACAGAGAATCATTAAAACTGCCCAGAATATCATTGGGCTCCAGCTACCAGCCCTGGACGACATCTTTGCATCTCGCTGTTTGAGAAAGTTGCATAACATTCTCAGAGACTCTTCCCATCCTGTTTACAATCTTTTTGGACTGTTGCCTTCTGGCAGAAGATACAGAACAATTAAAACTCGGACCACACGTTTTCTGAATAGTTTTTATCCCAGAGCTATAATTGCACTCAACAATGAACTCAAGGGCCACCATCAGTGAGCTGTTGGACAGGATTACTTGGTCTGTTGTGTGGATGTTTGGGTGGTTGAGGGGTGGGGAATTGTGGTGGGTGGGAGTGTGTTTGGGGATTGTTATGTGTGTTGGACCTGGTCTTTGGATGTTAAGTGAATTTCGTTGTATGGGTATACTGTGTATACACGTACAATGACAATAAAATTATTATTAATTTCCTTAAATTGAAATTAGGCATGATTAAAACCTGTTAGGTTACTATTCTGAAACTCAAAAGTTCTTGTTCTTGTTTTAGATAGAAAGTGAACCTTCAAATACTCAGGAGGAACGGGAGACTAGGCTGTTCCCAGATACCGATGATAAAAGTAAAATTCTGTGCCATTGTTTAACTAGTGAGTTCCTCATCTACGGGACTGATGTAAGTATGGATCGGTTTCAACTCTTCCCCATTCGTTACAGCAAGTGTCGCTTGCTACGTATATTATTGCCATCTTTTGGCAGTCATAGAGTTTGTGGTACTGCTAGAACCTACATTGCATCTTGTGTAAATGTAGGTAATCCTTGACTTACAACCTTTCATTTAGTGATCATTACAACAGTGACAACAGCGCTGAAAAATGTGACATGACCATTTTTCACACCGTTGCAGCATCCCTGTGGTCACGTGGTCAAAATGTAGAGGCTTGGCAATTGGTTTCATATTTATGACGGTTGCAATCACCCGGGGTCACATGATCCCCTTTTGCGACCTTCTGACAAGCAAAGCCAATGGAGAAGCCAGACTCACTTAACAACCATGGGAAGAAAGGTTGCAAAATGGGGCAAAGCTCACTTAACAATTGTCGTGCTTAGCAACAGAAATGTCGGGCTCAATTGTGGTCATAAATCAAGGACCACCTGTAGATACCATAAATAACACCTGATAGAGCAAACCGCCTATAAACTGCCTTTAATTTTACTGTCTTAATTCCTATTCTGACATTAAGGTATCCTACTATATATACATCTTGAAGGGTACCGTCTATATATTTGATATTTGGTATATATTTCAGATTAAAAGTCTTTTGCAAGTCACATATAGACAACAAACGATACATTTATAATCGTATGGTTTACATTTTGATAAATTCATCTCTTACTATTATGTTTGTTTGCTCTCTCTTCCTTTCCTTCTCCCTAGACTGGCCTTATTCAATATTTTTACATTGAAGACTGGCAATATGTCAATAAGTATCAGCATTCAGTTGGTGTGAAAAAAATCTTCCCAGATCCCAATGGAACCAAATTAGTTTTTGTTGATGCCAAAAGTGATGGGTTCGTTTACTGTCCTGTAAGTCATTCCATTTCCTTTGTACTTATATATTTTCAGTTGGTTTCTACATGCATATTATACTCTTGCCTTCCCACCCAGCCCAGTAATTTCCTACGTGACTTTTATCAAATAAGGTAAATTTGTTGACTTTTTTTTCAATGAACTATGTATCTTCTTCCTTTAAATAGAATTTACCAAATAAGTCACATTGTAAGACCAAAAGTTCTTTTATGGGATCAAGATTGCAGCTGAATTTCTATGTCAAAATTATACAAAAAGTTCCATTATGTTTTCAATATTGCTGAAAGGCTTCAATGTTATTCCAGTCTTTATACTTAAATAACAGTGCATTATTCTTCATCATAAAATGAAAGTTTCTTGCTACACATCTTTTTTTGCCTGGTTTTGGATGTTGATCTATATAAGTAGTCCTTGGCTTACAGTCATTCATTTAAGTCAAAATTCACTTAACAATTGTCTCACTTAGCAGCAAAGATTTTGGGGCTCCATTGTGGTTGTACGTCGAGGACTATCTATACTCCTGGTCTGCATACATGTGAAATGGATATTAAGCATTTAATGACTCTTTTGATACTAAAGTATGTAGATAATGCATCAAAATGACTAAGATGTAATAGAGTTAAATATCCTGGCTTTGGTTATAGGTTGGAATACAATTGATAAGGTTAAAATGCACTTCGAATAAAATATATCCGTTTACAGATAATATAACTACAGAACATGGAAATCAAATGCCCATTTGAGATTAATGATGGAATGTGATAAGAATGTAAAATAAAGCAACCTTGTTTTATTTCTTTGAACAATGTTTGTGTTCCTGTTGCCTTGTGACCAGGATGCTTTTATTGAGATCCGTAACCTGAGATTAATTTTTTTCCTAATTCTTTTAAGTGTGTGAACTCAGAAATGGGAGCTACACCCATCTCATTCCTCTAAAAGTCGTCATATAGCACATACTTAAAACTTTGGCAATTGATTTTATTTAACAAGCTAATTTTGCATTGCTATCTTTGCAGGTGACTGATACTGCCTTTGAAATTCCAAATTTGCAACCAACCATCAAAGGCATTCTGTGGGAAAACTGGCCACTGGATAAGGGTGTATTTGTGGTCTTTGACGATAACAAAATATACACTTACGTGTTTCATAAAGACACCATACAAGGTATTAGTTTAGTTTAGTTTATTATATTTATATACCGCCCTTCTCCCGAAGGACTCAGGGCGGTGAACAGCCATGGTAAAAACAATATACAACAAAAATTAAAAAAACTTAATTAAAATAATTCAGTCATTGGCCGAATTTAAAACACCCAACTAAAATCATTTAAAAACCCCTATCAAAACCCAATTTAAAAACCTTTATCCCGTCAGACTAGCTTGCTGGAATAATAGGGTCTTCAGAGCGCAACGGAAGGCACGGAGGTCGGGGATCCTTCGTATGTCCGGGGGCAGTTCGTTCCATAGGGCCGGGGCCCCCACAGAGAAGGCTCTCCCCCTGGGGGTCGCCAGCCTACATTGTTTGGCCAACGGCACCCTGAGGAAGCCCTCTCTGTGGGAGCGTATTGGTCGGTGGGAGGCAATCGGTGGCAGAATGAGGTACTGTAGATAACCAGGTGCTAAGCCATGGAGCTCTTTAAAGGTGGTAACCAACACGTTGAAGCGCACCCGGAGGACCATCGGGAGCCAGTGCAGCTCGCGCAAGAAGAGTGTTACATGGGAGCGACGAGATGCCCCCATTATTACTCGCGCGGCCGCATTCTGGACCAGCTGGAGCCTCCGGGTGCTTCTCAAGGGGAGCCCCATGTAGAGAGCAATACAATAGTATTGCAGCTGTTTTAATATTTCCAAATGATCCTTAGAGTTTTATAGGGTAATATATGGAAACGAGAATTTGCCAGAATTTCACAGCTTTAAGGATTATGATTAGAAGAAAAACAGAAAAAGGTGCAAGAATGAGGAGGGAAAAAAAAACCTCATATAATGTGCTAGTTTGTGTACCTTGTTTATCATAATAATGTTCCTCTGTGGGACAGTGAGGAACTGTAGAATTTCTGATCTCATTTATTTTGTTATATTTACGTCGTATTTGGATGGCGTTCAACGAAGCTAAAACAATGCATACAATAAATATGAATATTATTAAATGATTCTTTAACATTGTAAAAGAGACACATATATATATATGTGTGTGTGTGTATATGGGTGTATGTGTATATATATATATATATATAAAGCAAAGAGCAGTGGAACTAATTAAATATTTTGCAAATCCTCTGTTCTTTGTCCCAAGCAATTCCATATTGCCTTCTGGTGGACATTGTTATCTCTTAGAATGATTCATGTATTACGCTAAACCAGAACAGGGCATTTTAAAACCTGTGGACCACATCTGACTCTTACTCACAACAGCGGTGGAGGGGGTGGCAGCAAGGGAATGGCAGCTGCCCTCCATAACTCTCCCAGTTTCTCATATGACCCCTTCGGAAAATTAATTGCTCATCCCCGGGCTAAAGCACAGTGCTAGGTTTACACATTATTATAAATCATGGTTTATAAACCACCACAAATGGACTTGTGGCTATATAATTTTTAGCAACGGAGCAGCATTTATGCATAGGTGGTTTTCCTTCCTGACTGATTCATAGGCACTAAGGAACATATACATTGTGCACATGTGTGTGTGTGTGTGTGATTACCATAGAAACTTCTTCAAAGAAAAACCAGAAAGTCCAGTTGCCTCTTGAAAAAAGCACCTTTGGATGTTTTTTAACATAGAGTTTTGCAAAGACTTAGTTGTAAGAAACTGAAAACAATGCACTTTTTCCTCAGAATATAATCCTTTGGTTTCGAGGTCATCTTATACGAACTGCAAATGTATTTCATTTTCTCTCATAGGGTCTAAGGTGATCTTGGCAGGAACAACCAAAGTTCCTTATTCCCACAAACCTTTGCTCTTATATAATGGAGAATTAACCTGTCAGACTCACAGTGGGAAAACCAACAGTATCCTCCTTAATACTCACACTTTTCTGGGCACTCTAAAAGACCAGGGCTGCGATGAATTGAAACAAACACTAACTCAGACTTTGCTTTTGAAAAGGTGAGTCATCTCTTGATCGCAGCGTGGAATATTTTCAAACATAGGAAGGAGGGCTCAGCCTCACGGTTACATTTCATTTCACCTGACCTAGGTTTTCCGAGGCCTGGGAGATATGCAAACATTTGAACCAACCATCCAGTTGGAATGAGCTAGGCGAGGCCTGCCTTCATCACATGGAAGTAGAATTTGCAATACGGGTGTACAGGACAAACAGAAACGTTGGAATGGTTATGTCCTTAGAGCAAATCAAGGTATGGATTTCTAGGCTTAAGTATTGACAATTCTGTTTTTTTTAAAAATAATTTAAAAAATCATAGAATGGTATGGAAAAGTGATGGTGCTAATTTACTGCCCAGCCCAAGCGCAAAGTTTTTAAAATTTTGAAAAATGCCATTAGGAGATAATTTAGCAATAAAAATAAATCTGGAATGGAGAGATTGTGTGGAAAATTATGTACGCTTAGCAAAGCTCAAATGTTCTCAAAATCCTAATCCCTTAATTTGATGATTCCCTGTATGTATCAGATTTTTATTGCTCTGCATCTGCACCAGATAGAGATTCAGTCCATCATTCTCATCCAGCACATTCCTTCGCTTTATACACCGTTTTTTTCCTGGAGGAGGAAGAAGACATTTCACTTCTAATGCAAGACGCTTCATTAGTTCTAGCCGCCTCCATCCTACCAGAACAAATGAAGCTTCTTGGATGAGAAGTGAAACATCTTCATCAAAGAAAAAAATAGTCTAGGTGCTTTTTGAAAAATTATATTAGACTCTTCCCTCCCCTCTCCCCTCTCCTCCCCTCTCCACTCCCCTCTTTTATTTTGCTCTGGTCTGCTCTATGCTCCTTCCCTTCCCTTCCCTTTCCTTCCCTTCCCATGCCACGTGTCTCGCTGGCATCCAGCTCAAAAGATACTGGTTTTCTCTATTTCATTAGGTGTTTTTTTTAACTTCTAAATAACAATAATTACCCAAAGAACTACCTTCATTTTAGATAAGTTATAATAAAATTTGACAGCTGTCCACGTCTTCCTTTTCAGAGCATAGAAGAACACAATCTTTTAGCGGGACATCTTGCCATGTACACCAATAATTTTAATTTAGCTCAGGATTTATATCTGGCATCATCTTCTCCCACTGCCGCGCTTGAGGTAAAAGCTTAAACCACCCGGTATTTCAGTGGGGGTCATTTTTTCCCCTTTTAAAAAAATACACTACATTTGCTTTGGGAAAGGTAGTTGTAATTGGTTAAAATCTGTGCTATTTGTGATATTAGATGAGGAGAGATTTGCAACAGTGGGATAGTGCACTTCAGCTTGCTAAACGTTTGGCACCGGACCAGATCCCCTTCATATCCAAGGAGTATGCTGTGCAGCTGGAATTCACGTATGTTCCCTCTGAAGTGGCTAAAGATATTTGATACATACAAATTTATATGATTGAATTAACCTTAAGAATCCATTCTAAAGAGCCTCGAATTAGAAGATCCTTAGCATTTGTTTAATGTCTTTATGGTGTCCAAGACTGAGAAGTTCTTGATTTCCACAAACAGGTTATTTCTTAGAGAGAGACTAGGGACCGGACCCCTGGCCCATCTAGTCCAGCTGTCTGTCCTCAAAATGGCCAACCAGCAGCAAAAAAAGGCCCACTGGCCTTCCATTGTCAGTCACTGCCATTAAGGCTAACAGCCGTTCATCCTCAAAACTTCCATGAATTGATCCAACCCTTTTTTTTTTTTTTTGAAGCCAGCCTCATTGGTAGTTGCTACCACACCATCATCTTTTAATGACCCCAGACTCCCTTGCGGGGTGGAATCTGGGCAACTGAATGGAGCCGAGTGTTTACTGGCCGAATGCCCTTCCTGTCACCGATGCGGAGTTTTGTTCGGCAGATATATTCTCAGTGTGCCCAGAGAGAGAAATATCTGCCTCTACCTAGAATCAAACTCACAAACTCCTAATTGCGAGGCGAGAGGCTCCACCTCGTGTATAATGACCGCAAATGCCAGGAAGATATTCTGAGGCCGTGTTCAGACATCAGGTTCCCTTAATACGTGTCCGTTATGCCAGCGGTCCCAAACGTTTGCAGCTTGGTGGACCAGCTGGGGGAGGGGAGAGGGGAACCGGGCCATGCGATTGGTGGGCCGGCACTCGCATGAGTGAAACTGTGTGTGCGCTGCACGCCAGTTCGCTTTCATGTGAATAGAGCTGCACATGTGCTCCAGGCCACCTCACACATGGCCCGTTCCTAATAGGCCACGGACCGCTAGTGGGGTTGGGGACCCCTGTGTCATACCAAAGAAAGATAGGGGTGTATATTTCTTTGTGATGCAACAATCAATACCCTGTTTCCTTTAAAATAAGACATCCCTTGATAATAAGCCCAATCGGGCTTTTGAGTGCATGTGCTAAAATAAGCCCTCCCCAAAAATATTTAAATGCATGTGCAGCCAGTCCCCGCCATTTCCTCTGGTTAGGGTTAGGGAGACAGAGCTGGAAATCAGGTAAGACGGCAAGAGGAGCCCCGTCTTGCTCCACGCGCCCCAAAATAATAAGACATCCCTGAAAATAAGGCCAAGCGCTTATTTCGGGGTTCAAAAAAATATAAGACAGGGTCTTATTTTCAGGGAATCATGGTAGTTTGGGCTGTTACATCTTTCCTACTTCAAGCCACAAACCACATAAGCCCCCATAAACATAAACACAAAGACCACTTTCCAAGTTTTACTACTTTCAAAACGCTCCCGCTGGAATCTCTTTCAATGTTTTCTTCATTTTGTAACCTTTGAGAAGATTCTAAACATATCGCTGACTTTTAATTTTAGGGGTGATTACGTGAATGCTTTGGCCCATTATGAAAAAGGAATCACGGGCAACAATAAGGTAATACGCTCTTGGTCATGGCTTCAGGGTGGATATTCACATGTATAATTATATTAACTTTATGGTTTAAGATCTCAAATAATTTAAAAATTGATTGTGCCTTGGAAATATCAACTGAGCTATGAATATTACTTGGTCTGCTTTGTGGATGCTTGGTGGTTTAGGGGTGGGGAATTTTTGGTGGGTGGGGGTGTGTCTAGGGATTGTCGTGTGTTGGGCTTGGTCTCTGGGTGTTATGTGAATTTCGTTGTATGGTTATACTGTGTATACACGTACAATGACAATAAACTTTATATATAATATTAAAGCAAACCATGTTAGATATTTGCAAGTGCATAAAATCTTATGAATTCCTGATTTTTTAACTTAAACACCGTTATCACCATTTGTCAAAGAAAATTAGTTTGTTCTTAGGTAGATTCAACTGTACTTCGTATAACTATTTTTACAAATAGTGATTTTTAGAATAATTATTTTGGTCAGGCCTCTTTTCACTAGAAACCTTGAGCCTTGGTAGTACAGTGGTCTAAGGCACCCTGTTATTAAGACCAGCTGCCTGCAATTACTGCAGGTTCGAATCTCGCCAGGCTCAAGGTTGACTCAGCCTTCCATCCTTTCTAAGGTAGGTAAATTGAGGACCCAGTTGTGGGGGCAATAAGCTGACTTTGTATAAATATACAAAAGGATGAAGGCTATTGCTTAGCGCATTGTAAGCCGCCCTGAGTCTCTGGAGAAGGACGGCATATAAATCAAATTAAAAATTAAAAAATTAAAAAAAAATAGCCTGTCTTTAGTAGGTATATTTCAGAATTGGTATTACTTACATGCAATGTGAACAAATGTACTTGAACCAATGCATTTTTGTAGGTGAAGTAGAATATATAATTCTGAACAAAGTAAATGCTAATTTTTAATACAGGTAATCCTTGACTTACGGCCATAATTGAGCCCAACATTTCTCTTATTAAGCGAGACAGTTGTTAAGTGAATTTTGCCCCATTTTACGACCTTTCTCGCCACAGTTGTTAAGCGAATCCTTGCAGTTGTTAAGTGAGTAACAGGGCTGTTAAGTGAATCTGGCTTCCCCGTTGACTTTGCTTGCCAGAAGGTCGCAAAAGGGGATCACGTGACCCCGGGACGCTGGAACCGTCGTAAACGTGAGACAGATGTCAAGCATCTGAATGCAAATCATGTGACCATGGGGGATGCTGTTGTAACGGTCATTAAAGGGTGAAAACTGGTCGTAAGTCACTTTTTTCACTCCCGTTGTACACAGTCACGAAACAAACTGTTGTACGTCGAGGACTACCTGTATGGCTCTATATTTAACAGGACTGTTTTTTTAATGGTGCTTTTTTGCTTCGTTGCAATTTTTACGTCTTTCTCTTGATTGTCAGTTCCAAGAACACGATGAGGCCTGCCTGGCCGGAGTCGCACAGATGGCGATTCGCATGGGAGACATTCGGCGCGGCGTTAACCAGGCCATCAAGCATCCGAGCCGAACGTTAAAAAAAGACTGTGGAGCTATTCTGGAGAGTATGAAGGTAAGTTAATATACGGTACTACAACTATTCCTGATGTAACATTTCGGTTGCTAAGCGAGACACTTTGTTAGATGAATTTTGTCCCTTGGTTGCCATAGTTGTTAAGTGAATCACAGCAGTTCTTAAGCCAGTAACATGGTTGTTAAGTGAATCCGACTTCCCCATTGACTTGGCTCATCAGAAGTTCACAAAAAGGGATCACGTGACCCAGGGGTGGGTTCTACTTACTTTTACTACCGGTTTGCAAGCTTCTGCGCATGCACAGATCACCCATGATGACAGAGCCTCCCACCGGTTTTACTACCGGTTCTATAGAACCGGACTGAACCGGGAGCAACCCACCACTGACGTGACCCCCAGGACACTGCAACTGCCATAAATACGAGCCAGTTGCCAAGCATCCAAATTTTGATCACATGACGACAGAGATGCTGCAATGGTCGTAAGTGAGAAAAACAGTCAAAAAGTCACTTTTTTCAGTGCTGTTGTAACTCCAAATGGTCACTAAATGAATTTCAAGGGGAGCATTACCTGCAGACCAGAGGTGGGAAACTATAGCTCCTTTATGACTTGTGGACTTCAACTCCCAGAATTCCTGAGCCAGAATGGGAACTTGGCCCTTTTATGACTTGTGGACTTCAACTCCCAGAATTCATGGCTGACTCAAGGATTCAGGGAGTTGAAGTCCACAAGTGTTGGACCATAGTTCCCCACTCCAGCTGTAGACCAAGAAAATTTAATTTAATTTAATTTAATTAATTCAATTTATATGCCGCCCTTCTCTGAAGACTCAGGGCGGCATAAAATGTTCACAAAATAAATTACGCTAAGCTGAAAATCTGTATTATTATTTTTTTTTATACCTTAGCAATTTTCAGAAGCTGCCCAGCTTTATGAAAAAGGACAATATTTTGACAAAGCAGCTTCAGTCTACATACGATGCAAAAACTGGTAAGTGTTATTATATAATTGCAGATAGAAAGTTGTGACGGTTTTGCTGACTTTCTGGATTATCAAACTGCCATATCCTTTCTATTGTTATTTGCCTTTCAGACCAGGAATACTTTATAGTATTCTAATTCTCTTGTGTCGTGCAATTCATTTGCAGCAAGTTCACAGGCTCAGAAATTGAATTAGTGGTATTGGAGCACTCTACGCTACTTTATTTCATTTTTATTTTATTTATTTTTACCCAGAAGTTTTGGAGAGGTTCAAGGTATAAAACTGGAATAATGTCTGTCATGAAGTCCTGACCCAGAGTTGGGCTTTATTATTCATATTTATTTATTTGTTGATCAGTTGCTCAATTAACTATTGTTATCTGGGTGATGCATAACAAAATAAATAAATGTCTCTATAATAACACTGATTTTCAAAATAGGCATTTCTTCACCAAGAAGTCTAAAACTCATGATAAATACCTCTTGATGTGAGGCATTCATGTTCCATGGCATTATTGCTAACTATTTTCTCCAATTTTAAAATCCCATTGAAATAAGTTCTTGGATTAATGTCTGATTCAGGTAGTCCTTGAGTTATGACCAGAATTGAGCCCCAAATCTCTTCTGCTAAGTGAGATATTTGTTAAGTGAGTTTTGCCCCGTTTTATGACCTTTCCTGCCATAGTTGTTAAGTGAACCATTGCAGTTGTTAAATTATTAAAACGGTTCTTAAGGGAATCTGGCTTCCCCATTGACTTTGCTTGTCAGAAGGTCGCAAAAGGGGATTACCTGACCTTGGGACACTGCAACAGTCATAAATACAGGCCAGTTGGCAAACTTCTGAATTTTGATCATGTGACCACAGAGATGCTGCAACAATTGTAAGTTTGAAAAAAGTCACTTTTTTTGTCAAGGACTACCTGTATCTAAACAACCGATCAAATTCCTTTCAAGGTCACCTTTAAAGTTTTGAGGCTTTTGTATTTTTTTTTTTTTTGTAATATCCTAAATTAATAAAATTGTTATAAAAAAAATAAAGTTTTGAGACTCGTAATTAAGCAAATTGTCTTTTTCTTGATCCAATGGAGTGGGTAGAACCAAACTAAACCGCGAAATGTGTCTACTTAATTACTTAATTACACTTATAAAATATAATTAATTCCTGTTCTTTAGGGCCAAAGTTGGCGAGCTGCTTCAGCATGTCTCTTCTCCAAAAATACACCTTCAGTATGCCAAAGCAAAGGAAGCAGATGGCAGGTACACCTTCCTAGACTTAACGTTCCAATATGTAGGCCTAACCTATCTTTTAAACTTTTTAAACTTTTTAAAATTCTTAAATTTTAAATTTGTCTTATGAATTGGGGTGTTTTAAATTTCATTTTTCGGGCCAATTATTTAATTGTATTTTAATGGTTTTTTAACATTTGTATTATATGTATTTTATTTGGCTGTTCACCGCCCTGAGTCCTTCGGGAATTCAAATAATAATAATAATAATAATAATGATGATGATGATGATGATGATGATGATGATGTTTGCTACGCCAGCAGTCATGAGGTCTGCTGCTTTTAGAAAAACGTTGAGCGCCGCATCCCGCTAGAAACTCTGCCCTCCTTGGGCATAAATGCAGCAACACAACACAAATAATGAAGGGATGGATTTTTCCTTCTATGCCACCCCACTCCAAGGGAGACGGTCACTTTCTCAATTTGATAAATAAATATAAATAAATAGGGTGTTGTAGTCTGTCAGCCATCGAATCAGCAGCCGAATCAGATGAGGAGGCGGAGTGGGAGTGAGGACCAGCATCAAGGCAACCTGAGAGCTCCAAGGGGGAAGAGGGAATGGAGCTGGCAGAGAGAGAGACAGAGGCGGAGCCTAGGCTGTCAATCAGCCCTCAGATGGAGAGTCAACAGCCCCCCCCAGGTCTGGAAGTGGCTGATGAGGAAGAGGAAGAACAGCTGGGTCCAGTGCCTGATGCATAGATGCATATTGGCAGAGGAGAGGAGAGCAGTGGAAATCTATGGGCCGGTCCTTGGGATAGAAGAGCCACCGCTGCTAGGGAAGCCCCACCCTAGCTCTGGGGATAAAAGGCAGGGGGCGGAGATGAATAGGTGTGGCAGACAATTATTTGTCTCCCTATCGGTCAGCCACTGATAGCCCGAACTTCTGAATCCTATCAGGAACTGTATTGGAATCCTGTCTTGGAATCTGCAGCGCTGAGAGTTGGGCGTGCCTTTGGACTGTGTCTGTCTGTGTGTGTGTGTGTGTCTCCGCTGCTAAGAAAAGAGTGAGCGCACCGTCCAGGAGGTCTGTTACGAGTGTGATGATGGAGAGAGAATCCTGGTGCGTTGGAATCAGTTCAGGGGGAAAGGGAGCAAGTTTCACTTTCCACAGGTGTGTGTGAGAGAGTCTCTTTGCTGGGGTTGCTGGCGCTCCTAATAAATGGAACGTTTAGTTAAAAAAGGCGTACTTGTCGTGTTTGGGAGCTGGGTCAGAACATAGGGCTTGGCAGTCCTACCAGATAAACAAACAGGAAACAAAAGATAAGCTAAATTTACTTTATTGTAAAGCTGCATTAACAGAATTTTGCAGGTCTAAAAGTATACTTCTCACAGTTCTCAGCATCCCTTCGCCCCGTCTCCCAAGGCCATTCCCATGTGCCATTACAATTACTTAATTACCATACTTTCACACACTTAATTTAAAATTTCCCATGTCAAAATTGGACTAACACTAATGCCGGATTATTTGTCCTTTTAGATACAAAGAAGCTGTTTTGGCCTATGAAAATGCTAAGCAGTGGGACAACGTGATCCGGTTGTATTTGGATCACCTGAATGATCCAGAAAAAGCTGTGAGCATCGTCCGGGAAACCCAGTCTCTTGAAGGAGCCAAGATGGTAGCCAGGTAATCGAGTGATTATTTGTTTATTATTTCATGATCTCTGAAATCATTAAAAAATTGAGTGCATTCTTTAATAATTTATTAGATCTAGGAATATATAAATGAATGATTTAGTATATTTAGGAATACAACCAAATTAAATGTGTGGAGATACATTAGACTGACTTGAATATATGAATGAATGAATGAATGAAATGTCTATGGAGATTCTCAGTCATCCAGGTCATAGTTGTCCCAAAGGTGCTTTTTCAAGAGGCAACTGGACTGGTTTTTTCTTAGAAGTTGTTAGGCTTCTCATTCAAGAAGCTTCTTTAGCTCAGCTTAAAAATTAATTTTTTATTGGGAGAATGAATGCATGAATGGAAGGTAATAAATAAAAGTAACCAGGCATTTTTCTCATTTCATTATTTTCTTTCAATTACGCTTTCCTCCTGTTAAGAGGATTTCCTAACTTTGATGCCACTTATCTAGATGCAATCTTATTAGTGAGGGAGGAAAAGAAAAGAAAAAAAAGGAAGGAATAATTTTCAGGATTAATTGAATCTCCCCAAGTATGTGTCTTGTGTGATTCTGAGTGTCCAAAAGTCAAATTGGTGGCTGTGACCACAAAATCAAAGTCCTACTTTTTTTTACATCATAGTGCTTTTCAAAAAGGAGCGGGACTTTAATTGTATAGTCACCGCTATCTTCTTGAGTTTTTTGACATAACAGATGCTCCTGGAATGATGGTTCAACTCTCTGGTCCATAGAATGCAGAGCCCTGTTTATTTAGAACAAGCAACATATTCACAACTGGTACCAACTTAAGCTTTCATCATCATTTTTCATGCTGGGCAAGATGCTGCCATATTTGTGCATGTGATGCTTTAGGGGAGGGCAACCTAAATTCACACAGTCCAGTGGTATATCCCCCCCCCCACTCCGGGTTGAGAAATATATCTGGTATAATTGAACTAGGTGTGATTGCCATTTACACAAACTAAAAAGCAATTAACCCATAAATCTCCAGCTGGCTTTGCTGCTAATAGTTTTATGAATTCTGGCTATCAGCAAACCTGATAGCAGGTTTATATTCCTCTAGGTTTTTTTTTAAATAGAGCGATAATTTACAAGGTATTTATGTCTTAAATTGTGGAGTCCTGGAGCCTCTAGAGGTGTTACACCGATTTAATAATTATAATAAAAACAATAGTTTAGGGAGATGAGAAAACTCATCCATGGCAGTTATTTTTGTATTCAAAGTTTGTACATTCCTATTTTGAATTGTTACCTTGACTGCTTGGGAACATAAAAGTTTGGGATTCTGTTCACTTTTCCTTTTTAAAAAATAATATTCTTCTTAGATTCTTTCTGCAGCTGGGTGATTACGAGTCTGCCATCCAATTTTTAGTGATGTCCAAGTGTAACAACGAAGCTTTTGTCCTGGCTCAGCAGCACAATAAGATGGAGCTCTATGCTGACATCATCAGTGAGTATTTCAGCCTAATATAATTCTATCCAGTAGGTAGAAGAAGCAAGAGGACCAAATTTATTTATTGGTTAACTTTAGTTGCTGCCTATCTTGCCGTGGGGGCTACTCTAGGCGACTTGCAATCGATTGCAACACAGCCACAACAATGTCATTGTCGCATGAGCTATTGAGAGCCAGGCATGAGCTGACAACATTTGCATGATGATGTCATTGTACACTTGTCATGTTGGCATCATTGCAGTCGGTTGCAGATGCTGCTGATTCAACCATTTAGTAGTAAATTAGCTTTTAACTTGACTGCAAGGCATTAGGATGTTGCTGTTCAAAATATATTCAGAAACCTTTTAAATGCAGGCAATTTTAATGAGGCATAACGTTTTGTTAATTCCTAACAGTTTGTTAGGAAGCACAGTACAATTTACTCCTTAAGTGTTTTCATTAAATTATTATTTGGTAAATTCTATCCTATTGCAATACGGTAGAAATTGTAAAGTTAGTAGTTCCTTCACATTTTTTTGCAAATTATTAGACTTTGGCTAATTTTTGTCTACCTTTCCAAATAATTCTAATCCCCTGTGAAAGTTTCAAGAGCATATTTTCAGAGTTTAGGAGATGGAATTTGGTGTGTGTAAGACATTGCAAGTCTCGCTTGGTGGGTGCTGCTCCATTCACAGGAAGAAAAGGAAATGTTCTTTGTGCTTCCCATCCATTCCAGGTTCTGAGGAAACCACTAACGACGATTACCAAAGCATCGCCTTATATTTTGAGGGAGAAAAGAAACATTTTCAGGCTGGCAAATTCTTCCTACTCTGTGGTCAATATTCCAGGGTTAGTACAACTTTAGGAAATTGGATCAAACATTAAGTTGGATCGATCGTGAGAATTCTGGAAGATGATCCCTCAATATCTCTTTCTGTGTTTTGAGGGGAATTGGGTGGGATTCTCTTTGCACGTAGTGCTAGGAAAAACTTTAGCAATAGCAATAGCACTTAGACTTATATACCACTTCACAGTGCTTTACAGCCCTCTCTAAGCAGTTTACAGAGTCAGCCTATGGCCCCCCAACAATCTGGGTCCTCATTTTATCCACCTCAAGAACGATGGAAGACTGAGTCAGTCTTGAGCTGATCAGGATCAAACTCCTGGCAGTGGGCAGAATTAGCCTGCAAAACTGCATTCTAACCACTGTGCCATTAGGGCTCTTTAATTCTTGTTTTGTCTTTAATTCTCTTCAATAATTCCTGTTTTGTCTTCCTGAGCCTGCCTAGAAAATTCATCAGACATGGAATGGGTGGGGAGAGGGTGGCAGTTTTCAGTCTGATAATTAGAAATAGGAATCAGTAGACAACTTCCTTCTTCAGCTGTATAGATAGTCTCGACTTATAACCATTCGTTTAGTGACCGTTCAAAGTTACAACAGCACTGAAAAAAGTGAGTTATGACTGCTTTTCACACTTATGACTGTTGCAGCATCCCCAAGGCCACGTGATGGAAATTTGGATGCTTGGCAACTGGCGTGTATTTATGACGGTGGCAGTATCTTCAGGTTATGTGTTCCCCTTTTGCGATCTTCTGACAAGCAGAGTAAATGGGGAAGTCAGATTCACTTAACAACCCTGTAACTAATTTAACAACTGTGGCAAGCAAGATCGTAAAATGGGACAGAACTCACTTAGGTGTCTTGCTTAGCAGAGGAAATTTTGGGCTTAATTATGGTCATCAGTCAAGGACTACCTGTAAGTCAAATGTCATCTCTTCCTTCACTCTTAAGACATCGTAAACGAATCACTTCCAACACCATAAATATTTTGCCAAATAATCGGATTGGATTTTGATGCAGATTTTAAGAATGAGAGTTGATATGATGAAATTTGAAGCAATGTATGTGACATTTTTTCATCAACATGTTTCTTTCTATGGGTTAAATACCATAACAGATGGTTAACAGAGGAATTTGAAGATTAATATAGTGGTTGGGGTAACCTACTGACTTTTTTTTTTACATATATACTATGATCAGCTGTTGGGTCGATTTGATTATCGGATAGAGATCTCCTCACCTGGAATATTTATTTAATATAATATTTTTGTTAAATTGGGGTGGAAAACCTTATTTGTAGCCATTTATGCAAAGGGGAGGAGAATTTATCAATTTTTCTTATTCTTTTTTTCTCAGCATACTACCAAAGTGGATTCTATATATTTAATGTTAAATTTATTTGATATTTGGGTCATTTTTTTCCCTTTCTTGTACACATTTTTTTCTTTTTGTTATTGTTTTTCTGTTTTGCATTTTATTCTTGTTTATAAAACAAAACAAATATATATATTTTAAAAAGTCTGTTTTTTCTAGTAGAAAACAGTACGTACGATTCTAATCTCTTGTTTCTATTGTTATTCTAATTTGCTATTAAAATATTACTGATTGCACGAAGTGAAGATGTGGGGGAAATAAGTTATTAGCCATTTAATGGTGTTTTTTTTTTCCAGGCGCTGAAGCACTTTTTGAAAAGCCCAAACACAGATGATAATATGGCCATAGACATGGCAATTGAGACGGTAAGATAATGTCATTTAGGAAGAAAAAATGCATCTGACCTTTTTTTTTTTTTACCAAAATTCAATGCCACCGCCTCAGTAACATTTAATGTAACGTAAAGTTATATTTTATACCACTTTTTCAGTTTATATCCTGCTCTTGTTTCAGAACCGAAATTTATACTGGTTATTTTCAATATTTTCAATACCCTCCTGGTGAATCATTTATAAAGTCCGCAGTGGCAGGCTTTATAAAACTTGACTTTCCATGATGTCTCCCTACCTTTGTGATGTTGTTCCCATTCACTTGTTTTCACAACAGGTGGGCCAAGCAAAGGACGAAGCCCTGACTGACCAGCTGATCAATTACCTTATGGGTGAGACCGATGGTATACCAAAGGTACAGACTTCCAGGCAGAACTCGTAATCCTATTTTTCAACCATATCTGTAACATGTTTACCGTATTTTTTGGAGTATAAGATGCTCCGGAGTATAAGATGCACATTAATTTTTGGGGAGGAAAACAATAAAAAAAAAATTCTGCCTCTGCCTACCAGCATCCATTGGTATTCATCTGGCTAGCGTCCTTGTCGCAAAAAGCCTGGTAAGCTTCAGGACATTATCACAGCCTGATTTAACATGAACAGCTGATTGGCTGTTGGATTGGCCTCCCGGAATACCGCCAATCAGCTGTTCCCGGCTGCGGGGATCGCCAGAGCCCATCGCCGCCGCCAAGCATTGCGTTTCTGGCCTCCGCGGACCATGTTTTTGGCCTTTGCGCACTTTGTTTTAGACCCATTCCAGGCTGCAGGGATCGCCACAGCACATTGCCGGCAATTGCTGTCTGCACGCATTGCATTTTTGGCCTCCGCATGCCCCATTTTTGGCCTCTGTGCATTGCATTTTTGGCCAGTTCCCCACCACCTGGAACTGGACGAAAATGTGATGCGCAGGGGCCAAAAATGGAACATGCAGAGGCTGAAAATGCGACATGCAGAGGCCAAAAACGCGATGCATGGAGGCAGCGATCGCCGACGATGTGCTGTGGTGATCCCCGCAGTCTGGGACAGATTTAAAACGGAGCGTGCAAAGGCCGAAAATGCGATGCGCTGAGGCTGAAAATGGTTGAAAGATATGGGCCGGCAGGTGGGTGGAGCTTCGGCCACATTCGGTGTATAAGACGCACTGCAATTTTCACCCACTTTTAGTGGGGGGAAAGTGTGTCTTATACTCCGAAAAGTACAGTAATTTTTTCAAACTGGATGACTGGTGTGCGAAACCATTTCAACATTCTAACCCTAGAGCACCAGAAGGCCTGGGGCTGCATGCCAAAATACGACACCGGGAAAATTAGCACAAGTTGAGCCATCGTTGTCATATTTACAGTGCATTTCCTATATATGAATATTTGGAATGACTGTACTTTCATTGATTTTAAATTCTGATAGGCCATCGTTTTGTTCGCAGTGGTCCCTGGACCTCTCTAGGTAAATGTTGATATTAAGAGCAAAGAGAAGAATTTTTAACACAGCTGAGGATGACTTCAGCCTGTTTTGTCTGGCTGGGGGAGTTCTGGAGTTGAAGTGCACAGGTCTTAAAGTTGTCATGGCTGGACACCTCTGATCTAAAGACTGAACTGTGGCTTTTTTTAAAAATAAATCACATCCTCTTATATACCGTACAGAAATACAGGTAGTCCTCGACTTACAACCATTCATTGAGACACGGTTCAAAGTTACAATGGCACTGAAAATAGGTGACTGATTACCGTTTTTCACAGTTACGACCTTTGAAGCATCCCCATGATCACGTGATCAAAATTCAGAACACTTGGCAACTGGTTCATATTTATGACGGGTGCAGTGTCCGGGGTCATGTGTTCCCCTTTTGTGACCTCCTGACAAACAGAGTCAGTGGGGAAGTCAGATTCACTTAATAACCGTGTGGCTAAGTTAACAACTGCAGGGATTCAGTTAACAACTCGGGCAAGAAAGGGTGTAAAATGGGGGCAAAATTCACTTCACAACTCCCTCGCTTAGCTGCAGCGAAATCAACGGGGAAGCCAGGTTCACTTAACTAATAACCTATCAACTGCAGTGATTCAGTTAACAACTGTGGCAAGAAAAGTCGTAAAATGGGGCAGAACTCACTTAACCATAGAAATTTTGGGCTCAATTGTGATCGTTAAGTCAAGGACTGCCTGTAATACTGAATTTGGTTCAAATTATGACACGATCCACAGACAAATTGCAGAGTCCTCCTCCCAGTGCAGTAAACAGGCCTGCCAGTAATTTGAAACAAGCCGCTTTTTAAAGGCTGCGTTGTGTTATCTTATTTAATCTTAGTCATTGTATCTTTTCTTTTATTTTTTCTACCAATTGTTTTGTTTTCTTACCCAGACCTCATTTTGTTTTTCCAATTGCTTTACTGTAACTTCTGTACTCTGTTTCTGTGAGTATTTTTATTTTTAATTATTCTAAACCATGATAGTTGTTGTTATGTGCTACCCTCATTTTGACACAAATGGTAGGCAAAGATCTGAATCCAAAGCCAGATGCTTTTTAAAGAGGCTTTATTAAGCTGGACCTGGGCTATTGTCAGTAGTTTTCATAGCAATATTTATTGAGATCATGGTTAGTTCAGTTAGCTGTAGCAACTAAGGGAGGTCAACTTAACAGAAATACCGAAGAACCAGTGCTTAGTCAAACGGTTTAGTTCAGTTTATTGATTAGCCCGTAGGCCATATCAAAATACAGAATTCCAAGTACAAATGATTAATAAAACCCTATAAAAACAATTTAAAATGAAATTGGAATAAAATGCAATGATTTGATATATTGATAAATAGAATAAAATTATATTTCAGAATCCCCCCTATAATCTACCCCAACCAGTCCCACATGTGCCGATGGCAGCCGAATCATTTTACTCAAGTACTGTGCCGTATGAAAAGTTCTTTTCAAATTCTGGCTGCATATAAGGCATGTCGTTTTATAGATTAATATGTGGTTCCCAATGAGTCATTTGTATAATATATGAACCAAGCTACCTGTCTGTCACCCTCTTATACAACAATCAAATACCGTATGTTTCGGAGTATAAGACGCTCCGGACTATAAGACGCATCTACCTTTTTAGGTGAGGAAAAGAAGAAAAAGAAATCTGCCTCTGCCTCCCAGCAATTTTGCCTCGTTGCAACAAACAGCCTGCTTTACGTTCACTTTCGTTTTCAGCATAGCTTGATTAGCATAAGAAGAAAAAAATCTGCTCCCAGCAATTTACCTCCTTGCAGCAAGCAGCAAAGGCCCGCGCAGCAATAGGCCATGGCAATCCCTGCAACCTGAAACAGCTGAGAGTTGGGAGACCGATCCAAGGGACACTCAACTTGTGCTAATTAGGCTGTGCTGAAGCTGAAATGGGCTGTTTCTTCCTGCTGCTTCCTGCAAGGAGGTAAATTGCTGGGAGGCAGAGGCCAAAGGGTGGGGGCCAGCAGGTAGGCGGGGCTACATTCGGTGTATAAGACACACCCCAATTTTCATCCTCTTTTAGGGGGGGAATAGGCATGGCTTATACTCCAAAAAATACAGTAGTGTGTGAGCCAAGTCTTCTACCTCTGCCACTCCGCAAATGCAGAGATGTTCATTTTATGGTATAGAATGGAATCTCCCATATTTGACCAATGAGGGATCAAACATTGAACTTTGAAACAGTCTCAGAAAAGAAAAGATACTATTTGGAAGCATCACAGGGATATACGGAAAAGGAGAGGCAGACCACAATTAGGCTTGCAGGATTCTGTTATAGCTCTAAATTAAATAGAGTGTGAAGTAGGACCACAAAAATGTTTAGATCAAATATTCAAATAAGACTATAAAAGGAGAGCAGATTTCTCTCTTCTACCACAGATGACGTTACCTAGTTTGTTAATAAAACGTCCGCAAGAAAACCACCAAGCCCAGTGAGCACCGAGGAGCCCTCAAATATTTTGTAATTTACGATGTTTACTTTCTGGCAGATTGCAAAACCACGTGTCATGGCTGCCCTATCCTCATATTGTACAGCCATCAATGGTAATTTAAAAGCTAACTGCCTCATAAAAACATTGCATGGCACCATTGCTCACTGGGCACTTAGCCAGAACAAATGTAAGCAGTTTATTGTACAAAGCCTTCCTAAAAATCCAGCCGGCGATAGCTGGAACTTGGCATGCTCTGAGACGCAACTTCTCTTTTTGTTCTAATGAAGGAAGCCAAATATCTCTTTCGACTCTACATGGCATTAAAGCAATACCGGGAAGCTGCTCGGACGGCGATCATCATCGCTCGAGAAGAACAGTGCGCAGGTATGGCCCTTTGGGTGGTTCATTTCTGGACAGCAAATCTGACCAAAACGACATAGGAGGTAACGCATGAAAGAAGAGAGACACTGGAACATTGTATTTCCACTGTTAAACTTAAAATGCATTAAAGATGGAGTTTATTTTTCAGTGTTGCCTTTTTATTAAGACTGTATTTTCCCTTGCTTTTATTCAAGGTGTCCAGCCTTGGCAACTAGTATGGCTGACTGGGGAACTTTGGGGATTCTGGGAATTGAAGTCCACAGGGCATAAAAGTTGCCAAGGCTGGAAACCCTTGGCTCAAAGAGGTATAACCACATTTTGTTGTTCTGGATTACACCAAATAGTTAGTTTAACCTCATAAATGCCCAGAAGGTCTCATTTGGAGAGTAACATAACTAGAAAATGAATCTATTTTTTGACTATTAAATTGTCACGTACTGTGGGCATTCCACAAACCATTAAAATTAAGCCGATTTCTCCCCTTTGTTGCTGGAATGTAACGTTTTATATTCAAAGCACCCAGCTCAAGTGAATTTGTGGATAAGGCATTGTGGCTGTAATGTCTTTGACAAATCAGTAACTTAATTTTAATATTTAGCTTGATCTGATAGTGTTTGAGAAGAGCCTAACTATTTTACTGAAATTTAATTGCTGTTTTGGTTTTCTTTCTCTCTTTTCCGATTTTGGTTTTCTTTCAAAAAGGGCATTATCGAAAAGCCCACGATGTCCTCTTCAGTATGTATTTAGAATTAAAAGTACAGAAAATTAAAATACCCTCTGAGATGGCTACAAACCTGATGATTCTACACAGTTACATTTTAGTAAAGGTAACTACTTTTATTATGTATGTATTAATAGAGAAAGATTACCATATTTTTCGGAGTATAAGATGCACCGGAGTATAAGACACACCTTAGTCTTTGGGGAGGAAAATAAGAAAAAAGCTGATTGGTGGGTGGATCGGCCTCCCGGAATACCCCCAATCAACTGTTCCCAGAAGTGAATTTTAGCAACAGGTTCCTTGGTTGTGAGCTCTGTGCCTTGCTTTTTTTTTTGCTTTTTTTTCTGCCTCTGAAACTTCTGAAACTCCATTTCAGAAAAAACTTTTTTTCCTGCCTCTGAAAGCCTCCGAAACAGAGCTTCAGAAAAAAAGCCTCTGAAGCTCTGTTTGTGGGCTTCTTTTCTGAAGCTCTGCTTGGAGGGTTCTTTTCTGAAGCTCTCTTTGGGGGCTTCTTTTCTGAAGCTTCGTTTCTGATGCTTTTTTCAGCCTCTGAAACCTCCGTTTGAGAAGCTGGGTGGGGTTTCTTTTTCTTATAATCAATTTAGTCTTTCCAAATTCAATATGCACATTTAAAATTTAAGCATCAGATTCCGTTTTGGGCTTTAATGTTTTTCACTTCCGCTTTCTCTCTTCTCTGTCAATTATCTCCCCCTGATGCTATTTAGCCGCTATTTCCACGCCGGGTTAACTTAATTTAAAGAGTTTCCATTTTTTTCTTTTATTACCTGTGAGTTGGCCAATCACTCATCCAGTACCAATACTCCATCCAAGTCTTTGCTCCTGCACAATCTTTATTCCGGATGCCCCAGCTTCATGGCGGTTTGCAATGGCCGCTGCCCTCCCGCCGTTGGACAAAGAGTTTTCTCTGTCTTTCTGAGGAACTTGCCTGTTCCTCTTTAGCCAACCGAGATGCCTCTCCTTCTTCACTGTCCCTACAGGACAGTTCCGGTCCGAAGACTCCCCGACAGTGATTCGTCTGGCTGGGTTTTCGCCAGGCTCATTAGAGCCTGGTATTTTCCCAACCAGTCTCGCCGCGACGCTTCCGGGTTCGGAAGCATAAATCCAAACTAGTGAAATTTAATGCAAACGTAATTTGTGGCTATTTCTTATACTTATGACCATTGCAGCATTCCCCATGGTCACGTGATCAAAATTCAGTGGCTTGGCAACTGACATGTATTTATGACAGTTGCAGTGTCCTGGGATCATGTTGTCTCCTTTTGCGACCGCCTGACAAGCAAAACCTTTGAGGAAGCCAGATTCATTTCACAACCTAGTTAGTAACTTAACAATCGCATTGATGCACTTAACATCTTTGGCAAGCAAGGTTGTCAAATGGGACAAAACACACTTAACAAATGTCTTACTTAACAACAGAAATGTTGGGCTCAATTGTGATTGTAAGTCGAGGACCACCTGTATTACAATTAAGGTGAAGGAGTAATCAAGTCAAGGACTTGTAGGAAAGAAAATGACTATAAAATTCTGTAAATAGCTACGAAGATCAACAAATCATTTAATGAGCACCTGCTTCTTCCTTGTTTACTCTGGATGGCTCCTAAATATTACAAATAATGCCTAACTCACATGTATATTTCAGATTCATGTTAAACTTGGGGACCACATGAAAGGAGCACGTATGCTCATTCGTGTTGCTAACAATATCAGCAAGTTTCCATCTCGTAAGTGTTATCCAAACCAGAAACCTATCCCCCTTTGAGGGATTCAGGGATATTTTCTTCTTTATTAAAGAATTGAGCGTTGCAGCTTTTGTGTTAATTGTTGTGTTAAACTGCTAAATACTATTCCTATTCTGTCATACTCGTTTAATTTCCTTGATAACGGGATCGATATCGTCTAAATCTCCTCTCTGATTTAATTTTATTTTTGGAAGTGTAACAATTTACAATTGTAAATTGTTTTAAATTTGTTTTTAAATTTTAAATTTAAATTTAAAAAATGGGTTTTAAATCTGTCTGGGCCAAGCTATTTAATTCGATTTTATCTTTTCTTTTTAAATTTTGTATGTATGTATTTTATTGTTGGCTGTTCACCGCCCTGAGTCCTTCAGGAGTAGGGCGGTATATAAATCAAATAAAAGTAAAGTAAAGTAAAAGTAAAGTACAACATAGATAGAAAGGATTTTTTTCAAGTTATCTTTTATTGCTGTAAATAAAAAATTAATTATTACCTGCATCATGTAAGATTGCTAAACGGGGCTCACATCAAGAAATCAATTGTTCCAACGTGCATTATTTATATACATGTCTTAAATATCGTTCCTATAGTGTTATCTCTTTGACTATCATCTTTAGATGGTTTCTTGTTCTTCAAATTCTGAGAGATTAAATTCTATCAGCAGCAGCTCTGTGAAATCCAGACAGTTTTGACTACCAATGGACAATGAGCAGCTAAATGAAAAGTTCTTTGCAGGATGATGTCTGTCGTTTTACTTTCAGATATTGTGCCCATCCTGACCTCCACGGTAATTGAATGTCACCGAGCGGGACTGAAAAAATCTGCCTTTGCTTTTGCTGCCATGCTGATGAGACCAGAATATCGGAATAAAATTGACCCGAAATACAAAAGGAGAATTGAAACACTCGTCCGGTGAGCTTATGGTTATTCTGCCTTACTCCCTGCCTTAGGACTGGGAATGCATTGATGCATAACTGGACAATTGTGTCTATGCTGATTTAATCTGCCATCCTGTGAACACAGTAGTCCTTGATTTATAGCCACAATTGAGCCCAAAATTTCGTTTGCTAAGTGAGACATTTGTTAAGTGATTTTTTGCCCCATGTTACGACCTTTCTTGTCACAGTTGTTAAGTGAATCATGGCAGTTGTTCCCCCCCCCCCCCCCCAAGGTGCTTTTTTCAAGAGGCAAAACTGGACTTTTCTTTAAAGACGTTTTGCTTCTCATCCAAGAAGCTTCTTCAGCTCTGACTGAATGGTGGGGATTTCCTGGGTTGTAGATCAGCGGGAAGAAGGCAGTGGCAAATTAGCAGAAAAACGCCATGAACACGTACCACCAAGTCAAGTGCACCTTGACATCTACTGTATCTTATAAGCCAACAGTGAGATTTCTCCCAGACCAATCAGCAGAGCATTGATGTTACTCCACAGTCCTATGTGGACTTATTGAGTCTGAAAGAAATTAGCTAGATTTGTTTTAGCTATCAAATAATGGAGCAAAGAGATAACTCTTCCCAACAATCAATAGCAATAGCACTTAGACTTATATAGCGCTTCACAGTGCTTTCAAACTTCTCTAAGCAGTTTACAGAGTCAGCCTCTTGCCCCCAACAATCTGGGTCCTCATTTTATCAACCTCAGAAGGATGGAAGGCTGAGTCAACCTTGAACTGGTCAGGATCAAACTCCTGGCAGTGGGCAGAGTTAGCCTATAATCCTGCATTCTAACCACTGGACCACCACAGAAGGGAGGGTGGGAGAAAGGAAGGGAAGGGAAGGGAAGGGAAGGGAAGGGAAGGGGAAGGAAGGAAGGAAGGAAGGAAGGAAGGAAGGAAGGAAGGAAGGAAGGAAGGGTGATAGCGCTTATATACCACTTCACCGTGTGTTACAGTCCTCTCTAAGCGGTTTACAGAATCAGCATCTTGCTACCAACAATCTGGGTCCTCATTTTACCGACCTCGGAAGGATGAAAGACTGAGTCAACCTTCAGCCGGTCAGGATCGAACTGCCAAACTGCTGGCAGCCAGCAGAATTAGCGGCCGTCCTGCATTCTAACCACTGCGCCACCGCGGCTCTAATCAAATTGAAAATAGATGGGAGGGCCAAGAACCTTGAATGAAAATTCTTGCAATGTGAGCAGAATTATCTGTGATATACCGGAGCACAAAATATAATTTTTAGGCAAGGAAAGCAACTTGAGAAATAAAAAAAATGGATCCGTTCATAATGGGCTTCTTATTTTGCTATCAGACGGCCGGATACCTCCGAAGGGGAAGGGGAAGAACCAACCACGCCGTGCCCGTATTGTGAATTCAGGCTCCCCGAATGCGAACTTCTGTGCCCAGGCTGCAAGAACAACCTGCCATATTGCATTGCGACGGTGAGTACATGACGAGCAACTCATAGGACTCACCTTTTCCATCTTTCAGCTCCTGAAGCTGAGCCTCCGAGGGTTGCATTTGAAATCTGAGCTTTGAGATACAGAATCTTGATGTTGTGCTTCAAAAAGCCTCAGGGTCTCATTGAAATATACAGGCAGTCTTCAACATACAACCGCAATCGGAGCCCAGAATTTCGGTGGCTAAGTGAGACTTGTCAAGTGAGTTTTGGCCCCGTTTTACGACTTTTCTCGTCACATTTGTGAAGTGAATCACTGCCGTTGTTAAATTGGTAACCCGGTGGTTAAGGGAATCCGGCTTCCCCCGTTGGCTTTGCTTGTCAAAAGGTCGCAAAAAGGGGATCGCACGACCCCGGGGACACTGCAACCGTCGTAAACATGAGCCAGTTTGCAAGCATACAAATGTAAATCATGTGACGATGGGGATGCTGCATTGTGGAAAAACGATCGTAAGTCACTTTTTCCAGTGCTGTTGTAACTGAACAGTCATTAAATGAACTGTTGTTAAGTCGAGGACTGCCTGTAATTACTTCCAAGTAAGGCATTTGCAGTAGTGGCCAAAATTGTGGAAACCTTTTGGGAAAAGTATATTTTCTAAAACTAGCTAATAACACCACTTTTTTTTTTTTTGGGAGTAGTACCATAAAATTATATATCAATGGAAAGATAATTTAATCAAGAATGTAATGCAATAAACTTTTATGAAGGATTTGCTATTAGAATAGCAGTTACAGGATAAAGAAGAAAAGTGAAACACGTAGAAAAAACGAGATATACAAAAATTATCACCATAGAAAAAACGAGATAAGACAAAAGTGATCTCCATGTCAGTGAATACTTCATTGGGTAACCTTTAGCATAATTGACGACCTTACAACATCTTCCCATGGAGTGAACCAAGTCTTTTAGTTCTGCAGCTGTTCTCATGTGAAACCAAGATTGAACGATGGCTTCTATTAACTGGGTTTTTTTAAAAAAAATTAACATACATAACATACATGAATCATAATATATAATAGGTAACAATATACACAATACAATCAACGCGTGCTCCCCCACCCCTAGGGATCATTCCTGCTTCCAAAATCTTAAAGTTTCTTCTGGTGGTGGTATCCTACTTCCTCCCGAAAACACATATATTAGGAACTGTTTCCAGATTCCATTGAATTCATTTACTTTCATTATGCCCCTCCTTACTTTAATATTACAAGTCAATTTATCATTTATGGCAATATCCCATACTTCCTTATACCATTCTTCCAAACAGTAATCACCTTGTGTCTTCCAGTTCCTAGAAATCATTAACCTCGCGGCGGTCAACAAATTAGTTATCAACTCTTTAGGCTCTTTTTTACACTTTATATCTTCCAATAGTGAGAGTAATGCTACCTTTGGTGCCTCTTCTACCTTTATTCCTACAATTTCTTCAATCTCCTTAAACACCATCTTCCACAATTTTTGCACAAATTTACAATCCCACCACATATGTAAATACGTTCCTTTCTCCCCGCAACCTCTCCAACAGTTATCTGAATAGTGCTGATTCATATTGCTTAATCTAACGTTAAGTACCACCTCCATACCATTTTGTAATAATTCTCTTTTATTCTTTTAATAATAATTATTCTATTATTATTCAGGCCATTCCAGCAGTGGAATACGATTACTTTGAAACTCAAAAAAAAAAACAAAAACCAAAAGTGGTGTTATTAGCCATCAAACCTCAAAAATACACTTTTCCCAAAAGGTTCCCACAATTTTGGCCACTACTGTAACTGTGGCCCTTTTTCCATTGAAGCCTGATGTGTGTCCCCCCCCCCTTGCAATTCTTCCAGGGACGACATATGGCCAGAGAAGACTGGACTCTGTGCCCCCATTGCGAGTTCCCGGCGCTCTATTCAGAGTTCAAAAAGTAAGTTGTAATTTTTTTCATTCTCCGATTACCCTGTTTCCCCTAAAATAAGACCTCCCTGGATTATAAAACCAATCAGGCTTTTGAGCATATGCGGTAAAATAAGCCCTCCCTGAAAATACTAAACTCTATGCGCAGCTGGTTCTCTCCATTTCCTCTGGTTAAGGTTAGGGAGTCAGAGCTGGAAATCAGGCAAGAGTGGAGCCTCGTCTTGCTCCATGCGCCCCCAAAATAATAAGATCTCCCCAAAAATAAGGCCAAGTGTTTATTTCGGGTTCAAAAAAAATAAGACCGGGTCTTATTTTGGGGGAAACACAGTATTTACATGCCAAGAACGTTTTCCGTTGTTTTGTTGCAACCTGCCACAAACTTCAGATTTCTACCTCGTCGAAATTAATCCCGCTTATTTCGTCTGGCTGCTGACCCTCTGCAGTTCTCATATTCACATACTTTTTATCGCTTTCGTCTTCCTAAATCATTTATTTCAGCCAACAGCAGCCAAAGAAAAGTTCGTTTCTATGTTTGTGTTTGCAATGTCTAGTTTGTTGAAAAAACACAGACATAATGATTGTTTTGGGACATCTACCCTCTGGTTATTGTGACTAAAAATAATAAAATTGTAGACTTGCACTCTGCCAGTTTTATGCCTTTCTACCAACTGCTTGGAGAAATTGAAAACATTGTCTATTTTAAGGCACTGGTTGATGGGAGAGGCAGAGCAAACCCAAAGACGCTAATATAATGTTCCGCAACCTGCATAGATGATAGAGGTAGTGAGAGTGTCTTCTTTCAATAGTTTGTTGCAGAGCGAAGGCGCATGTCCCATGTGTTCGGAAAAAGTCGATGCCACCAGCCTAAGCAGAACAGCTGATTGCACACCCTACCTCAAGCCTGAAGTGGAGCAATAATTTTAATCAAGTTAAGTGGCTCAATCTTCGTTTTCATGTTTAGAACTCAGAATATTAAAGAATGTTTATTTGTTTATATCTAAAACAGTAACTGGCCTATTCTCTTGTGTGCGCTCATCTCCCTTCATGTAACCCTCCCAATTTTTTTTGCTTCTTCCACACAACGAAGCTTCTTCTGCTTGTTTTCCACGATGCGTTGTGTATGTGGAAGGACACGGATCGGGTGTGCTGGGCCCTCTTCCACGATACCGATTCTGCCCGCTGATTTTTCTGCTTGACCTCTGCAAAGTGTGCGCACTCCACTCTGCAAGGATGCGCTGTACCTGTTCCTCCCCAGCCTCACTGTCCGACTCAGCTGCCAGCTCTCAGTTGAAGAATGAGTAGACAACTCCTCTTTGATCACTACTGAGCCGCAGTGGCTCAGTGGTTAGAGTGCAGTACTGCAGGCTACTTCTGCTGATCACCGACTGCCAGCACTTTGGCAGATCGATTCTCACCGGCTCACGGTTGACTCAGCCTTCCATCCTTCCGAGGTGGGTAAAATGAGGAGCCAAATTATTTGGGGGCAGTAGGCTGACTCTGTAAACAGCTTAGAGAGGGCTGGAAAAGCACTGTGAAGCGGTATATAAGTCTAAGTGCTATTGCCCTTCCTTCCTAATGGTTAGATTGCAGTATTGCAGGCAAACTCTGCCAACTGACTGCCAGCAGTTCGATCCTGACCTGCTCAAGGTTGACTCAGCCTTCCGAGGTTGGTAAAATGAGGACCTACCGTACTGTTCGGGGCAAGAGGCTGACTATGTAGAGCCGCTTAGAGAGGGCTGGAAAGCACCGTGAAGCGGTATACGTCTAAATGCTATTGCTCTCCCTGGTTTGTAAATTGGAGCAGTCCGAGTTCAATAAACCAAGCGGGTCCTTAGCGAAACAGTGCTGCTCAAGATGCCACACAAGTTACTTCAAGTAAACGACGAGGAATACAGGTAGCCCTCGACTTGTGACCACATTGGAGCCCCAATTTTCTGTTGTTCGTTGAGAGTTTTGTTCAGTGAGTTTTGCCCCGTTTTATCACCTTTCTTGCCGCGGTGGTTAAGTGAATCACTGCAGTGGATCAGTTCATAACACCGTTGTTAAGTGAATCCGGCTTCCCCCATTGACTCTGCTTGACAGGTGGTCCCCGAATTCAGTCAATTGTGCAAGCGACTGCTAGAGAGATCAGCTTCCAAGCAGATATAAATAAGACGAGTTCCATTAACGTGCAATGCATTTTAAAAATAAAATATGAGTTAAAATGGTTAAACTGGTTAAAAATATGAAACTAGTTTTATTGCAACTTTTACACGGTGCTGCACTTTCATATACAAAAATGAGTAACTGATTAGGGTTTGTTCATATATACATGGGTAGCAACATAATAAGCATTTCTAAAAAAAATATAGAGAGAGGAGTTTTATGAAGGGAAGCACTAGCAGCTTGGACTCTTTTTCTTCCGGAGAGCCTCTTTCTGTATTTACAGGAATCAAACAATATAAATTCTGTTTGCCTCTTTTTCTGCAAAAAAAAGATATATATATAGATAGATAGATAGATTTGCCATTGCTATGCAGTGTTAGCAGGGCAACTGGTGCAGAGTTTGCCCAACCATTTACTGTGCCCACAGTCCAGCAGTAAGCTTGCATAGACAATTTATTTAGCTTTTTTTCTTTGATTTTCCTTTTTTCCTTTCTTCCTTCCTTTCTGCTTTTGGTGGCTTGGCAGGTTTGGTCTTTTTCTGTCAAAAAGAAGAGACATTTTTTAAAAAATGCAAACAGAATCACAGCGCCTGTAGCTAACTCACTAATTCACTTTTCGGTTGCTTCCACGTATTTACTAAAAAACCCAAAAGGACACCCTAATAGATGTCGTAACTTTTCCAAACAACTAGCAAATCACAGGGCATGGAAGCAAACTATAAGGGGGAGAAGACAACAGTAAAAAAAAAAAAGGGGTGGGTGGGGGATAAACTATGACTAATCTAGAACCAAAAGCATATTCGAAAACATTGTACAGATCGGTCTTTATGTCAGTCGTAAGATGATTTTTTTTTTGCTATGACGGCTGGAACTTTGAGGAAGGGTCGCAAGGCCCATTTGTTCATGACCATCTTACACGTCTCTGAACACGCGGTCATTCACTGAGGACCGCCTGTGAATTTGCATATTTAAATGGGCTGCCGAAGGGAGCGATACCTTAATCATCGCATCGCTTTCCAGGCTCCCTTGCTCGGTCTCGGCTTCGTTCGATTCCAGTTCTTCACTCACTTCCGCATCCACTGAGCCGGCTCGTTTCGACTTTGGCGCAATTTGCAGGGAGTACGGCGTAAGGTGTGCAACTTTATTGTAGGCGCGCGTGAACGCCGATTTAACCTGTCGGGGCCAAACCAACGAAGACTTTTTAAGTGTTAAGATCCCATTTTTGGCTCAGCAATTATTGACGAGGTGCAAATTGCATCACACCGACTTCTCGTTCAGCAACTATCTCCCAGTTAGCAGCCATTTGCAAATACAACCGGAATAGACTCATTTCCTTTCTAGTGTCCACATTTACGAGCGCATGTTTTTTTGCATTTTGACAATGCACACTGGAGTGAGAGTAATTCTGACGTAAAGGGTGAGGGGATTTTTATCTAAATGAGACAGGAGTAACCAGGGACCTTCCCATTAAAAGAGAGAGATATAGCTGTGTTCAATGGGTCTATGGGAAACTCATCTGCAAATCTCTGAAATTTCTCTGTGGAAAGTTTGCTAGCGCCAGGTATACGCTGACAAAAAATGACATTTTCAACCTCTGCCAGTAACATGCAAACGAAAGAGAATGGCATGAATTTTCCATCCTAAACTCCCCCCCTCACATGAAGTAAAGGAGTCCAATAAGCTTAAAATCTTCCACAAAGGACACAAGTTAATGGAGCACTTGAGATTATTTCCTAAAAGTATGAGAAACTGGGGTCGGGGTGGGGTTAATACACTGGAAGCCTGGTGTTTTCTGGGGGGAGAGGGGGAAGCTGAATTTTTCAGACAGGATGCAGAAAAGAAATCTCATCAAAAGAGAATAAGACCTTCAAGTCAAAACATAAAGATTTCCAAGACCTTCAATCAGCTCCTCTCGTGATATAGCTATGCCATACAGCCAACACCCCCCACCCCAAAATCTAACCAGTTTCACCTTTTTTTGTGGCTGCTTACCTGCGAGAGCCACCTCACCTGAATACTACATCAAAGAATCGCCATTTGACACCTACCTAGTTCCACTTCCAAAGCAGCTGGTTGGAGAATCAATGAAACCCACATTCTGACCTGCTTAGACCAGGGGCGTCAAACACAGGGCCCGCGGGCTGGATCCACCCCACAATGTTGGATCCACCCCACAGGGCTGTCCTGGAAAATGTAAGGGGCTGGCCAGCGTTGCTTCGGTCCAGCCGACCCAATGCGAACAGGAAACATGCCAGCAGTTCGGGAAGTGGCGTCAAGCTGGCCACGCCCACCCACCTGGCCAGCCCCCCCCGCCCCCCCGAGATCAACCACAGCCCTGATGTGGCCTTAAATGAATTTGAGTTTGACATCCCTGGCTTAAACGACCAAGTTCAGCATTCTCTTTTAGAAGAGAATTCGTACTATTCTGGTGATGCAAGACATTCTGAGTGGCAGAAAGTTCACATTTTTTTTTCTGCGTCCCTGGCAATGAACCACCAATGCCAATTGCCACGATCGCCTGGGTTTCAAGAGCTATGTGTGTATGTGTGTGTGTTTAATTGACTGTATCCCTCGGGAGTGGGCTATGTATTTTGAAGTTGTTGATTACTGGTCTTTCTCAAAGCTCCTCTTTCAAGAAGTCAGCAAGGACAGGCAGGAATAGCCGATCACGTGCCTTGGAATCCAATTTGGAAAACACGCTGGGCTTCCCTGCCCAGCAGGTGACCTCCATGAGGTTTTCAACATCTTCCTTCAACAAGCAGTAAGAATCCATGAAGGCGACAGCATCCTGGACTCCTTCTGAGCCTTGGCTAGCCAACGGTCTCACCACGGCATCTCGCAGATAGGACAGATAGTCCAGATTTACGGCTCTTTTACTCGCATGCGTTCTGCGGGGAGAGAGAAAAGATATTTTAGCTGGAAGTTAGAATGGGCCCAGACTTTGCTGTAAGTGCCGTCCGACTCCAATAAAATAAGAAAGGAATGCAACAATTACAAAATGAGAAAGTAATGGCCAGAAAGGATGGTAGATCTGGCGAACCGTGGCCACGCACAATTTGAACCAGCTTAACACGAGGCCTGGGAGAACCACCTGGTCTTTAAGGCCTTCTGGAATGCCAGGAAGGTGGGATCTGCGGGAATCTCGGAGGATCACTGTGGAGAAGGCATGCTTCGATGTGCCCAACAGAAGAAATGGTTTTCTTCTGGGAGTGATGTGCGGACTCTGGAGCCTCCAGAGTTGGGCAGCAGAGAGGCAAAGGAACAGGAGGAGCCTGTTCCTAGTGCCCACATGTGCAGAGCTACCAGAAGGCAAGAACAGTTAAAACAAAAGGGACGACTCGGGATTAAGGCCTGGAGATGATTGGCCCCTCCCATAAGGCTTAAAAGAGGAGCAAAGGCACATGGGTCCTTTGCAGGAAAGCAACAGTGTTAATTCTGTTCCCAGTCGGCATCTCTGTTTGATTCTGGACTCCGTGTGGCTTTGCCAAGTAGGTCTTTGGCAATGTGTCAAGGGAGATAAAGGTGGGCGATTATCCCGAAGGACTTCTCCCAAATAACTTTTTGCAACTAATTGGGACTCAGCTGTGAATGAACATAATTCACAGCTGTTGCAATAAAAGAGGTTTTTGGGACTACTCCAGTGTTTTAATGACTCAGGAAGCCTAGGTCACAAAGGAAAGGTGGCACAAGGGTGTACATCAACTGTCCACTGCATTCTGGACCACTTGAGTTCCCACATGGTCTTAAGGGACAGCGCCACATCCAGGCCATTGCAAGCATAAAGCCACAAAGGGATTCGGGCATGAATGATCGGAGGGATTCTCGAGCTAGTAAAAGGGCACCACTCTGAGACTCCTGGTCTCCCAGTTCCTGCTTGAGGATCAGGTGACGGCTCTGGACAGGAACCCCTTTGCAATGGGACAAAGTTCACTTAGCAATGGAAATTTTGGGATCAATTGTAGTCGTACGTCAAGGACTGCCTGCCTGTAGTACCTGAGACTCATATGCATAGAAAGCTCCTGCAAGATGCGGTCATGCTTTCCCGTGGATGAAAATTTCCCCAACCAAATTGGAAAAGTTGGGAATTCTTGCAAATAGCCTCTCATCAGCTCTCCAGGCAGGACACTCGAATAAATTGCCTGGAAAAGGAAGGAAACGGTTTTAGCACTTTTCTCCGTTTTTGATAAAAAATACAGTTGAGGAGGCAGAGCAGAGACCAATGAAGCAAAAAGATGAAAGTTGAAATCAATAATCCCATCAGTGATTCATAATTATTCTACTTTTCTCTTCTTGCCTCTTTTTAAATTGATAAGGGACATTCTTCTAAAAGCATTATTCCGGAACCCAAACAGATCTATAAATATCGCTAGATTTCTATAGTTGTCAAATCTAGCATTTATTTCATCTGCAGCTCTGATTTATAGCATCTTATCCATAGGAATGCTCTCAAATGCTCTAGAAATAGATTTACTCTCCTCGGCCTTCTGTTATTTGAAAAGAGAACACAAAGAATACAAGCCTGCATGTCTTACAAAAAATAAACGTCGTACATAAAATAAACGTCGTACATAAAATAAACGTCGTACATAATTATTGTTCTTCTAACAAACATGACATTTTAAGAAAAAGTAAGTTCTAAATCTGAAACCAGGTAAATTGGCACTGCTTTGAAGTCCTAAAAAATGTGCTACTCAAATCAACTGCTGGTTAGTATGTAATCTAACTACAATGAGGGAACGATTAAAAAAGCCGACATTTGTTGAAATAATATTTCAAAGCTCATGCTAGATAAAATAAAATATGCTAGATAACATAATATTTCAAAGCTCATGCTAGGAAAATTCTGAATTCATTTTCTGATACTTTTTCTTTTCCAAGCCAGTTTGGTTTAGTGCAGGGGTCGGCAACCTGTGGCTCTGGAGCCGAATGTGGCTCTTCCATCCCTCTGCTGCGGCTCCCTGTTGCCAGTTGGCTCCACAATTGTTAGAGCTTTAGGCTAGGACAGGTAGAGGAAAAAGGACACCCTGCTAGGAGGAGACTCTATGGTGGTGGTGGTGAAACTGTACTTCCGGTCGGCAGAGGAAAAAAAGACGCCATGCTAGGAGGGAGAACCGGACTTCCAGTTGGCTCCAGAATTGAAAGCGGGGCTTCCAGTTAGGACCTTTGCGGCTCTTTGGGTGTTTAAGGTTGCCGACACCTGGTCTAGTGGTTAAGGAACCAGGTTAGAAACCAGGAGATCATGAGTTCTAGTCCTGCCTTCACAATGAAAATTGGCTGGGTGACTTTGAGCCAATTACATAGGGACATGAGTTCTAGTCCCGCCTCAGGAATGAAAGCCAATTGGATGACTTTGGATCAGTCAATCTCTCTCTCAGCCCAACCCACCTCACAGGGTTGTTGGGAAAACAGGAGAAAGAAGGAGCATTAGGTACATTTGCCAACTTGATTTATTTATCAAAATAATAAATGTGGGATAAAAATAAAATTGATAATGTGCCATCAAGGCACTGTCAACTCCTCCTAACCACATAGATAAATCCCTTGGGTTTTTGCAGAGAAAAATAATGAATAAATAAAAATCCGAGCTGGCTTTTAAGATGACCGCATGATTATTTTTTGCAAGAAACAATTTTTTAACTGCAATCTACATCTACACCCAGAACAAAAGAGCTGTATAACCTGAGTGGGCAGAAGGCTCCAGTTTTGTCGACTGCGAATCTGGCGGTCAACTAAATCGCCATCGCAAATACTGTCCGCGGTTTTGCTAAGTAAGATGAGTTCTTTCTTCAAGTTGTTTCTGAAAAAGACGGAAGAGAGGGCGTATGCATGCCGATGTTTATTAACGGGCTTAAATGCCGACAACTCTTGTCAAAATGACGATCAGAACTCACCCAGCTGCGGCGGGCTTGACGTGGATGTAGTTTTCTTGGACAAAGAGGGGTCCCAGAGAGTAATCGTGGAAGAACAGATCTGTCTTGTCTATAAGGGACATGTGAGAAGCTTCTTCTCCCTTGGCGAAAACCTTCCTCACCACATCAAAAGGACCCTGGAGAAAGGACAGTCATTGAGGGAAACTGCTTAAGAGGGTGGATCAAGATGCGCCTGTAGCAGGCAAACCGTCGGTCGGATCGGCTGGCACTTGTACCAAACTCCCCCTTACAACAGGGGAGTTACAACTTCATTATATCAACGGGCTGTCAAGTCCTACGTAGTTATGATTTCGATCACCCAAGATGGGAAGTAGCGGAGAAATGAAAAGTATAAAATATGCCTTATCTAGAATGTGTATTATTATTATTATTATTATTATTATTTATTATTATTATTATTATTTCATCGCAGTCAGCCAGGTGTTCAGACTGAGATTTGGCATTTTTGTCTACCTATCCAGTCCTTCCCAAGGACCTGGGATAGGCAAATCTGGATGTTTGATGGTGTTACAAATATCGCCTCAGGATGAAAGCAGTCCCAAGTAAAGCTGCCTTCTGCAATTGACTGATGACAAATCTGTCAATGCCAATGATGGTGTTCAAGTGGTGCTCCAGTTGTTTTGGGACTGCACCCAAGGCGCCTATGACTATGGGTACTATCCTTAGCTGCCTTTGCCATAGTCATTCTATTTCTATTTGAGGGTCTTTGTATTTTGTTATCTTCTTCAGTTCTTTCTCTTCTATTCTGCTGTCTCCGGGCACTGCCACATTATCATCATCATCATCATCATCATCATCATTATATTCATTTGTGGCTTTGGGGTCTGAGCAGGATCACTCCACCATCTCATAAACTTCATCAGGTCACTTTAGGAGAATCCTGAATTATATTTTTTGCTATGTGCCTACTGAAAGACATGGTTTTTTTTTATGTCCGCAAAGCACTGGTTGTTTAAGTAAACAACCTATTTCTCTTCAAATTTGCAAACCACATTGTCTGCATTATCACGGGTCGCATTCCTCCCCCCCCCTTCCCCTTTTGCTCATGTTGCAATCAGGTGCCGTTTCCAAATACGTCAGTAAGCAGGGACTTGCTTTCTTCCTTGTTAAAAGTGAGGTTCTTAAACCTTGCCAAAATCTTATATCTGTAGTTCCTTTTTTTTTTTTTAAATGTGATCTGTATCGAGGTGCCACTGGGTTTTTAGTGGCGTCATGTGAAATGTTTCACACTTAAAACCCTTAAGAATTCAACGAAGTTCCACTTTGAGATCAAATCGTTTTAATCCCGCAAAACGCTTTCTGATGGGGCTCCAATCAACTTAAAATAGAGCTTGGAACCCTTGCAGAAGTGTTTCTAGGAAGGTTTATACAAGTCATTTCAAACCTGAAGCTAAATGCCTGCAGTCCCCTTCCTGAAGTTCGTTGCACAGACATGGGCCTTCAATCCAACTTACCACCTTAATATCCTTTTTGGCTTTGCTGGCGTCTTCTTTGACACCGTCGTAAGTCAAGGTTTTGTCTCTGGCACACCACACGCTGAGGTTATGCAACACCTTTCGACAAAAAAGAAAGCACAAAGGTTCAGGCTTTGCTCATAAGGCCTGTTGAGTAAGGAAAAATCTACATTACCATTTTTTAATAAACAAATTCTACAGAATCAATATTACCCACTGGTCATCTCGTTTTATAAAATAATTCCTTTCTTTCAACAAACCCCCCCCCCCCCTTTTCCGTATCAATGGTCCCTGCTTCCAGCTGCATCAAATCAAATGCGTCTGGAACTAAGAACAGAATCCTGTATCAGGTATCAGTCTTGATAGGTGACTCACCTGTCTGGTATCTTTTTACACAAACATACATACAATGTATTTTTTCTGAACAGACTATTGGCCGGTTCACAAATTTAAACAATTTTTAGTCATTTCAACTATATTTATAATTTCTATACTTTTTTTTTGCCATAATATTTATTCTATTTTTTTAAAAAACCAATATTACCCTTCATCCTAACCTCTTAACCAAATTTCAATTTTTCCTTTCCATTCTATGTTGTACCCCTCAAATTTAAGCTCTAACCTAATATGATTCCTAGTATTTCCTTATATTCCTTTATTATAATTACCTGTCTGATATCCTGATTAGCCGCCAAAATGAGTTCATTCATTGCCGGCGGTGGAACCTTTAATCCTTCTTTGAAAGCAATGGACATCATAGCGCCCTGCAAAAGCCATTCGTTTTGTATGAGCAAATAAGAGAACAATTGTGGGTCATTAAAGGACTTAAAAGTAGCACCGTTCATTTACAGAATTGGAAACGGGCAATGTTAGCTCAATATCAACAAATGTTCTTCTTTTTACATTAAACGTACTAAGCGTTCCTGTAGAAATATGAACGTACAGAAATCTTGTCTAAATCTCCTTCTGTCTAAAGGGGGTACAGAGAGTTCAAGGAAAAGTTGCAAAAAAATAAATAAATTGCAGGTTCCGGTTCCTGCCCTAGCAACTAACTCTCTAGGTAAATGTTGCTATTAAGAGCAAAGAGAAGATTTTTTTTAACACAGCTGAGGATGACTTCAGCCTGTTTTGTCTGGCTGGGGGAGTTCTGGAGTTGAGGTCCACAGGTCTTAAAGTTGTCATGGCTGGACACCTCTGATCTAAAGATTGAACTGTGGCTTTTTTAAAAATAAATCACCTCCTCTTATATACCGTACAGAAATACAGGTAGTCCTCGACTTACAACCGTTCATTGAGAGACCGTTCAAAGTTACAACGGCACTGAAAAAAGTGACTGATGATCGTTTTTCACAGTTACCACCTTTGAAGCATCCCCATGATCACCTGATCAAAATTCAGAACACTTGGCAACTGGTTCATATTTATGACGGGTGCAGTGTCCCGGGTCACGTGATCCCCTTTGTGACCTCCTGATAAGCAAAGTCAGTGGGGAAATCAGATTCACTTAATAACCGTGTGGCTAAGTTAACAACGGCAGCGATTCAGTTAACAACTCGGGCAAGAAAGGGTGTAAAATGGGGGCAAAATTCACTTCACAACTCTCTCGCTTAGCCGCAGAAATTTTGGGCTCAACTGTGGTCGTAAGTCGAGGACTACCTGTATTCTTATTTCTTCTTCTTGATTGGACAACTTCAAAATGCAGTTAAGAATGTCACTTCAGATTGTGCCTATAGAAAAATAGCAGATCGGCGAACTAATCCAAAAGGCTCCAACTTCGTTTAGCACAAGCCACAATTTCTACCAGCTTTATTAAAGGCGTTATAAACCACCTTTTATGTTCATTTTCAAAGACAGCACATATATTCAGCACGCTAACATGTGCCCCCCCCCTTTAAAGCAAACCCTGCAAATGAATCAATGAACATAGTTGGAAATAAAAATATATTTTTAAGGATGACAGACCACCCAACGTTCCAAGCAGATCGTTCTACAATGTACAGTAGTGGCCAAAATTGTGGAAACCTTTTGGGAAAAGTGTATTTTGGAGGTTTGATGGCTAATAACACCACTTTTCGGTTTGGAGTTTCAAGATAATTTTATTCCACTGCTGGAATGGCCTGGGAATAGCCCAGACCTTAACTCAATGGAAAATCTATGGAGCCGACTAAAGAAACTTGTCAGTCAGAAGCGACCCAGCAATAAAAACCCAGTTAATAGAAGCCATCATTTAATCTTGGTTTCACATTATAACAGCTGCAGAACTAAAAGACTCAGTTCACTCCATGGGAAGACAATGTAAGGCCGTCATTCATGCTAAAGGTTACCCAATTTAGGATTAACTGACATGGTGATCATTTTTGTAGATCTCGTTTTTTCTAGGGTGATCATTTTTGTATATCGTATTTTCTACGTGTTTCACTTTTCTTCTTTATACGGTAACTGCTATTCTAATAGCAAATCCTTCATAAAAGTTATTGCATTACCTTCTTGATTAAATTATCTTTCCGTTGATATATACTTTTATGGTACAACTCCCCCAAAAAAGTAGTGGCATTATTAGCTAGTTTTAGAAAATACACTTTTCCCAAAAGGTTTCCACAATTTTGGCCACTACTGTAGGCCCCCACCAACAAACTTAAGAGGTGAAAGTAGCCAAAATCACGGATGAGTTTTCTTCCACTGCTCAATGAATCCACCTGAGCTTTCCAAAAGTAATCTCCAAGAAAACAGGGCCCCCAAGTACGAGAAGAGACCAAAAATGAGCCTCTGGGAAGGATTCCTTACCTTGATCTGTTCCACCCTCGGCTTCGGAAAACGAAGGTCAAAACAATAGTGGACCAGAGAACGGATCTTGGGATGGTTCCGATCGTTACACATGCAAATTATTGGAATTTTGGTGTGCTTAATCAGGTCAATTAGCTCCTGCAAAAAAAGGCGGGATATGATGAAGTTCAGAACCGCTGTAGTAACTACTCAACAGACTGGTCCGCATTGAGCAGGATCTAGCAGATCAAAACGCTGTCACGAAATTAAGATTCCCAGACATTGTAAACAGATAAATTGAAGCAAGTTTGACTTTTTTGTTAAGTTCCTCTAAGAGCATCTTAAAACTGCTGGCCAAATGGGAGGAATATGCAGGGAAAACAGGGATCTGTCTTTACTATAAGAGGTCTACGACCAGCACTTCTACTAGTTGCAAGAACTGCTATTATAGAACAGGGACTATTGTAACATTTTTCAAGAGCTCTTGAAATTCATCTTTTCATAAGGGTTTTTCTGGAATGAAAGTCTCCCCACCCATCTTCTTGATGACAAAGCCTTACTGAACATTCCTTATGCTGTCAAAAATCATTACTTTATTTCTGTTTTGGGACACGCTGCCTCAGCACAGGAAGCAATGTAGAAGTACATTTTAATAAGAACATGAAGTTCTACTGATTCCCAGTAGGATCTAATCTTGAAGGCATCTGGATGTCGGTCCAAAACCAGATTAGTACCAGCCAGCCAGAGGAAAAAAAAAAAGAAATTTTTATGCTAGTCTGACCCATCCATCTCACGACTCATCTGTTGTCTGAATTGAGTGTATCTATCAGCTCAGAAGCCACCTTTATACGTTCAGATCAATTCCATGACTGGTAATATTTCATATCATCATATTCCTCTAACCCAGGAGTGTCCAACTTTGGGCTGAGGAAATTCTGGGAGTTGAAGTCCACGGGTCTTAAAAGTTGCCAAGGTTGGACAACCCTGCTCTAACCGGAGCCTGACTTTGAATGATGCCTTTTCTTACCTGCTAGATTTATTTGGGTTTTTTAAAAAAGGTTTTTCAGTTCTCAATGGTTTTTAAGCTCAAATAAAGATCTGGCCCAAGGGTCATTCAAAATTCCTTTTATTTCCCTCTACACACACCAGGTTCAAGAGTTCCTTACCTGTATGCCACCTCTGTCTTCATTGCCAGCCATCCCATCCACCTCGTCCATTAGGAGGACGTGTTTTGCACTGACGGAACGTGACGCCCCTAAGAATAAGAAACGGAAAGAAATGGCGCAGAAATCGGATTACCGACTGAGGACGCAGCTGTAGAACTGCCCGTGCTCTTTAAACGCGGAATTTCAATGCGCGGGGTTGAAGCAGCAGTTCCGTCAACGAGGAACTGTTCATGGTCTTACGCGCTTTGGCCTGCCATTTAATCCTGAACAGGGATCCCCGCCTCCATTTAGATTTTTCCAACTTTTAACGAAAAGCGAAAACCCGCCGCGAGGAAGATACCTGAGCAGAATCCTTTGATGCTGGTGTTGTTCAGAGATTCGGCCACCACCTCTTTCAGGCTGTTCTTGCTGCGTGTGTCGCTCGCGTTCAACTCCACGTAACTCAAACCGAGTTCCTGATTTCGGTAAACAATGAGGACAACAACATCGGGAGAGAACACGAATCACGTCTCTGCCCACAGGCTAATTTTTACCAGCAGACAAGAGTCCGATCCAGCCCTTTGGCACATCGCTTGTTTCAGATTAGCAATGGAAAACTATTTATTTAACAGTAACAGAGTTGGAAGAGGTCATCTAGTCCAACCCCCTGCTCACACAGGAGTCCTATACTTGGGATCTGAACCGCCGAACTGTCGACCTTTCTGATCGACAAGCTCAGCATCTTAGCCGCTGAGCCACCGAGCCAGGGTAACTAGATTTAATTAGATTCAAGCCATTTGGATTACTGAAAACGATTTCAAATTAAGCCACGGGTATTAATTGTGTCAGCGGAGAGACACAAAGGCAATCTGGAACAACACTTGAAGCCTTCACCGTGGTTTCGTGATCGCAACAAATAAACACACTTAATCTGACGTCCAGGCCCAGATGCTAATTTCTAAAATAATCTCCTTAATCTCAGTTAAGATTTGTAAGCCAATTTGGAACCATACAGGAGAGGGAAACCAAGAAATCAGGTAGACCACCTTTTAACGGTTGAAAAGCAGTGGTGCAAATACTGGCAGAGACATTATACAGGTATAGTCCCTGACTTACAATAGTTCATTAAGTGACCGTTCAAAGTTACAATGGCACTTGATTTATGACCATTTTTCACACTTACGACCGTTGCAACTGGTTTGTATTATGACGGTTGCAGCGTCCGAAGGTCACATGATCCCCTTCCGCCACCTTCCGACCAGCAAAGTCAAAAGTCAAATCAGCAGATTCACTTAACAACCATGTTGCTACCTTAACAAATGCAAGGATTCACTTAACAACGGTGGCAAGGAAGGTCGTAAAATGGGGCAAAACATTTCTTAACAAATGTTTGTTAACTGTTCAGTCTCGAAAGAAAGAAAGAAAGAAAAAGAAAGAAAGAGAGAGAGAGAGAGAGAAAGAGATGGAGAAAGGAAGGAAGGAAGGAAGAAAAAGAAAAAGAAAGAGGAAGGAAGGAAGAAACAAAAAGAGGAAGGAAGAAAAAGAAAGAGAGGGAGGGAGGGAGGGAGGAAGGAAGGAAAAAGAAAGAAAGAAAGAAAGAAAGAAAGAAAGAAAGAAAGAAAGAAAGAAAGAAAGCCCACTTCACGCAGATCAGATCTGCTACCTCTTCCCCTTGCAAACCCACCTGGGTGAAAACCCAACTCACCTGACAAACTAATGATGCCGTTGTGGTTTTGCCTACACCTGGGGGTCCGGAAAGCAAAGCTGCTTTGGAATTAGCGCCATCATCTTTGCTTCCAAACTTACTGGATTTGACTGCGGAGAAAATGGACGGAACGTTTTAGCCGGTTATGGGACACAGCGAGAACAAACAGGCGAAACCTAGTGTCGCTCATTCAATAAAATAACTCCGATTACATAGCCACAAGAACAATTTCCATAGCCTCGGGAACATGCCATTCAATGCTCCCTTAAGATGCATCTGCTTGATAAATGCAGCAAGGCAGGCAGATGTGGCCAGATACCCAGTTGAGAAAATGCTGCAGCTGCGAAGATTTTGTACAATCCTGTTACAAGTTGTCACCGAGCCAAAAACAAAGATTAACAGGATGTGCATAAATATCTGGGCTTGGCATTTTTAAGGACTTTTAGGCAAACCTGGAAACAGTGATTCAAACTGTTTCTTCCACTGGTGCTGTTTTAACCATGGAATTAAATATGACTGTCTTAGAATTTATCTATTCTTTCGTAGCACTAATCTAGTCTATATGTTGATATCATTTTAGGTTTCCGGAAGAGTCTTGTCTCCCTAAAAGGTCTGTATAAACAGAACCAGCATCTTAAAAAATAAAAACGATCCATGCCAGTTTCAAGGATATTTTATTTTGATCAAGGGAAGCATCCAATCTTACTTTCCCGAAGCCTAGTTCATTTTCCTTTAATTTAGTGCTTGAGGAAAAAAAAAAGATTTACCGTATTGTTCGGAGTATAAGACGCACCTTAGTTTTTGGGGAGGAAAATAAGAAAAAAGCTGATTGGCGGGTGGATCAGCCTCCCAGATTATCCCCAATCAGCTGTTCCCAGAGGTGAATTTTAGCAACAGGTTCCTTGGTTGTGAGCTCTGTGCCTTGCTTTTTTTTTTTTTTGCTTTTTTTTCCCTGCCTCTGAAACTTCTGAAACTCCACTTCAGAAAAAAACAGTTTTTCCTGCCTCTGAAAGCCTCCGAAACAGAGCTTCAGAAAAAAAATATAAATTATATTTATAAATTTAATTCATATAAATTAAAAAAGCAAAGCAAAAAAGCCTCTGAAGCTGTTTGGGGGGTTATTTTCTGATGCTTTTTTCAGCCTCTGAAACCTCCGTTTGAGAAGCTGGGCGGGGCTACATTCGGAGTATAAGACGCACCCAGATTTTCACCCTCTTTTTTTGGGGGAAAAGGTGCGTCTTATACTCCGAAAAATACGGTAAATAAATTTACAGCTGAAAGTTGATTGGTAATCCTACTTTATAAGTTGCTTCCCCCATCTGATGATTCACACCAGTCTTGGGAATGATGGTCCAGGCAGTCCAACCTGGCCTACCAGTTAAAGCGAATCAAGATAATGGTAGTCCTTGACTTACAACAACAACTGAAACCCAAAATTTCCATTGCTAAGTGAGTTTTGTCTCATTTTACGACCTTTCTCGCCACAGCGGTTAAACGAATCCCTGCAGTTGTTACATAGATTGTTAAGGGAATCTGGATTCGCCGTGGACTTTGCTGATCGGAAGGTCGCAAAAGAGGATATCGCGTTGACCCCGGGACAGTGCAACCGTCGTAAACGTGAACCAGTTGCCAAACGTCTGAATTTGGATCACATGACCGTGGGATCGTAAGGGGGAAGAACGATCTGACGTCCTTTTTCTGCGCTGTTGTAACTTTGAACGGTCGGTAGCCAAACGGTTGTAAGTCGAGGACTACTCAAAAAAGAGATTGTGCGCCAGAAAAAATGCAATTACCCTGTTTGCCTTCCAAAGAATTCTTCTGCCAGTTTTTAAGCCAACGCAAGAGTTTATTAGCGCAGCTCTGCTCGCCTTGTTGCCCGATGATGGTTTTGAGAGACGTGGGCTTGTATTTGTCCACCCACAATAACACTTCCCCTCCTTTTTGATTAGTTTCATGAACGGAGCTCTTTTTCTCCTTGGGGACTGGCTTCTTCCCCTCCTCCTCCTCCTCGTCCAGGAAGTCCAGCCCTCTCCTTACTGCCCCGGCTTCCTGTTTGACGGATTTAAAAGGCTCCGTGTTTTCCGCAAGGAAGGTTTTCTTTCGGGAGTCGGAATCCGGCTTTGCAGGGCTCGGTTTCCTTTTGTGGGCTTTCGTTTCCGGGGACGTTTTTTCGACCTTGGGCTTTGTTCTCTTGGCCTTCAAAAAAGAAATACTCGTTTAGGTTACTTGTTTGGCCCAGACCTTCTTTGCTTCCAAAGTTCTCAGATTTTATCCAGCCCGAATTCTTTTCTAAATTGGCACGTTCTTTCTTTTGTTTCCCCTCCCGTATCTGAAACATCTTACCGAGATTTAGGAAGAAAGGAACAAGTCTAAGCCTATGCCCCATCTCCCCCTTCTTTTATTTGATGTATACCTTGCTCTTCTGCCCTGACAAGCACATCAAAATGAGCTTCAGTACCTCCATCCATGTCTGGGTTGCATTTCGCCAGGTGATCTTTCATTCAACCCATGAACAAACTTGGGTACCCTTCAAGAAACCAACTACATGAAATTAGACGGTAATGAGCCATACAGTCGAGTTTCACAGCCTCAACCCCCTGCTTGCTCATTACCATCTAATTTCATGTACCATATTTTTCGGAGTATAAGACACACCTTTTTCTCTCCTAAAAGGGGGTGAAAATTTAGGTGCGTCTTATACGCGCAAGGTGTTGGTTATCGCCTTTAAAGCGCTCATAGGGCCTAGCTATCTGCGAGACCGCCTGCTGCTACCGACGACCTCCCATCGACCCGTGCGCTCCCACAGAGTAGTCACAGTGCGCTCCCATACAACACCTCTCCTGCGTGAGCTGCACTGGCTCCCAGTGGTCTTCCGGGTACGCTTCAAGGTGTTGGTTATCACCTTTAAAGCGCTCCATGGCATAGGACCTAGATATCTTTGAGACCGCCTGCTGCTACCGACGACCTCCCATCGACCCGTGCGCTCCCACAGAGGGGGCCTCCTCAGGGTGCCATCAGCCAAACAATGTAGGCTGGTGGCCCCCAGGGGGAGAGCCTTCTCTGTGGGGGCTCCTACCTTCTGGAATCAGTTGCCCCCTGAGATAAGGAGAATCCATGACCTCAATGCCTTCCGTCGTTCCCTGAAAACCCATCTTTTCCAGCAAGCCGGGTTGGCTTAAGAAGAAATTTTTAAATTCTTTTAATCAGTCTGTGATTTCTTAACTTTCGGGCCAAAATTTATATATATATTTTTAAATGTTTTTTAATATTTGTATTCTATGTTTTTATCTTGGCTGTACACCGCCCTGAGTCCTCAGGGAGAAGGGCGGTATATAAATTGGAAATTAAATTAAATTAAATACACCGAATGTAGCCCCACCCACCCACTGGCCCCCATCCTTTGGCCTCTGCTTTCCAGCAGTTTACCTCCTTGCAGCAAGCAGCAAGAAGAAACAGCTCCTTTCAGCTTCAGCACAGCCTAATTAGCACAAGTTGGTTGGATCGGCCTCCCGACTCTCAGCTGTTTTGCTCTCAGCTGTTTTGCGGGGGCCTCTGCTGCTTGCTGCAAGGAGGTAAATTGCTGTGAGCAGATTTTTTTTTTCTTGTGTTAATCAAGCTATGCTGAAAACGAAAATGAAAGTAAAGCAGGCTATTTGCTGCAACGAGGCAAAATTGCTGGGAGGCAGAGGCAGATTTCTTTTTCTTGTTTTCCTCCCCAAAAAAGGTAGGTGCGTCTTATAGTCCGAAAAATACGGTGGTTTGGTTTCCTGGTTTAATTACAAACTTTGAAGGACAACGGGATACGTAGGATGGAACCTCTGGGATGCTACAAGCCTGGGTGTCCAATAATCCCGGAGCACCACAAATAGGTACAGCGTGGTGGGCCCACACCACGTTCAAAGCGCCTTCCCTGCTCCCAGTCCAAATATCTTCGTATCCCTTCTTTCCACAGTTGCATTTAAGCAAATTCACATGGAAAGAGGGAAGTTTACTCTTCCCATTTCTTCCCGATGTAGTAGATTCCCCTCACCTCCTCCAGCAAATAGGGAAGCCCGACCATCTTCACATAACCTGTCAGTCAATGGCCGCCATCCTTCCCCACCTCCCTACAGTACAGGTTCCTGGCTGTCAATCTTCCTCCCCTGGCATAATTGTGGGGATGGCAGGAAATGGGAATGTTGAGCTGGGAATCACTCCAAGGGGTACCAACCTCTGTTTCAGCTGCTATTTCATACTTGGACCTCCTGCCTGGAGTATTTCGTATCAGGTCAAACAAGCCATCTTCATCGATAATTTTCGTCCCTAAAGCCGATGCCTGTCAGCAAAATTCAGATCGAGGCGAAGTCATATTTCTACAGTGGCTTATGTGTCAAAACATTTGGAATAACAAGAAATAGGTTGAACTATTCTCCAAAGCACCAGAATGCAGTTCCAAAAGGTGCTTTTTCAAGAGGCAACTGGACTTTCTGGTTTTTCTTTGAAGACGTTTCGCTTCTCATCCGAGAAGCTTCATCCGTTCTAAAAGAAGGGAAGTTCTTCATTCAGAGCTGAAGAAGCTTCTTGGATGAGAAGCGAAACGTCTTCAAAGAAAAAGTTGCCTCTTGAAAAAGCACCTTTGGGACAGCCGTGACCTGGATGACGGAGAATCTCCATAGACACCAGAAGGCAGGACAAGAAAAGATGGATGGAAATTAATCAAGGAGAGAAGCAACCTGGAACTAAGAAGAAATTTCCCGACAGTGAGAACCATTAACCAGTGGAACGGTTTGCCTCCAGAATTGTGGGTGCTTCATCACTGGAGGTTTTTAAGAGGAGATCGGAGAGTTATTTGTCTTAAATTATGTACAGTCTCCTGCCTGAGCAGGAGGTTGGGATTACAAGATCTCCAAGGTCCCTTCCAACTGTTCCAGAAAGGAGGGAGATCTCCTAGTTCAGGGGTCAGCAACCTGCGGCTCTGGAGCCGCATGCGGCTCTTTCACTCCTCTGTTGCGGCTCCGTCACTCAAAATGTGCATCACAACCGCCAATGTGTGACACCCGCCAGCACACGATTTATTGAGCTTTTCAACCCCCGGTAGGCCAACCATGGATAAATGCAAGAAAAGAAAAGTTTCAGAAGAAAACAGAACATTTAATTCAACTACGTAGGCTAGTTTTGTGGCCGCTCAAGAAATAGTCAGGCACGGGAAGGGTTTTGTGGCTCCCGGTGTTTTCTTTTCTGTGGGAAACGGGTCCAAATGGCTCTTTGAGTGTTTAAGGTTGCAGGCCCCTGTCCTAGTTATACAAGCAAAACGTCTCTGCAACCAAACAGGTTCTACTGAATTGTCCCAGCAGGTGGAGATATGGGTCAGAGGGCACTAACTAGGCTCAAGGAAGGACCCAAACCCGCAGGGATCCTGTTGTCTGCGTGTCACAATTACTTACCTTTTCACACTTGGACATGCCGCAGTCACGCCCTTTAACAAGGTAACTGGTCTTCTTGCTGATGTTTCCGGTGACTTTCCCCCCGTAGCGCTCAATCAGCGACTTGGCCTCATCCCGTTCAATCGATTCCAAGATTCCGGTAATCACAAACGTCATGCCTTCCAAGCAATTGTCACCACCCTAAAATAAATAAATAAATACTAGAGGCAAAAAAAACCAACAACAGGGATGACCAGAAGGGTTAAATTTATGGTGTTAAGTTGCAAAGCCTAGAGAGGCGCATCTGAGAAGATTAATCAGAACTGCCTTCTTGACTCGATTTTTTTATTTAAAGACTCACTTGAGGTATTTCTTTCGAGCCGAGGGCCTTTGGACCTTCTCGATTGAGGAAGCTTCTGTAGGCCGTGTAATTTGTCCGCTTCTTTTCAGCAGAGTCCTCGGGACTGATGGACTTCAAAAGAAAAGAAAAAGAAATCCAGTGCATAGAAGATATTTTTTCAAATTCTGCTTGGGTCAATCTTGGCAAAGGAGGTTGCATTCATCAAGAATCAAACATGGTTCACTTCAGTGGCGGGATTCAAGTAATTTAACAACCGGTTTTCTGCCCTAATGATTTCTTCCAACAATCAGTTTGCCAAACTGCTCAGAAAGTTAACAACCGGTTCTCCTGAAGTGATGCAAACTGGCTGAATCCCACCACTGGTTCACTTCCCCCTGAAGTGTTTTGTCAAGAGTTTGTTGCAAAATCAAATCCAGAAAGCACACACAGGCACACTGATGCTGCAGGATTCATTAACTTCTTTATATACATAATAAAACATGAAGATAGATGTACAATACCAATAGAGATTCTTCTTCAACGTAGTAGCAGTTATAAGCAAAACACAAGGCAGGAGAAAAGAGTTTCATTTCAGCAGAGCAGACTACTTTCAGTTTCTCTGCACAGACTCAGAAGCTGCAGACTAAGACACGCCCTGGCACGTCTGTCTCAGCTCCCAAATAGCCCTCATTGGCTGACTTAGTTGCAACGCCTACACATTGGCCGACCTTGTACCATGTCCTATTCCAGTTGATGAATATACTCTGACATGTTTACACCAGGGATGTCCAACTTTGGCAATGTTAAGACTTGTGGATATCAACTTCCAGAATTCTGGGAGTTGAAGTCCACCGGTCTTAAAAGTTGCGAAGGTTGGACACCCCTGGGTTACACAAGAGACTTAATGAATGTGCTTTTTTCACCTGCAGCAGAGTTACTGAATCACATTTGAGCGTTTACTGTTCTTATAGGGACTCCTCTCTCAGCAATTATGCATTTATCCACATGGATCTAATATGCCGACATTCACTGCACCATGAAAAACAGGTGCTTTTACCAGTGAAATATAGACCTTTCAGAGCCCAAAAAACAAAGCTAATATCCCAACTCCTGTGTAATATAGTATATAACCTAGGACAGTGATGGCTAACCTTTTTGCCATCACGTGCCAGGAGAGGGGGAGCGGGGGTGAGGGTCGCACATGCACGTGCCCACGCGCATGCAACCCCACCCACCCCCGCTCCTGGCACATGATGGCCTGGTAGGCCCATTTTTCTTTCTTACCTGATTCTGGGAAGATCAAAAACATCCGGGAAGATCGAAAACAGCTTTTCACAGAGGCTGAAAGGGCCCATTTCCCAACTCCCGGTGGGACAGGAAGTGATGTTTTTTGCTGTCCCCATCCTCCAGAACCTCTCTAGGAGTCTGTAGGAGCCTCTCTAGGAGTCTGTAGGAGCCTCTCTAGGAGTCTCTGGAGGCTGGGGATAGGAAAAAACGTCACTTCCTGTCCCACCGGGAGTCGGAAAATGGGCCTTTTCAGCCTCTGTGGGAGTGGGAAAGGCTGTTTTCGCCCTTCCCAGATCCATAGAAAGGATCTTGGATCAGGTAAGAAAGAAAAACGGGCCTTCCCCACCCCCCACCAGAGGCAGGAAACAGCCTGTTTCCCTACTTCTGGTGGGCCCAGAAGGCCCGAAAATCAGCTGTCCGGTGCACGCATGCACCCCAGAGCTGAGCTGACGTGCCCACTAATATGGCTCCGCATGCCACCTGTGGCACGCGTGCCATAGGTTCGCCATCACGGACCTAGGACATGAATACAAGCGAAGTGCAGTGGTTGTACTTCAGTGCTGTCTTTCTCTGCCGGTAAAGCAGAACTTAAACCTGTTGCTCAATTTCTTTCAGATCCACAGACATACATATCGATAGAAGAGAATATTTGTATCTCAGGGTTGAACTGTGGGGTCCTTGGTGCTCTCCGAGCTTGGTGGTTTTCTTGCAAACATTTCATTACCGAACTAGGTAGCATCATGAGTGCTAGGAGCGAGTGTATATAATTTAAAAACAAAACAAAACACCAAATCCCTCCTTTCTCACACTGATGAGGTTCCCTAGTTGGGTCATAAAACGTCTGCAAAAAAACCACATCAGGCTCAGAGAGCACCAAAGACCCACAAACATTCACGATCGATGATCAGACCGAGCAAAATCTTTCCTCGGGATGCTTCTCAGACCTACCTTGGGTTGTTCGGGAGAAACCTTCGCCTTTGTGGGCGTCTTGGTTTTGGGTGAAATGGTTTTTCCGGCTGGAGTTGTAGTTCCTTTCCTGAGGTTCTCTCCTTTTGAGGTCCCGTTTTCGGTTTTGATAGCCTCTGCTTGTTGCTTGAGTGGAGTTAACCTGGGGGACGCCTTGGATGAACCTCTTTTATTCCCCCAATCTACCTCCTCCTTCGTAGCAGAAGATTCTGGGTGAGGATTTGACATCCTGACGCTCTCAGAGTGAAGCTGATCCTTTGCGGAATAAGAGTGAGAATCGAAGGCGGAAGCGGGAGGTTTACCTACAGAGAGAAAGACGGTTTTTAGCAGGGGTCCCCAAACTTGGCAACTTTAAGACTTGTGGACTTCAACTCCCAGAATTCCCCAGCCAGCCAGTATGGCTGGCTGGGGAATTCTTGGAGTTGAAGTCCACAAGTCTTAAAAGTCGCCAAGTTTGGAGATCCCTGGTTTTAAGGGTAAGCGAAGGTGACACAGTGTCAGCACTTCAACCTGCATTTACTCTAGTGCTGACATAAGGAGAAGCGAAGGCGTCTGGAAAGGGACGTTTGACTTTTCACCTACTTATTTTCCCTGGAGATAATATCCCCTAGGAGATGGGTTGGGAGGGGGGAAATTCCTTTGAGCTGGAGTAGATTAGGGGTAGAATGACTTGGAAAATGGCCAATGAGTGCAGGGGAGTGGGGAACGGGAAGGGAAGGAAGATTAGGGCTGGAAGTCAGTGTTGGCTTCGATTGTAGTCGGGTTCAGAATGCCGTGCTTAATAAATAGGAGTTTTTTCTTCAAAGACTTTGTTTGAAATGCAATTTATTTGAGACGACCTCGAAACTTGACACACAGAACCTAACGAAACCTTTAAAAAAAGCAAAAAAGCCATTACCTTTGTGAGCCTGTTTAATTTTTTCTGCTTCACCCAATTTTGACTGCTGACATTCATCTTTTCGAGGCTGCAAGAATAAACAGACCTTGTGTCTTGGTTTTGTTTTAGTATATCATTGGGATGAACGGCAACGATTTCAGAACATTTCTACAAGGAGGGCAGCCAATGGATATTTGTTTCCCCCCCTCCCCACAAACCATCCAAGCCAAACATTCAATGTTTGATTTGTCACACTGGTTTCCCTCGTATTAAGCTGATCCAGAGCAAGTAACAGGATTTAATCCAGAGCCTGGGGACCAGCCTCTTTCGTTCATCAGACCTGGTGGGATGAAGCTATTCAGGGGAAGCAGTGGTCGTATTCTGCCGGTTTGGGTAAACCGGTAATGCCAGTGGTGGGAGGCTCCGCCCACCTGCCCTGATCTCATTACATCGTGTTTTTGACGCTCTGCGGCGCGCTCTCATTTGCGAACTGGTAGCGAAGGTAAATGAATACCACCACTGAAGGGAAGAGGAAAATAGCCTGAAGTTTCAACTTCACGCATCGCATGTCACACACCAGTTAGAGCAGGGATCTCCAACCTTGGCAATTTTAAGCCTGGCGGACTTCAACTCCCAGAATTCCCCAGCCAGCAAACCTGGCTTAAAGTTGCCAAGGTTGGAGAGACTTGAGTTAAGAGTATACAGCAATCAAGATTAGAAAATGATTTACTTTATAAATGTTGTGGTCCGCCAGCAGCCTGCGGAGCTGGCAGCCGAGTCCGACAGTGAGGAGGCTGGGGAGGACCATGGGCCTGGAGTCAGGGGAAGGGCCAGACAAGGGCTCTGTGTTGGGAGGCAGAGATGGGCCCAGGGCATCTGGGAACGATGCACGGACTCCGGAGCCTCCAGAGGCAGATAGCAGAGAGGCAGAGGAACAGGAAGAGCCTGTTCCTAGTGCACGCATGCGAAGAGCAGCCAGAAGGCAAGAGCAGCTAAAGCAAAAAGGACGACTCAGGAGTAAGGCCAGGAGATGATTGGCCCCTCCCAGAAGGCTTAAAAGAGCAGCAAAGGCTCTTGGGATCTTTGTAGGAAAACAACGTTGCTACATTTGTTTCTTGTCGGCATCTCTTGCTTCTGAACATTCTTGGGGCTTTGCCAAGAAAAGCCTTTGGCAGGGTGCCAAAGAAGACAAAGGTTGGAGATAAGGCCGAAGGACTGTTGATGAAGAATTTGTTTTGGAATTAATTAATTTATTTATTCTAATAAAATATGTTTGTTTAGGACTGATTGTGTCTGGTAATAACTACTTGGACCTAGGTCACAACAATAAAACCATTATTTCCCACTTACCTTTTTCTTTCTGGGTGTTTCATCCAACATAGCCAACGTTTGTGCAAATTCTTCGTCTTCGTGCAATTGTCTTTCCCGCTGCAAAGAGTGCAAAACATATTGTGAAATTGCCCGTTTCCACCCCCTGCTGGAGAGAAAAAGGAGGCCGTCTCTGTCTACCCAGCTTCTTACTCTGGAATACGTGGGGGTGGGGGTGTCTCAGCACGCCCCAAAGAATTCTGGGAAACATGACCCTTTTGGTCTCTCGCGTAGGGAGGGCTTGTGAGTGGGGAGGCTCATTGGGAAGGTGTTGGGAAAAGAATTGGGGCCCCATTTTTTCCTCCCTGCATCTCATTTAATACAATGGGCTAGAGCAGGACTCTCCAGATTTGGCACTGTTAATACCTGTGGACTTCAACTCCCAGAATTCCTCATTCAGCCAAGCTGGGCTGGGGAATTCTGGGAGTTGAAGTCCACAAGTCTTAAAGTTGCCGGGTTTGGAGACTCCTGGGCTAGAATAGGAGTGGGTGATAAATGGCCTTTTTTACGACCTGTAGTCTTCGGCTCCCAGCCAGCCAGGACCTTCAACAATGTTCAACCAGTTTCTGCCTGGCTCAGGAATTCTGGGAATTGAAGTCCAGAGCTATTTTCTATAGACACTATAGACCTGTGATGGCAAAACTTTTTGCTGCCCTGTGCCAAGAGCAGGGGGAGCATGGAGGGTCACGTGCTCAGGTACCCACACCCATAATGCAATGCCCTCCGCCTCCCACGCATGTGACCTCCCCTGCGCAGCCCTGCCCCCCCCCCGGTGCATGCGCACACAACTCCCCCACGCCCCGTTTTGGGCCTAGCAGGTCTCCCTGAAGCCTGTGGAGGCTGGAAATGGCCCATTTCCGGACTTCCGGTAGGCCTGTTTTTTTGCCCTCCCCAGGCTCCAGAGGCTTTCCTGGAGCCTGGGGCCTCCGGAGACCGGAAATGGCCCATTTCCAAACTTCCAAAAGGCCCATTTTCTGCCCTCCCAGAGCCTCCACGCGAGTCCTATACTTACCTGGCATCCAAAACGGGCCGTGCGGAGACTCCTGGGAGGGGAGGGGCAGTGTGGGCAGGGCCAGTCGAAAATCAGCTGGCTGGTGGGGGCGCGCATGCACGGTGCTGATCTAGGGCAACGGCTCGCGTGCCCACAGAGATGGCTCGGTGTGCCACCTGTGGCACGCGTGCCATAGATTCGCCATCACGGCTATAGATACTGGGTGAAGAAGATGCCCCATCTTATTTGGAATCAATCATGAGAGATTTAAGTTTAGTGGCATTGGAAGAGATTGGGGTATGGAATGAAGGCCACACCCCCTTCACAGACATGAAGAAACTAACACAGTTCTGAAATTCAATTATTTCCTGGTACAAAGACAAAACCAGATCCGATTTTCAATGATTCAGTTGAACAGAGTGAGAAAAAATGAGTCAATTTTTTCTTCATTTTGCCTCGACACAATACAACATCCTGTTATTATCTCTTTTTTTTGGAGGAAAACTAACCTGTTTTCCCCAAGTGACGCTGGGAGCATTACCCAAATCTAATCTTCAGCCAAGAATAACATCAAAACTTGCCTCCCCACACAATTCTGATATATAACATTATTAGCAAAAATCCCACAGGCTCTATTTTTATATCATAAGCAGGAGGTTATTCAGCTAAACAGATAGTGTTCATATTTCTTATTTTAGTATTAAATTGAAGCTAGGCTAACAGTAATTGTAGAAAACAGACAAAAAAAAATGTACACACACACACACACACCTCCCTCTCAAACACACCTACCCAGACATTTAATCTTTCCAAATTAACAGTTTGACAACTCTGCCAGCATTTTAATTCTTAAATGCATATAGAATATTTATTTTCTTTTTTTAAAAAAAATATTTTTATTAAACAGTTTTTTTAAACTGTTTAGAATAGCCTTTGGCTTAACGCATTGTAAGCCGCCCTGAGTCTCTGGAAAAAGGCAGCATATAAATCGAACCAATCGAATCGAACCAATACAATCAAAAATTTTTTTAAAAAAAGAATATTTATTTTCATTGTGTGCTATAACTTTTTTTTTAACCCCAGGCCTATGAAAAATTGAAGCTGTATTGTAACAAGCTTCTTCCCCAGTGGACTGAAAAGAATACCCATGTGAAAATAAAATTATACATTACGATAATATAAAACCGGGAAAATGTATTTACAAAAGCAAAATCACTTCATCCTCAGCAGGCAATGATCACCTCTAAGCCAAAACTGACTCATACTAACCGTCAAGCAAAAGTTTCATATCTTACAAACTCTTATTTCAATGCATTTGCAGCTAATCTACTTATATCAAATCAAAACCCTTTTCTTAATGAGCGCAATAAAGTGATTTGATTTGTCAAAGCCCAAAATTGCTCCAAAGGAGCTGAATTCATAAGCGAGATCCAACCATCCTGATGTCACATTGGTTCCAGTTTTGGACACCATCCCAGATATAATAATTTCTGAACATTATGGCTATCTCTAACCCAGGGGTCGGCAACCTTAAACACTCAAAGAGCCACAAAGGTCCTAACCGGAAGCCCCCATTCAATTCTGGAGCCGACCGGAAGTCCGGTTCCCCCCCCCCACCATAGAGTCTCCTCCTAGCACGGCATCCTTTTTCCTCTACCTGTCCTAACCGAAAGCCCTATCAACTGTGGAGCCGACCAGCCACAGGGAGCCGCAGCAGAGGGATGAAAGAGCCACATGCGGCTCCAGAGCCACGGGTTGCTGACTCCTGCTTATAAATGCAATTGCAAATGAGTCTGGGTTACAGAAATATACCTACATCAAGGGGATGTTCAGTGATCGAAGGCAGAAAAACACTACAATAATCTCTCGTCTGGAAACCACCTGTGAGTATGCAGGCATTTCCAATTTCTGATGGTTTAGGAGTTACAGGGAATGCAAGCTTTTCAAAACACTGAGTATTAAAATCATCACCACCATGTTGAAAGTCTTACTGGTGTTGCTTTCTTAAATAAATGTGTGGACAGATCAAATACTTGTCAATTTGATTTGCAAGGGACGTTAGTTTTAGATGGTGATTTATCTCGTTTTAAGTGACTAATTCTCTGCTACTTTTGAATTATTATTTATGACATGGCTCTGTCTTTATGGTATATTTTTTTTGAAAAGACAACCAGCTGGAACTTCTACAGGCAGAATAAATATTTAACAAGCAAGTAGGATGAAAGAGAAGGATGAATAGCCATATGCATGTGTGTTTTAATCCACAACATTCACAAAATATACTTCCAATATCTTTCGATATTACTTTCAACTTCTTTCAACATTTACTTCAAGTCTACTTCTTGTAGGCAGCATCGTGGATTTGTCTGAAAAGTTTCAATGATTCTCATGTAGCATCGCTACATGAGTCAAGACTTTCCTATTTCATCAAGCCGGCCTGACCTAAGTTTTTTCCCTTTTTAAATGGAAATTTTAAATTTGGTTTTAAATTATTGGGGTTTTAAATTTCAGCCAAATTATTTAATTCGTTTTAGTCTATTTTAAAATTTGTATTTATATGTTTTATTCTATGGCTGTTCACCGCCCCTGAGTCCTTCGGGAGTAGGGCGGTATACAAATTAAAATAATAAATAAAATGTAAGGCTACAAAATTCGTGACTGAACAGTTGCTAGAACAAAGTTTCACAAAGTTTCAGAAACAAAGTTTCCACTGCCGTTCTGATCAGTACAGCGAAGCCACAAAATCAAGTTAATTATTTAGGACAACATCGCAGGTACCACATCATAGTCAAGCAAGCAACAATCACACAGTTTCAAGTCAAGAATCAGTAAAATAAAATTACTATAGAACCCTTAAATTTCTGATCAGAATCTCCACTCCTTGTTCATTAGTCGAGTTTGTTATGGCAGAATCTCCTAGAACCCGCTTAACCGGTGGAACAGCTTGCCACCAGAAGTTGCGGGTGCGCCATCACTGAGGTTTTTAAGAAGAGATTGGACAACCATTTGTCTGAAATGGTATAGGGCAGTGTTGGCGAACCCTTTTGGCACCGAGTGCTGAAACAGAGGTGCGTGCGTGCATGCGCTTGAGGGAAACCGGAAGAGCAGTCGCCCAGTGCGCATGAGCCCGCTGGGAAGATGATCTCCCGGTTTCCGGTGCGCACATGCGGTCTTTGGGTTTGTGGGGCTCTGGCGCAAAAATGGAGAATGATTGAAAGGAGGGAATGGCACATGAGACTGAATAGGAAGAGTGTATTAAATAGAAAAGTCTGTAAGACAAGAGAATTCTACCCTACGTTACCTTTGAATTCTCTTCCAGCTGTAGTTCTTTAGCGATAGCCTCATCATTGATGGTGGAATCCCTGTTTTGCCAAGGCTGCATCACACCGAAAGAAGAACCACAATGAGATTAGTCCAATGTTCATGTCTACATTCTTCCTGTAACTCAGTTAAGGTAATAAAGAGTTTAAGGCCGACTTGCTGTTTTGTCTTCTCTACGGGACACATTTTCAAATTACTGCTCTCCTGTTCGTTCATTCGTTCATTCATTCATTCAATTTATATGTGTTCTGCCCCAGCTACGGACCCCAAAGAACGCAGCACACACAAAGTCCGTACAAACCTTAGTTTACTAATTAAGGACTATTAATGGGTTTTCTTAGTAGTTGTTCGAACACAAGTACAGTTTAAATCAGTCTTTTCTGAACAAGGGCTGTTAATTTAACTTCATTAACAGCCGACAAGAATCCAAAGAATAATAACTCAATTCTGAGGCACAGTATTTCAGATAACTGTAATCTTACTGTGGTTGGCAGAATGCCCAGAAGCAATTTGCAGGAAAACTGACAAGAAAGGAGCAAGAGCCGACCAGACGTTTCTGGAATCAAGACGCAAAGGAATATGAACGAAGTTGTTTCCTGCAAATTGCCTCAGTTGTCATCCTTCCTTAAATAGGCTAAGGGAGCGGCCAATTAGCCCCAAGCCTTACTATCGAGGAGATCTCCTCCTGAGGAGCCATTCCTGCCTTTTGGCAGCTCTGTGCGCCCGTGCATCGAGAAGAGGCTCCTCCTCTTCGTCCTCTTCACTTATGGGAGCTTCTGGAGGTTCTGAAGGCCCTGGCTGAATCCCCGCCTCTGGCACCACATCTTCTCCAGCCTCCTCACTGTCCGACTCGAGTGCCAGCTGCACAGGCTGCTGGCGCAGCACCACACCAGCTTCCTCGCTGTCGGAATCAGCTACTAGCTGCACAGGCCGCGTACGGGCCACAACAATATGCCACCCATAACTCTGCCAAGCAACTCTGGGTGGCTTCCAATACCACAAATGACAGAATAAAACAATTGCAGGATCAAAACACTAAAAATGTCAGACGTTGAAAAATTACAAGGTTAAGAAGATAAGAACCGAGGTCTAATTTAACCGGATCACAGAATACTGTTGTTTCTATGGGTAGTCCTCCACTTACAACAGTTCATTTAGTGACCGTTCAAAATTACAACGGCACTGGAAAAAAAAGGGACCGCTGACCATTAGTCACACTTCTGACCGTTGCAGTATCCCCATGGTAACGTGATCAAAATTTACCAACTGCAGGGATTCACTTAACAACGGTGGCAAGAAAAGTCGTAAAGCGGGGGCAAAGCTCACTTAACAAACGTTTGGCTTAGCAACATAAATTCTGGGCTCATTTGTCGTCGTAACTCGAGGACTGCCTGTATTCTGTTTACAATGATGTGTGAATTAGGAGAATTTCGGGCTCGTAAATAATATCCGTCAGTCAGGGGAACCAGTAATATTCCGGCTTTACTCACTTCTTTTCGTTTGCTTGATACCAGCTTCTTCTCCGACCGTTGAATGCTACCAGTCCCAAAGTAATCAACGAGGGATGTTGGTGTCAGTTTCACCGGAGATAAGGGTTTATTTTTGACTTTTGGTTTGGAATCTGGCTGGGATGTTCCCGTCGTTCCTTGAGTCACCTTCCCCGATTTCTCGAGCTGTTTAACTTTCGGAGGGGCTTTTTTGTTAACAAAGTCCTCATCTTCATCTGAGAGCCAAAAACAAAACGAAGAGGCAGTGTTTAATGATTTCCTAGGAACAAGACGCCCGGCAAGGTCACCAGGAAGCTGGTTTGACGCTTGCAACATTTAAAAAAAAAAAAAAAAAAAAAAAAAAACGACGTGAAAGCAACTGATCGGGTCAGACTTTCCTGGGTATTTTGTCCTCTGCCCAAAAGAGAAAAATCACCGTTATTTGTTCAAATAGATTCTGCTTTTAAAGTTTATTGGGGAGTGGTGGTGGGTTCAGGGACAAAAAAAAAAATCTCCTCCAGGAAATTCTTTAATTTTTGACTAAAAGAAGAATTCCTAACAATTCAAAATGGGAAAGCCATCCTGTCTGGAGTTGAATCTGAGACCCATTACTAGCTGAATACCCGTGCTCGGCTATGAAACTATGTGATCAGGCTTGATAAATCGACACTTAGAGCTTGAAACTTAATGAGTAGTTACGATCGGCATTTCCTCTCCCCTTCTCTCGCTCAGCCTTGCCCCACAGAAGCCTCTCCTTTCCTATCCCCCTTCTCTCCCTCAGCCTTGCCCCATGGAAACGTCTCCTATCCTCTCCCCTTCTCTCCCTCAGGCTGGACCCACAGAAATGTCTCCTATCCTCTCCCCTCTCTCCCTCAGGCTGGCCCCATAGATCCTCTCCTCTCCCCTTCTCTCCCTCAAGCTGGCCCCATAGATCCTCTCCTCTCCCCCTTCTCTCCCTCAGGCTTGGCCCCATAGATCCTCTCCTCTCCCCTTCTCTCCCTCAGGCTTGCCCCATAGAAGCCTCTCCCCGTCTCTCCCTCAGGCTGGCCCCACAGAAGCCTCTCCTCTCCCCTTCTCTCTCTCAGCCTTGCCCCACAGAAACATCTCCTCTCCTCTTCTCTCCCTCAGGCTTTCTAGCCCCTTCTCTCCAGGAGGCTTGCCCCACAGAAGCCTCCCCTATGCTATCCCGTTCTCTCCAGAGTTATTTTCAAGTTGGGACGGGGAGCAGAATGTCTAACTAATTAGCATCAGAGCGTGTTATAATAATGTAGGAAATGCTAATGCTCTGATGGTCATTTCAAAAAATCCTTTCTTAGTGAGCACCTAGAAGCTAAGAGGAACATACATGGCAAATTTCAAGTTTGTAGGCTTTATGGTTCTGGAGATTTCGTGATTACGGCGTGAGTGATTTTCGCTTTTATATATATAGATCCAGTATTTACACCCCTTCAGAGAGTAGTATACAACCATCAGTGACATCTCCATTAAAAAAGCGTATTTACCAAAAAAAATAAATAAATGCTCAAAACTGGCAGTCAGTGTCCTCAGCAGAATCGTTTTGGGTCTGAAAATGAGTATTTTCAGCTCCAGCTTGAAATATGATTAGACCTTTGTTCAATCACTGCCCTCCAGCCAATGATATACGAAGAGGCTTTCATGCTTTCCTACAGCAATGTTAAAATTGCATGTAAGTCTAGCGTGAGCAATTCAAATAACGGCTCTCTTAAGGGAAATGTCAAACACTCTAGGCTATAATAAAAACATAAAATTGATCCCCTGAATCTATTCAGGCCTTAGTCCCATTTTTCACTCTAAAGAAACTTAAAACAGATATGAATAGATCTTCAAATCATCGTGACAGCAATTTTAACCGCTGCCTCCCGCTATCTTTACATTTTATTGTTCAAATCTTACTTGCCGGCACTATGATTTAGTCCTTCTAGCAACTTTTAAAAGAACAGGCAGTGTAACTTTAAAAAGAAAAAAAAAGCTCAAAAGAGATAAAATGTAAAGATGACAATTTCTTTAAAAAAATGGAGCAGTGTTACAGTTGAAATGGAATGGGAAATAATTCCAATACTTTTTAAAATTTATATATAAAATTATATATATTTTATGTATGTATGTACCGTGTTTCCCCGAAAATAAGATCCTATCTATCTATCTATCTATCTATCTATCTATCTATCTATCTATCTAATCTATTCTATCTATCTATCTATCTATCATCTATCTATCTATCTATCTATCTATCTATCTATCTATCTATCTATCATCTGTCTGTCTGTCTGTCTGTCTGTCTGTCTGTCTGTCTATCTATTCTATCTATCTATCTATCTATCTATCTATCTATCTATCTATCTATCTATCTATCTATCTATCTAATCTAGGAGCCTTGGTGGCGCAGCAGATTAAAGTGCTGTTAAGTAACACCAGCTGCCTGCAATTACTGAGAGTTCAAATCTCACCAGGCTCAAGGTTGACTCAGCCTTCCATCCTTCCGGGGTAGGTAAAATGAGGACCCGGATTGTGGGGGCAATAAGCTGACTTTGTATATAAAAAAATACTGCTGGGGGGGGGGGGGGGGG